AGTTATACTACGACTCGAGTTTCGTAACTTGACATAACAAATACAAGTTAATGCAAGATCAAATCCCTCTTTTTCTGTTCAAGCCCTACTTATTGGGGTTTATGATGCAAAATCGTGAGACGCACTCCCATTTTCCTGGTTGACATCAACAAACCCCCTGTAACCCAATGTTGGCGTAGTGCCAACGTCGAACAATATGCTTATTTTCCGCAGAGGGGTTAAAGAACAATTTAGTCAATATTATTTTCACAGATATAGACACATTTTGTATTGCCATCCAACATTTACTTGTCGTGTTTTAACAACTAATGGATATCAACTCTAATGATGACATCCGGCTGTTTGGGCGAGTCGAAGGTCAGACATATTTGTCCGACATTTTGGTTTACCTTCCACTGCTCCACACACAAATTTCTTTGCAGGATCGTCCAGTCGTTTGTTGATCCCCGTAAATTTCATAATCGGTTTACGATTCTTCGGACGATCAATTTTTCTGAGGAAGGTATCAAGAGTTGTACCTATTGTTGTATTTTAAGATAATGTGTTGATCATATCGGAGTTGTGTTATGACTGTCGTCTTCCTAGCACTGTTCGTGGATAATATGGCGAATATATAGTTCAAGTAACCGTCGATTTGATTCGCTGTCTAATATTGCACCTTCCAATGAAAAACGTTGTAACTGGTCGTCTAAGAGAACTGGCTGAAACCGGTTTGAACTAGGCAGGCTGTTGGGGCCGTGTGCACTGCTTATAATATGATGTTATGGGTGACTGTAAACAGAAGTATTCTCTTCAACTTTCCAGTATGCGAACATTTGCTTTCGATTCAACACTAAGCATGAAAATGCACTTTAGACCCAAAATTTATTTACAATTTCCTCGTTATATTTGTTCAGTTCATTTAAAAGTTTATTTTATTATCGTATAATGCATTGGTACATACATTATAAAAAAACTATATGATTGCGGAAACAAGTGACAGAACTTATGTAAATCTGTCTACTGATGTCACGATAGAAAAGGAGAAGAGGGAAATGGTCTGGAATATAACATTTAATACTTGATGCGTGTGAAACTGTTTTTCCTACGGAGGAAATATAGGCATAGCAAATATTTCATTGACCAAAATAATCGAACCATTTCTCTTGATAACGAGGAGAACCAGATTAATTCTCATATGTTGGGTAAAGCCTTACTAAAAGAAATAAAGAGATGGCGGGATGAAAATGCTCCGCACAGAATATTGCGATAAAATAACAAGCTATTGGGATATATTTTTTTGTGAAAATCCGAGCAAGAAAAATCGGGAAATTTCATTCAATCCAATCAAAAACAAATTTGTATTGCAGTGTATCGTAGAGGAGCGGAATTATAAGTTGGAAATTAAGGACTAGTCTGAGAATAACAGAATATCGGGTTATGGGGAAATTCGAACCAGAAAAAAACAGGCTATCGAGATGTGGGGAAATTCGGACTATAATAACAGATTATCGGTGAATGGGGAAACTCGGACAAGAATAACAAGTAGTAACATGTGTCCAAATTCGGATGGTACACCAATATTAAGTTTAGCAGTCGATGATGTCTGTGGATAGAATCCGGACTAGAATAACCAGGGCTAGGTTATCAACGTGTAATGAAATTCGGGCAGCAGGTTGTCGAGGTACAGTCAAGAAATTCTGACAAGAATATCGGATTATCGGGGTATATAGGGGAAATGGGGCTAGAACTTCGGACTAGAATAACGATTATCGGGGTATAGAGGGGAAATGGGGCTAGAATATGGGTTATCGAGGAATTCTATTCAGATTTACATATTTTACAGGGAAGTCGGGATAATAGCTGTCTATTTGGATAAAAGGTTAGTATTAAAGACTATTTTGAACAACAGTTTTGGTAATATCAAACGAGAAAAACAGACATATCAGAAGAAAATGAGTACAGGGTAGTTTAGTGTCATTTATATTTTTCTCTGCTGCGTTTACTCCAAACGTCGCGATATTCCATTTAAATTTCTTTGTAGATTCATTTATTTGAAAGATTTCTATTCTATTTTTTTTATACAACAATTACAAAAGAAGTTTTTCCAACTTACAATCGTCACTCTTGTTGCCCCGGATTGAAGTGTGTGAGGGGTCTTTTTAGTGCTGTTGGAGGAAATATGAGAATCCGGGGAAAACCCACATGGTTGGGCATGAGACCCCAAAGCTTTTCATGTCCGATCCGGGAATGGAATCCTGGACGACTAAGTGACAAATACATAACCACTGCGCCACCCGACCACCCTATCTTTTCGATGGAGCGCAAGGAGTCTGCATTATCGATTAAATTATTTTTACTTTTGTTATTCTACATTTATTGACAACGGGATTGGAATTTGTGCCGAGTCCCTGTGCACTGGTGTATCGCATGACTTCACAGAGATAATGCATTTGATACCCGTTAGAAATAATGGACACACGTACACACACATTATTGTTGTATTGTCTTAAGCTCTCAGATAGTATCAATTCAACATGTTTCGACAGGTTTACCAGTGTTCTATTACTGCGGTCTATACATGGGACATTTCAAATGACCTCGTGGGCCATTGTATCCTTGAGATTTAAAATATTCAACTGCTATATAGCCTTTGAAAGGACCGTTTCTCACGTGGATTTCGTCGATGTTTTTATACATAGGAATGAATGCAAGAACGATAACTATCATTGGTAAGAGTGAATATCAATTCGAATTGGTTTATCCGGGAGAAAGGAACACCGCCTATCGTACTTGCATTGGTGCCGTGGTTCGGAATGGAACTTGTTCTGAAGAAGCTATCGGCTTAGTCTGTATTGTTGAATTTCAGTAAACATTTAGTCCCTCCTGGTTTCCCACGGAAGACAACCCGTATGTGGACGTTGTATGGTTGTCGTCTAAAGTGAAGTAACTCGAACGGCATATAAGAATCGATATGATCCTGAAAGAAGTATGGACATCTTTAGTGAAATGGTGTTCCAGACTATCAAATATCTGTCAAAAGAAAATTTTGACACCAAGTCGGATGAGCACACTTGGTCCGTGGCTGTTTTTGCTGGAGATGTATTGTCTGTGTTATATTGGGACCTCCGAGATTATCCCGACACTGTGGAACAGGTACGGGTCCACTCTGGTTCACATGAATCAGGTATTCACTTGGTTCCTTGGGGTCGAGATCTTTCTGAACTGGTTGTGTGTTAGGTATGTCACGTCATCGTATAAGTCCGAGGCCGCCCAAATACAGCTGCTGAAACGAGATGATGGCCACACTCAACAGGTGAGATTTATCTATAAGCTAGTTAAATGCCTTTACAGATGAAATCCTGACTTTGGTACTGGCTTCATTTAAGGTTTTGTTGTCATAAATAGCCTCAAAATACATTTTAAAATACCTTTTTAGCTTTATACATACATGTAATCCAGGAGTCGTTGTATACATGAGGTTAAAAGGATAGATATATATTTACACATGCATTAATTAGTGCAATGAATAACAATAATACACAATTCACTAAACTTTGAATCAAACAAGGGGGGGGGGGGGTCAAAAGGGGGGCATCTTATCTTTAGTCGATGCACAATCCTTATCGAGGGGTAGTGTTATATCTAAGATGACATGCATGTACATAACTTTATCGATGTGTTAACTCTACCATTTTTACAGCACTATCTTATTTTTGTGATGTTTCTATAATATAAAGTATACGTATATCAATACAAGGATAACTTAGTAAAAGATCTGACCTAATGGTGTACGCTCTAGGAACATTTGTAATTTCTTGTGTTCACTGTGTCTTGCCCATGTTCGCGAAAATAGATCTGTTTCGGGAATTTGTTCACAAGATCCGAAAGCAATCTGCTTTTCAAATACAATACTATGTCTAATCAATTGATTGACTGGAATTTCCTCGATATATTGCAATTGGTCACACTTGTGCGTTCCATGTGAAATAGTATTCTTCTTTCTTTTACAGTACACTGACTATACGGTGTCCTTTGTCGAGGAGAACAGCTTGAGACATAGAAAACCTTCCGAACAAAACCAAAGCAAGTCAAAATCTAAAGGGTATTTCACTTGGAGCACATGCAAGTCCTGCAAGGAGGTGCGACCCGCTAGATGTCACCATTGTAGCATTTGTAAGACATGCATTCTTGCAAGAGATCACCACTGCTTCTTTTCCGGAAATTGTGTCGGATACAAAAACCTCCGTCATTTCTTTGTCTTTCTTTTTTACAGTATGTACGCTACGGTTTATGCATTTATTCACGCATCGACTTACTATTACCAAGAACTCTGGCCGCGGACATACGCACTGGAGATCCTTCCATTCGTTACCTTCGCAATGAACATCTTTGGTCACAGTGATTACCACACAGGAGTGCTCATCCTGGTTTGGTGGGCACTTGGTATATTCTTCGCCATTGGCGCCTTCCAATTTATTGACCTTGTGCTTGAAATCCCGGAAGGCGTGACGTCATACGAATTCAGCAGTGGAATAGAGTTGGATGACTCGCGTTCGTTATTTGAGAAAATCAGAGCAGTGTTTGGGGAATACTGGCTTTTAAACTTTTTAGTTCCAGTTCATTTTATATTTCCACCTGTCGTGGACCCAATTAATTGGCCAACTATTTCCGGAATAAAACGGGCACCAGAAGAGTTTTTGTAAAGTGAATATAGAAGTTTTACAAATTTGTTTCATTTTAATCTTTTATCTTAATTAGAGTCGTCATCTTGTTGATTTCATTAGGCCATAGTCAAAAGTGAGCTTTCTCAAAAGGGAAGACTCACAGCTGAGCTGTCTCGGAAAGTATAACTCAACTATCGTTAGCCAAAAGCATGAACGAGAAGAGCTTTCCATAATCACAGTGCTGTCTCCAAGAGGAAGGCACATGTATCATAGAGCAATCATGTCGCATGCGAGCTACGTCAACCAAAGTTGACATCTTTGAACCCGATAGATATTTGGATTATAGGTGTCTGGGATAAAGCCTGTCAAAAAGGTTGAAATATTTTAATATTGTGTATTTTATATCCAGTAATTCTCGATACTAGATAGATAATAGATTAAGCACATAAGTCTCCGGTTGTAGATATTGCAATGTTTACACGCCATAACAACTAATGATCCTGATAAATTTTCACGTATAAGGCGTCTTGTGATCGAAGGTCCAAGAATCGTAACAGTTCCACGAGACGAAGTTTAACAAATTTTGCAGGAAGAAACTGAATGACTGAATTTCGGGATGACAATATCTTTGTCGAGTTCGGTGGTAAGACTTTCCAACAGACTATAAGCATATCTATGGGAACTATATGTGTGTTTTTTACAGTGCTGAATTTATAGAGGAGCATACCAAAACAGATCACATTGACCTTCCGACGTACATCCATTTCACTTTCAGATATATTGATAACGTCTTGTCTGAAATGAACAAGAGATTTATTGATTTTGTCCATCGCTTATACCCATAAAAATTGGAAATCAAGATAGGATCTTTTACATCATCCACTTACCTCAGTTTTTGTAATAACGAAACCAACTTGGGAAGCTTTCCGTCAAGCTGCGCGATAACCACGCTGATTTCGATGTCACTTTCGTAAACCATTCATGACTGAATAGCTACCACTCTGCGCCCCCAACTTACGTGTCGCATTTGATTTGGTATTTCAAGACTTTGACGATATCACGATTGTCGTGTGAGGTGTTGACAATTGACAAACTCGCAGCGCAACGTTTCAGTAGAGGCGGTCTGTTTAGAACAAGGGGAAGTTTTACGGTAATCATACTATGATCTCAAAGGAAGTTTTCTATTCCCTTGTGCGATTTCAAATTGGATGTGATTGATATTCGTCAGTTTGTCAAGTGGTTCCGTTGTTGTTAATCTTTTTCTCATTCGAGAACACACTTACTTGTATTGAACAAGATTTACATTATGTGTGTCTTCGTCGAAAGTAGAAGACGTTCAGTGGCGTAGCAAAACATTTTTAAGAGTGTATGCTTTCAAGAGAGGATCCAAGGGCGAAGCCCCGGTTAAGGGGGTATAGGGGCGCAGTAAGGTTAAAAAAAGTAGGGCAAATATATCTCAATGGAATTCGAGTGTATGTTTAAGCATACAAGCATACATTATTGCTACGCCTCTGACGTTTAATTTTCCTGAACATCTTGCCTTACTCTGCATGTACTTTTTCATGAGTCACCATGCATGTAAACTTTTGTTCATATTTACCATTGTATCATAAAATTTGAGTTCGAATTAAGATCCTATTAACATGGCAATATTTCCTTTGGCGTTTTTTGCAGGAAAACTTTACAATATTTAATTAAGTTCCAATACTTGCATGCAACCTAGTTTGTCATTTTGTATTAAAAGATGTTAAAAATCATTACTTGTAACTTGGCGTTGTTGAGTATCTGTTATCAAATTTAAAAAATCTCATAAATTCTATGATAAATATAGTGAAGAGAAGGATCCATGTTGTAATAATATATGAGCATTTTAGGCTGGAGTGTCAAAAAGCTAGTTACATATTTAAATTTGCTTTAGTGTCGCCACGGTCAAAACAATCTTTAATGAAGCAAAAAAGGCCGGGAGAAATCGTGAAATGTGTCATGAAGACCAGTGAGCTATACAATAAGCATCATGTATGGTCTAGTGTTCATTATTATAAACGGGCTGTTTTTATCTTCTTAATTCCTATTTTTAGTTTTATCTTGCTGCTATAGAGAATGAAAATGGTTACTAGTAAGGAACGTGTACTTAGTCAGCGGCTGAAAGGATCACATCTTTAATTCATACTTACGGGTAGTTAAAAAAAACGATGTAGAGTGAAAAAAAAAATTTTTATAGATAAATGTTTAAAGTGCTGAATTTAACATTTGCATGCTGAGGCCGTGACATAAATGAACCAGAAAGCACGTAACCAGTCGACAATTATCGTAAGCATGGAAATGGTGGCAGCTCACTTTTGCATACTTATTATTGTGTTTGTCTCCAAACCTCTGTCATTTACTACAACCATAGATGCCGTGTAACGCTAAAATATCCAATGATTTTTCATCAAATCGAAAATATTTACATAATCATATCAATTTTACTCGACCGGCCGAAAGCGAACTTACAGTCTTGTTTGATTGTGGTCGAGCCCATTGTCTTTTATCGAGAGTCAAATTGATTGCCTGGATACATCTACCAGTGGACTCAAAGGAAACTTTCTGGGTCGAACGTCTTCTTCTCTTTTCAAGATATTTTTTTTCATTTTATGTATTTTCAGAATTTGATTACTACATGCATGACGAAGTCACATCCACAAATTTATTATTGACTATTTTGAATTCACCAGACCGAAGTACAGTCACTTGTCAACATTATCATCATTTCTTATGTACTTGGAAATGTCCATTTATTCGTTATAACTTGTCATAAAATCATATATGATCAAACTAAAGTACGCTGTGGTTAAAAGATCTGCTAAAATTTTACTTTGTCAGTTTCCCAGTATTTTGTTATTCCGATATCACGGGATATACATTTTTTAATTTGTGGTCTGTAATTAAAACCTCATATGACAGACGTTCAAATACTTTAAGTTGGTCTTTAATTTATCATTTTATGTATAGTTTATTCATTATGGACATAAAGTAATTTACTAAGTACATTTAAGCGGGAAAATTACATGAGGCAACATTTATCATAGACCTTCGGCATTTGAGGTGCAATCGGAGTTGTCTCCCATGTGGTCGCTCTTTATGGTCGTCGCTGATTGGCTAATTTTTCAAATAGAGGAGCCAGATTTAAAAACAAGACGAGGAACGAAGACGTAAATATGAAGCCGAAGACAGGAGATAAAAACCAAAATATAAAGGTCTCGGTTAGATGCAGGTATGTAATATTGTCTGATTGGTACTTTCTTGTTATTGAGACAAGTATTACACTGGGCATATGATGAAGAATAATTTTGATGTAGGTAAATCTAGATTTCAGTGTCAGTGTGGTGACATAAGATTATAAACAGGTCAGATGAAAGGACTTCTGTTTTGGAAACTAACCGGACCTGTCGAATGAAACTGTGAACAAAGAGAGTATTAATCTTGTATTGTTGGTAGCAGTCAAGCTGCATAACAGAACCTTTCGTTTTTAAATCGCCTGTATCGTGGTTAAGCCGAATAATTAGATTCTTGCCTTGATAATGAGTTTAAATTAGTCGACATTCGACTTGTTAAGTTAACGTTTATATGAGTTCAAAAGAACAAATGACTATATACAAGGCCGCCGAATTCAGGAGGTGAACTCCCACTTCTACTCCAAATTTTAACGAGATAAAATAATGAATAAAACTGCTTTATACTTTCCACACTTTCAAAAAATACATTTGTCCAAAGCAAATGACAACTTATGGTAATTAATTCAAGATGTTTTAATCTCTTCATTCATTTTTTGGACTGTTGTAAGCTACGAAACTACGATTATTTTCTTCTCCTTGTCATATGGAGCTTCTTACTCCTGTAACATAAGAGGTCTTAGGTTGGCTGTTTTATTATCAGACATTATAGTGCCAACTGTGCCTGTCATAAGTTTCTCATCATGTAAAACTTCTAACATTGTCGGAGTCGAAGCTTCTAAGTTTCATAAGGATATGTAATTTAAAGTATGTTTATTAAAATTCATGTATTGAACTATAGTATTTACAATGGTCAAATACATTGACTGATTCAGAATAGACAGAAAACCAGAATAAATAGTTTACATGCGTCTTTATCAGTGAAGGTTAAAATAATCTACCATATTTTTATAGCCATTCCCAGACAATAGTAACCTTATAAATCTTGGATCAACCAAATTTTAGGTGCAGATAGTCTTGCACTTGTCAAATGGTAGAAGCAATGGAACTGGATCATTGACATTGGCAAATAGACTGACATCAACCTTGAATTTAAGTAGGTCTTTGATAAAGCATTGCACAAAAGCTTTATCCAAAAGGTGTAAAACTATGATATGAAGAGTAATCCACTAGGCTGGATTCAAGACTTAGTCAACAAACTGGAACAAACAGTTGTAATTAACAGAACAAGTATTCTGGTGCCAAAAATTTATAAGTGGGGTTCCTCAATTGCAAGGAAATGTGATTTTTCTTTTTTTCATCAATGACATACGTGAACTTGTTAGAAACAACTTCAAAATGTTTGCTAACAATGCCAACTACAACAGGGGATATTTGATTGCAAGCTGACTTGGATGTGGAGTGCGCCGACCTAAACATGACTAATGGAACTCAATGTTGAAAAGTGTAAACATCTCAAGATTCATTGAGGATTAGAAGAAAAATGATGCAACCTGAACTATAGTACAGAAAAGTATTACAACTGTTATAAAACTAGACAAGGAAAGATATCTATGAATAACGGTTAACAAAAACCTAACAATTTTGTGATTACATCAAATTGGCTGTGACCAAAACGAATCATAATCAGGATCTCATATTCAAAACATTGGCATGTATCAATCAAGCAACGTTAATGACTATACAAATCCCTATGCCTACCTTATAGAAAACAGCAATTATGTTAAAGTCCCAGATACTACAATGAGTCTGGAGAAGGGCAACTAAACTAGTACCAAGTTTTCCACACTCTGATAGATTAAAGGTAAAATGTTATGGTCAGATGTGTTACAGGTCTATAAAATCTTGGAGATGAACCGTTGAAGAGTAACTAGAGGTAGCCAAAAAAGTAGGCAAAAGTGTATCCCAACACTTGTATCAGAGGCCATTTGGCAACAGGGCTGTCAACACCTGGAGATGCCTTCTCATCTAAGTTGTGAATTCTCCAACAACCAATACCTTTAAGTCAGAACTTAAAAATCATTTACAAGAAGTAAACCACAAGGTCAACCCAAAGTATTACAACCAATCAATATACTCAGTGATATTAACCTGTGCAACTGAATGTGACTGAGTGTACATCAGAAGACATGTTAACAAAAGAAGGAAGATTTTTACATTGATGTCAATACCTATGAACAATATTAATATAATATTTATGCACACCTTGCTAGATACCTGATAGGTCTGTTGGTGTTACATTTCTGATTTATCATTTATATGATACCAAAGGATGATTATACTATAGAGTTTCTGAAAAAGTAAGTCAGTGTTAACTTTCTGTCCATTATATGATACCAAAGGGTAATAATGCTATAGAGTTTCTGAAAAAGTTATTGATATTTGTAACTTCTGGTTTTTATAAACAGCAATATGTTTTGAAGAACTTCTCTGATATTTTAGCTTCCATAATTGACATTTTTCAGAAGATTGAAGAACCGCGGAAAAATGTCTTCAAGAAATACCAAAGAGAAGTTATTTTTCCTCAACTTCATTTTACATGTTTTAGACCAATCAATACACAAGAAAAGAAGCAGGGCTCATTTTCTGTGCTGGCATGCAATGGTGAGAAAAAGGAAGTCACAGTAAAGGAACGTTTGGGTATAAACCCAAACACCAAATCCTTCTATTTCGACCATGTTTTCCCTCCATCATCCAAACAAATGGACGTTTATCAGTCTGTTGTTACCCCGATCATTGATGAGGTTCTCTCTGGATATAATTGTACTATTTTTGCGTAAGTATTTCTATGAGTAAATATTATGTCTTCAATCTTCATTTAGCTATGTGGACTGAAATTTGATAAGGTGCTGTGCGAAGTTTGATCATAGGCTTTAAGATAAAGTATGTGAGATTGTTTTATTCAGTAATATATTTTTGTATTTTTTAGGAGGGAATTCCTAATTTCATCTTAATTTTGGGAAAATAATGATACTTTGTAATATTTTTTGATAGTTACATCAGGTTATTTACTTAGAAAATATTTTACTGATTAACGTATATGATTTCTGTGTTCAATAGGTATGGCCAGACTGGCTCTGGAAAGACCTTCACAATGGAAGGAGAACGTACAGATGACCCAGGTATTTCCTGGGAGGATGACCCCTTAGCTGGTATCATTCCACGGGCTATGAGCCATATATTTGAGCAGCTGAAAACTCAGGTAGTGACAATAATACCTGGTAATCTAAAAACACATTGAAGAGTCAGTGTTGTACTTTGAAGAAATAGAGAGAAGTATTCACCATATATATATATATAATATTTTTTTCACATGAATACATCACTTATTCTATATACAAAATTATTTTTACCTATATACATGGGGTTTCAGGAGCATTTAACTATTACCATACCTTGTTTAAAAGTGAACACAAAGGTAAAAACTTTGGCAGTACAGTATTGTTGGATAAAAAATGATGATATTTTTGTTAAGATTAAGAAAATTGCCTTCCATACAAGTAAAAATAAACCATTGTTTGTTCTTAATGCAAGCGACTTGACACAGATTAGTCATCTATCTAAATTCTTGTATGAAACTTGTATCAATTATATTTTTAGACATGATATGATCATTGATGTGTCCATTTTATTTTAGGATGTGGAATTCTCTGTGAGAGTCTCATTTTTAGAGCTCTATAATGAAGAATTGTTTGACCTTTTGGGATCTGGTGATGATGCCTTAAGACTCAGGATATACGAGGACAGCACAAAAAAGGTATACAGACTAGCAACTTTCAATTAATTCGGCTAATATGTTTATTTCATTGTATTCTCAATGTCCTTCTATTTTTGTAAGTGTTAACTTTAGTTGTTATGTTGATTGTTTCATTTCAGGGTTCAGTGATCATCAATGGTTTAGAAGAAGTTGTAGTCCGCAGCAAGAATGAAGTCTTTGAGATTCTGCAGCGAGGGACGGCACGAAGACAGACTGCTGCGACGTTGATGAATGCACATTCTAGGTAAAAGGTTTAATTTCATTAATAGGCTAAATATATAATACCTATATTTTCATCATCAACAATCTAGAGTAAAGTTGAAAAAATAATGATTTTAGTTAATAGATACACCATTTAACTTATTTTGAAAATATTTTCTGCAATTTCAATCTTAAACCCCACAGTTTGACAAGTCACCTCTGTGTATTCTCTGATAGCCCTGATTTAACTGGCCCTAGAAACCAGTTATCCTCTTTGTTTACTGATACAGCACAGCCTAAATGTAATAGGCATTGTATTGTCTCTATTACCAGCAAATCTGCAATGCCGTTTTCAAATTTTAATGAAAGTTTAGTGAAAGCTTCAAAACTGGAAATACTTCCTCTTAAGCATAGCACAAAATTATGGTTCAAGTGACTGTTCAATCTGTTGACAGTATTTGGGGGGATGGGGGGGCACAGAGTTCTGCGAGGTATTAAAGAGCCAATTTCAGTAGTAAGGCTTTGGAAACACTCCAACGCATATTGCGAAAAGACATGTTATGAATTTTATTTTGTTGTTTTTTGCAGTCGTTCACACACAGTATTTTCAGTGACAGTTCACATCAAAGAGAGTAACATTGATGGAGAAGAACTCCTTAAGACAGGAAAACTGTATTTGGTAGGTATATGATGCTACTAAGATGGTAAATAGTTCAGTAGTTTAGTCTTACTATTGATGAAAAGGGAATGTGATCACTAAAGCAAAATATGTTGTTGTGTTTAGTATGATCGAAAAAACACTAAAAATTTACCTCTAAATGATATACCCTGATAATGATTGTCTTTGACTGAGATGAAAGTAATGCAATTACTTAATTTTTCAGGTTAATACAAAGATTTGTCTACCTTTCAAAGGTGATATTCCCAGAGGCTGTTTCATATTGAAATAGATAAAAAAAAAGTTGATAACTGATATATTTGGAAGATACCAAATCATGATCCATGCAATTGACTTTATATTTTAAATTGCAGTATATATTGTTCAGCAGTTAGTGGTAAACAACTAAGTGATGACAGTTTATTGTAATATGATGTCTTGATTATACAGGTGGATTTAGCTGGTAGTGAAAACATTGGTCGTTCTGGAGCAGTAGACAAACGGGCAAGAGAGGCTGGAAGTATAAACCAAAGTCTACTGACTCTTGGTCGAGTGATCACTTCCCTAGTGGAGCATGCCCCTCATATACCATACAGGTTGGTTTTCATAGGTCACTGAAGCACAACCCTTATATATTATACAGGTTGGTTTATAGATCACTGAAGCTCGACCCTCATATACCATACAAGTTGGTTTATAGGTTACTTAAAATTGGTTACTATGAGTTTTTCATTGACTCTCAACTTGTTTTTTTTTTTTTTTTTTAGAGAAAGCAAGTTGACACGTCTGCTACAAGACTCTCTAGGAGGTCGCACCAAGACTTCTATCATCGCTACAATTTCACCAGCTGCCTGTAATCTGGATGTAAGTTAACTGGTCATAGCTAGAACATGGTTTTGTCTAGCATATTATATTATGGTTCAAGAAAATTGTTTTGGGATCCTAGAAAAATTATGGTTGAATGGTTGAGTGTTGGTTTTATTATAATGGTGACTTTGTGAAAATGTCTAAAAAGATTTAACTTTACCATATAAAACTCAAGTGGTTAGTGGAATCAAACTGTATCAAGGGGTTAGTGAAACCATACTGAGTAAAGGACTGGGTCAAGGGAGATAGTGGAAACATACTGGGTCTAGGTGTTAGCGGAAACACATTGGTAAAGGGGTTAGTGGAACCATACTAAGTAAAGAAGTTAGTGGAACCATACTGGGTCAAGGGAGATAGTGGAACCATACTGGGTCAAGGGAGTTAGTCAACTCTATTGAATCAGGGGGTTAGTGGAACAATACTGGGTCAAGGGAGATAGTAGAACCATACTGGGTCAAGGACTTGGTAATTGTTACCCTACTGGGTCAAATAGTTAGGGGAGTCATTTTTCAAGGATGGAATAAAATTGCAAAAAAATGGATTCATAGACAATAAAGCATCAGTAAATCAATTGTCTGTTTCAAGACATGCAGCTAAAAAATGCTACCAGGTTGTAATGATACCACATTTTGAACCATCCAAAAACCTTTCCAGGTGTTTTTTGCCTAGACTGAATAGAATTGATCATCTTGTATTGTACTATATTAATGTTTGAATATTGATCTTATTTCTTCTTGTAGGAAACCCTTAGTACTTTGGACTATGCTCATCGTGCCAAGAACATCCAGAACCGGCCAGAAATCAATCAAAAACTAACCAAGAAGGCTTTAATAAGGGTATAACTACATCTTCACTCCTACTGTACCACAGCAAATAATTGCACCAAGTTACAAACAACAATACATACAACATAGAGAGGAATGTGAATTGGCCTGTATAGCATTTAATATGTCTCACTTTAAGATTTTTTGTTATTAAAAGAATAGAATATTGTTTATAATAAAAAGATGGTGTCATTCTGTAGATCGTAATATTTAAGTCCTTGAATCATGCTAGACCTGTGGAACTCGTCAACTTTTTCAGAACCTTCTTTAACTATCAGAGGACTCAAACTTTTGATAATGATGTTTTAAATTCCTCAGTAAAAAAATCACTTCAGAAGCTTGGCATATTTCATTTAGTCTTTATTTTTAATAGTTTAGGTTTTAATGTCGAGCAAAGAAATGAAATACCAGATTTTAATGATGTCAAATCCTAAATAGATCAAGCTGAGTCAGGTGTCCCATACATATATATCCTTTGAGAATTTGACTGCTCTCCATATCAAAACTGGGTTATAAGTTGTTATTTTCTACTCGGATCAAACACTTTTATTCATTATAAGTTTACAAACTTATTTTGAAATCAAGAATAATGCAAACCACTGGTCAGTCTCAATGACATATATGTAATGTTTCAGGAGTACACTGAGGAGATAGAGAGGTTAAGGAGAGACCTACAGGCTGTTCGAGAGAAAAATGGAATTTACCTGGCAGAAGAAAATTATGTGTAAGTATTCTATTAAAGCATTTAACTGGCTTGTATTATATCTAACTGGCAAAGCATAGCAGGAACATGACCACAGCATTATAAATTTGCCTGCGAAAATAAAGATAATACTGGCATGTCATTTTTTCATACTCCAATTGGGCAAAATGTGAAAAAAAATTTAATTTCTTGAAGACCCCTGAAAAGTAGAGGAAAAATAGGACAGGGCGTTTTGGAAGGATTAGCATCTTATACTGCATTGACTACACTCACCCTGTAATGGTAAATCTTGGTCAATCCAAGTTAGTAGTGTTATTCTCAAACTATTTCTGGATAGTTAACAAAATAAGAAAACGGAAAATTGGGTTGCATTATGATTATTACTGGGTTTTTTTCAGAGCTATGCAGAATAAGATTACACAACAGTGTGAAAGCATTAAAGATATGGAAGAGAACATTGCTGCTTTAACAGATGAAATGAACAAGGTAGGATAATACCCACTTTGGGTCTGTAATTAGCATATGTGTAGCTATGTCTTCATTAAAAGTAGTGTTATATTTTGGTTTTCCTCTTATATTGGAACTTAAAGAAAATAAGCAAGAACTTGACCATTTATGGCAAGTGTTTGATTCAAGATAGGAGCCAAGAAGTTCAGACCTCTGAGCATTATTATCACGAGCCTTCCACCTCTGGGTAACAGGATCGAGGCCTATATGGGGCAGTCAACAGGTACTGACCATAGGTCAGTGGGTTTTCTCTGGTTGCTCCAGCTTTTCTCCACCAATTAAATTTGACACAACCTTCAATGACCTTGGCTGTTTACAGGATGTAAAGCGATAATAAACGAATGAAATGATTTAAGATACTGTGCTGATTTATGACATTGTGGCTGTTTCTCAGGAAGATATGATATAGACTGTTTGTGCTGTTGAGGTTGTGTCTTTGGGGAAGACACTTAAACCCAATTGCTTTTGATGGCTGTGATGGACCTTATGTATAGTGTTAAGTGATGTAGCCAGGAACTAGTACATACTAAGTAGAGATATGGACAATAACACTACAATATCCCAGTACAGGAAGATGATGTATGATCAGGTAGCATTTCTATGGAAGCTACAATAGACAGACATTACCAAACATGGGCCTATTGTAGGACAAACATGGTAAATCGGTGGTATAAATTGAGCCTTCACCAGCTATTTCAGTCTAGAACTTGACGTCCTCAGATAATATTTGGACAAAATCTAGCAAACTAGTCACTAAAATACTAGAAATTCTTCGTTAGATCCAAAGTATATTTAGTTTGACTTGTAAAGTTAACTAAGCGATTTCTCTTGAAAGAAGAAAGATAAATCCATGAAACTGGCTCAGAAAGCTGAAGATTTGAAATAAAATTAATGATAAGCAAGTCTTTACTGTGTTGTTTCATAAAAGTTTTTCAATGTTTTGCTAAAAAAATAAACAGATAAAAATCTTTTCATCGTTTATCACATTTCGTGGAATATAAGGTTTTATTGTTAAGATACAGGTACAAATGATATTTGAAAATTAGACCTTTTTTGATATTTTCACTGAATTTTGTCAATCATACCACAGTATCTGCAATGAAAATGTCAGTTTTCCTAGGTTATATTGCAGAACTCATAAAGAAGGTGCAAAATATCAAGTTTCAACCCTCTCAATATTATTAAGAACCAAGGATTATCCTTTTTATCTGTTGTTTGTTGAAGTGCACTTATCTGTTTTGCAGTTGACTGAGGTTTACACAGAAACGGAACAGAGACTTGAGGAAACAACCAAAAACTTGACCGTCACCACCGACAACCTTATCAAGACAACAGAAAACTTACATGAAACAAAACAAGAGCTTAAAGCCACAGTACAGGACCGTGACGAACAGAAATACCTGGTGGCGGAACATGTATCTACAGAGACCTGTTTGTATGGGGAAGCCAAAGAGGTGTGTACATGATACATCAATTTTATTATTTGTCCCCTATTGGTGAAACAGGAGGGGAATATAGTCTTTGTCTTCATATGTCTGTCCTTTCCTCTGTCCAGATGTTGGTTTCCAGATGAAAACTTGAGAAATGTTGGATAGATTTGAATGAAAATTCATTTAATGTTAGGTTATGAGGTGATACAGAGGTGGTTTGAGCTTGTGGTTGAAAGGTCAACTAGGAATGTCACTGTTACTAAAAATGGCTTCCAGGTGATGATTAGTGATAGGGTTGACATATTATTGAAACTTGATATATATATGATATATCTTCCTGTTTGTAGTTACTGGCAACAGTTGACTCAGCCCTGTCTGATATTGATGGTCTCCACAGCAAACTGGATAGGAAAAAGGAAGTAGAGGCGAGTAATGAGGAATGCCAGCTTCAGTTTAAGGAACGTTTCCAGAGTCAAATCACTCAGATGAAGGAAGGGGTCAACAACTTTTTAACAAGCACAAAACAGTATCAAGAAAGTCTCATTGACAAAACAGGTAAGATGTGAAAATTAGTAGGACCAAATTTTTTAATATCATAAAAAAGGACATTTCTTGGTTGAAGCAAGTTTTGTAGGATTTCCCAGAGTTCTATAGTAATTAGCACCTGATAATCTAAACAAAATAGAAAGGTGATTCCTCTATTTACAGTCCTTCTTCATTAAAATATATTATCCTTTTTATCAGTGACAAAGTTTACAAACACAAGAACATTTTGTTCAACAGTTGAAAAACCACTATCTTGAAACATCCTATTGTTGTAGGCTTTCTGATACCACAGCAACAAAACAAACAACTGTAATTGTAATATTTCACATACATGTGTAGTCATATATCATTTGCTGTTTATGAAATAAGGGTTTACTTTGTTGAGGTTCATTAAAAAAACAAATTGAAAAGATTGGTGTAAGGACCATATCTCAAACATCTTCATTTCATGGAGGCATTTTAAAATTTTCGAAAGTCAAGCACAATGTGAGATACAATGACATTTATGTCATAACTATGCAGGCGAGAAAGACTATCATTATTGATTATAGAGTCAACTATAACAGTAACTGAAATAAGTATCACATCATGTTTTACATGTTATACTAAGTATATCGTATTAATATGATCCTTGGTCAAGGTCCAAGCTCACATGTCATAACTTTTTCTAATCCATCAAATAATGATATTTATGTACATTTGAGCAGGACACAGTTTTTTAGTGTGAAGTTGTAAATTACAGTGAGTCTGCTTCAACAACAAAAGGACCAGGTATCTATCTCCTGTCAGTCTGTTACTGACCACCAACAAAGACTGACTGATCAGGCTGGAGTCATCGGTCAGCACAGCAGTGACCAGACTGACCTATTCTCAAAGTGGATGGACAGTATCGAAGAAGCCACAGCCTCTACACAGGTGAGTCTGGTATCACTTACTACTATTAGAAGAGGATTAATGCTCTGTAGCTGTGCCATGTGTATGATATCATTGTTACTATGAAAACTTGTCTATTTCAGATGGAGCAAACTAAAGCACTTACAGAGTTCCAGACAGATTTATTGGAGCCATCTGTACAGTGTGCAGTGGAATCAAACAATCTGTCAGCCACCATACTTCAGAGACAAATAGAACTCCTGCATGCTCAGGTTTGTAACATCTTTTTAGATATGGCTAATGGTCTGCTACCATCGTCAGACACAATAAAATTCCTATATGCTCTGATTTGTATCATCTTTTTAAATAACCTGTGGTCTGCTACCATCTTCAGACAAAATATAATATAAAATGTATGCTAAGGTTTTTAATGTCTTGTGTAACCAGTGGTCTGATATCGTCACATCTAACTAAGGATCTGCCACTAGGATTCCCGAGCATGTCAAAATAAAATGGAAGATTGAATTGTCAGTGATCTTTGCCATTATTGATTGCTTACATTTAACTTTTGCTGCTGTACAATATGATCATTTCCCTTATATACCCAGTCAGTAAAAAGTAATATGGCTTTTTCAAACTTTTCTTTTGTGAATATTTTATCAAAAGAGAGAGGGGTGAATGGGGAGCATTTAGGTATGGTATTACCCATATTTCCCATTCAGGTTCATGGTCATGCATTCATGTTCTTGTCTACTTTGTAGTATAACATCAAGTTCCACACCTAATCATATTTAGGTGACCACTGCTCGAGGTAAATGTTCAGAGGTCGCATTTGACAACTTCTGCTAATCTATCAAATTGTAATACTTGAGAGCCAGGTAGTTATTTCAAATTTACAGTGTATTTTCTTTTCCACAAATTTTTTATCATCATACTAACCACATCCCTTGTTATTATGATGATGTCCATACACTTATGTATAGAAAAGGTGATGCCTTTTGTTTTACAGAAAACAGAGCAAGAAGAGATTGTAAATAATTTCACAAATAAAATTACCACTAACTTGGAGACTTTGACCAAATTGACAAGCGATTTCTTCACGCTAATGACAGAAGACCTTGAAGAGACAGAGAGGCAGACAGAAGAAGAAGAAAGAATAGATAAGGTGAAATATTTTCATTCAGTCAAGAGGAAAGAGCAAATGCAAGATTTTTAAGTGTTACATTGGCTAGTGTCACTGTTTCTAAAATTAGAATTTCTCAGTATCCATGTCTAGAGATTTTAAAGACAAGCGTTAAAAAGTCATGTTTCAGGGTTCAAAGGTCAATAGGGAAAGGGCATGCATTTTCTAAATTGTAAAATTGTATATTTTTGTGGGGCTCAATTTTTGTGTTTTTTAAACAATTACTATTTCATGGACACTTGATTTCCGAGATAGTTATAGCTCAATAAGTCTACTCATGCTTATTTCAACAGTCTGTGAACATTGATTGGTGGATTAAGGGTACCTATAAAATCAATGAAAATAAACACCCTACAAAAATTAATGATTTTACAATATTTGGTAAATATCATCATCATAAAAACTTTGAACTGCAAAATTGGCTATAATTGTAACTTATTGTTGTTTTCATTTCATTCATGGTTAGGAACTTGAGGAAAAAATAATGCAGCACCAACAGAAACGCTTGGAACTACTGACAAAGGTAAGCTACAGAATTGTCTTTACAGTAGGACTACAGAATTGGGAATAATATGTACTTGACATATTAAAAGCCTTGATGCAGCATTACTAGACAGACTTGTAGTTCTTATTCTTACTATTGTCACTGTTTTGTGAATTTAAAACTAGAAATTTGTCAAAGATGGAGAATCAAAAGTCCATTTTTGAAGTAAAGTGCCCATTGTTTGCTCTGGGAAATGATGTGTTCTTAGACAACAAAAAATGTTGACAAGCATTGGATATATGAACATTTTTATCAACAGAGTTGCATGAACAAATATAGGACACAAGCATGATTTACCATTATGAACTGTATATTTGGTTAATGATGAAGATACTTATATGTAGCAGATAATGACAGTTTTTCTGTGTTTTGACAGACAAGGAACCGTAAACGATCCAGACAGCAGGCAGTACAGCAATTTCTTGACACCATAATGGGGTAAGTGTACTGCTACCTTTTCTCACCTGATGTCATACTGAAGGCGAAGCAGTTGTGGAGAAATTCAGCAGAGATCTGTTGAAAAAGTTCTGATCAGGAGAGAAAGTTTTAGGGTGCAACTCCTGACTTGGACAGATTCAACAGAGTTCTGTTGAAAACATTCTGATTAGAAGCAAAAGTTTGTGGATTAACTTCTTCATATGTTATACAAGATTTTTGTTGGCTTTAGAGATATACAGAATTTCTTAACATTTTTTGTGTGTTTTTAGTAACATGTATAATTTCTAGACTAGGAATACTAGTTTTCTTTCACAAATCTTTTTTTAAGATACATGTATCAACTTTTCGCGGTCTTATGGTATTCTCAAAAATAGCGAAAAATAGAGCCCCTTGAAAATGACAAGCATTTCATAAGTAGGTAGTTATACTCAATGTCTCTTTCCTCCTGCTATAGTAACCTACAGGAAGTGCAAACAGGAACAGAACAGACGAAGCCAGAACTAATGGGAGTTGTAGCCTCTAACTGTACCAACAACCAGAGAGACCTGTCGCAGGTAAGGATAGCGCGGCCTTTGACATTCTGTATTGGTTAGTCTCTTGCATGACCTGTCACAGGTTAGGATGGTTAGCCTTCAGCATGGCCTGTCACAGGTAAGGATGGTTAGCCTCCAGTATGGTCTGTCACAGGTAAGGATGGTTAGCCTCCAGCATGGCCTGTCACAGATTAGGATGGTTAGCCTTCAGCATGGCCTGTCACAGGTAAGGATGGTTAGCCTCCAGTATGGTCTGTCACAGGTAAGGATGGTTAGCCTTCAGCATGGTCTGTCACAGGTAAGGATGGTTAGCCTTCAGCATGGCCCGTTACAGGTAAGGATGGTTAGCCTCCTGTATGGTCTGTCACAGGTAAGGATGGTTAGCCTCCAGCATGGCCTGTCACAGATTAGGATGGTTAGCCTTCAGCATGGCCTGTCACAGGTAAGGATGGTTAGCCTCCAGTATGGTCTGTCACAGGTAAGGATGGTTAGCCTTCAGCATGGCCTGTCACAGATTAGGATGGTTAGCCTCCAGTATGGTCTATTACAGGTAAGGATGGTTAGCCTTCAGCATGGTCTGTCACAGGTAAGGATGGTTAGCCTTCAGCATGGCCCGTTACAGGTAAGGATGGTTAGCCTCCTGTATGGTCTGTCACAGGTAAGGATGGTTAGCCTCCAGCATGGCCTGTCACAGATTAGGATGGTTAGCCTTCAGCATGGCCTGTCACAGGTAAGGATGGTTAGCCTCCAGTATGGTCTGTCACAGGTAAGGATGGTTAGCCTTCAGCATGGCCCGTTACAGGTAAGGATGGTTAGTCTCCCGTATGGCCTGACACAGGTAAGGATGGTTAGCCTTCAGCATGGCCTGTCACAGGTAAGGATGGTTAGTCTCCAGTATGGTCTGTCACAGGTAAGGATGGTTAGCCTTCAACATGGCCTGTCACAAGTTACATGGGTGAGACAATTAATATTCTTTGCTGATAAGCTTCCAACTGTAGGAAGAGGCACTTGATAGGCTCATTCTCAAATGCAGTGCAGAAAATGTTGCTGTGGGGCCATGATAGCTTAGATAGTAGAGCATCAGTCTCAGGTGAATATCTGAGGTGTATGGTTTGATCCCTTCCCAGATTGTTGTGTTTATCCTATGGTGACATGATGTTCAGTGAGAAAGCCACCAGCTGCTACAGGGAGATCCTGTTTAAAATGACATGTGTAATAAATCCATAAGAGATAAAGACAACAAACAAAATTAAAATTTGTTTAAATATATCATTATTGTTTACATAGGTGCTGACGGAGGTGGACAAGTGTACAGGGACATGTGAGGACATCAAACAAAAAGTCAGTGACATCAACAGTCAAACACAACAGGTATGTTCTCTAAACATATTCAAAATTAAATGTCAAACACAACAGGTATGTTCTCTTAACATATTCAAAATTAAATGTCAAACCCAACAGGTATGTTCTCTTAACATATCCAAAATTAAATGTCAAACCCAACAGGTATGTTCTCTTAACATATCCAAAATTAAATGTCAAACCCAACAGGTATGTTCTCTTAACATATTCAAAATTAAATGTCAAACCCAACAGGTATGTTCTCTAAACATATTCAAAATTAAAAGTCAAACCCAACAGGTATGTTCTCTTAACATATCCAAAATTAAATGTCAAACCCAACAGGTATGTTCTCTTAACATATTCAAAATTAAATGTCAAACCCAACAGGTATGTTCTCTTAACATATTCAAAATTAAATGTCAAACCCAACAGGTATGTTCTCTAAACATATTCAAAATTAAAAGTCAAACCCAATAGGTATGTTCTCCATCATGAAATTAACAGTCAAACTTAGCAGATATGTTCTTTATATCTGAATTTCTCATCAAGTCTCTATTTACTATTTAGCTAATCCATTTGGCAAAAATTATTTAACAGAATGATTGAATTCCAGGTACACAATTATTGGTTGTTTAATTAAGAGCATAGAGGGTTCGAAAGTTGGAGGAAATCACAGCCAACCTGACAATATTTTCAATAGGTATTGAATAGGAATAGGCAAATTTAGAATGACATGCAAACAACAGATTTGATCTGCTTAATCAAGTGTTGTTTTTTCCTTTAGGGGAGATCATGTTGAATTCAGTTGTTTTATATTTCCATCAATAACCAGTATTTCATCTTTGTACTGAGATTCCCAATTTTTGTCTGTACAGGTTTGGTCACAGCATCTGGAAACAATCAAGGAGAGAATTTCAGAGCATAGAGAAACAACACGATCAGGACATGAACAGCACAAGGTTTTAGCACAGGTATGAAATGAATCAAACTCTAGACACAAAAGTCTAGACAGGTCATATGTTTACTATCATTGAAATATAGACAGTTACAGTTCTGGAGCTTTTTGATACAGAATCTGTAAGCATAGTTACTACTATAAGAAAAGTTTGCAATGCCATCAAATTTTGCAAAATGTTATTATCTTTCAGATTTTGGCCATACAATGTAGAATTTTATTCACACATCCCCAAGATGACACTTCAGTTTGGTATGGAAGATGAATAAAGTCAGACACACCCCCCAAAAAAATCTGGTTTTCAACATTGGATGTTTGATTTATCCCCTTCACAAATTGTAATTGGTGTAGATTTCTAAAGAAATCAATAATAATGTGCAAGGGTACATATATGTTCAGAATTTACATTATTTTTTTCTAAATTTAAAGTTTTTCTTGTATCAAAATTTTTCTGTTTACAGTCTCTGGTCAGTGAGGGTCAAATTCATACAGATAAACTGGTTTCCCAAATGGGAGAAAACCTACAACAATGGGCTACCCAAACACAGGACAGACAGACAGAAATGGAGACACAGGCACAGTTTACATCTGATTGGTCAAACAACATGTCAGCTGAACTACAGAAACATTCACAAGATGCTGAAACATTTTTACATGAAGAACTAAGGAAAGATATTCCTACAGGTATGGTTCATTTAATATACAAACAAAAATTGAAAAGTGCTGCTGAGATCACTAGATCAAAACAATTGTCAGAGTGTATTTCTTACAAGGAAAATGAGATCCAGCATCTGACTAAATATTTCCAATGTCATGGTAGTCCTCTGCTGATGGATTCCTTTGGAAGATAAGTTGAAGGTAAAAGTGACCTGACAACATTTGTTGCAAGGTATTAGTAAGATTTATTTGTTTTTTTTTGTGACTTAATTTGCTTTTTCTGATTCAGTCAATCATTGTGGGGATACTTTTTTGAAATAACACATACAGTAACAAAAAAAAGAAATACTTTGTTGAATTTGAAGTCAGTTTCAGGTTTATAATTATCACGATTTTTGCACAAGGAATAGAATTTTGAAACACAAATATCTTGAAAATATGATTAATGGAAAATATCACACTCTGTTTCATAGCTTTTGTGAGAAACACATCTTTTGGGCTTCTAGTGTTTAGTGTAACCACAAAAAAGTGGAATCTTCAGGCAAAAAACTTTTTTCAGGTAATTTGTATTTCATTTCTGAAAATAAATTGTTTTGAATTTATTTTCAAATGATGATAAATGAAGCCTTATTTTATCTGAACATCTGATATTTAGAATACAGACTAAGAGTGAGATTTCATAGAACCTAATAGGTGCTTTGATTGAGAGCGTAAAATGCAAAGTTGAATGACAAGGGAACCATATATATACAATGGTTTACCTCTAATCCCTTCTTTATAGGAAGCACAGGATAATTATTATTGTCTAATGATAATATGTTGGTTGTTTTCCCAGGTAAAACTCCACAGAGAAGAAATATAACTTACCCTCTACAGCTCACACAGACCACTGAACATGATCTTCTACTCAACAACTTCAGGGCTGACTATAACACTGATCCGCTTGTTACAAACCTCAGCAGTTCTCTGGATGCAGTGGCAGAGTGTAGCCAAAATAAGGTAAAAACTTTTAATACATGTATATCTAAGACAGGGGTTCTCATCAAGTGACAATCTGCAATGTTTCCTTAATGTTTGTCTCATGGCCTGAGTGTCTAGTTAAGATCTTGCAATAGTGCATCTTCTTCCTCTGGAATCAACCTTTTCTTAGAGCTCAGAAAAAGTGAAAGGATGTGTAAACGTATTAAGTAAAACTACACCCCTTTTGCTAGTATATTTTGCTGAGTGTTACTATATTACTTTTACAGACAAGTGAGACAGATGAGGTAGAATCCACTCCCAGTGAAGTTGGAAGCGAGTCCTCTTGTACTTCTGGTGTTTCCAGCATAAGTCGAGCCAGCAGCAAGGTACAAATTTCCTGCATGCTTTACATTGTTATCTCCCCTGCATTATTATAATGATACTTAAGTTCTTTTTGTTTAAACCCAATTAATTAGTTTCTCTCAGAAAGAAAATAAGTGTGTTTTCAACTGAATTTTTCATTACTCTGATAGTATCTTCCCTGGTTTACATGTTCAACATTGTTTTGCAGATGTCAAGAAAAGAAAACGCTCTTAAGAAGCCAAAGTTACCTTCTAAAACAAAACAGAAAAATGTCAACACAACTCCCAGAGGAAAGACTCGTCTGCCTTTGAAATGCCAAAACCAAGCAGAGGGATGATGAGACAATCTTTACAACTTCAACAGAACAAATCCTTCATTTTAAAATAGTTTTAAAATCTAGGGAATTTTTGTACATTTTATATTGTTTTCATCTGAATGAAGGGAGATATTGTAAGAATGCTTGTCATCTTCTTCGAACCTGACAAATACCAGAAGTGAGAGATGTTCTTCACAAATGCAGATAATTTCATCATCCACATGTATTTATGTTTTTACGATAATCATGATTTTGTTCTTGGGGATGGGGGGAGGGGAGACTATTTGTTGCTGTTTGCAATATTTTTTATGATAAAACTGCATCCGAGATATTTTTAAGATGTATTAGTGTGTGGATGATTATAAAGTATGTTTACACTGATGACATCACATATTTTTGTGGTAAAATTCTGTTTATCCTCATCTCACAGTTTCCATTGCATTTCCGATCTTTTTTTTATTTCTCTTACTTCAATTTTCATCTCTTTCTTCCTACTACTGTACCTCTGCATCTCTTTCATCATCATTCCTATTTTAGATACTTCTCTTATAACTATGATTTGTAAAATCTCACACTGAAATCACATTTCTTATTTCAATTTTGTATCATACTAATACATATATATCACCACTAATTATATTTCAATATTTTAGTATGTAAATTTTTATCTTTTAAGAGTGAGAATAATTATGAACACACCTCTCGAACCACATTTCAAATAGTTGTAGCACAATATTGTGCTGAAATTCATTTCTGTATCAGGAATTGTTTTGTGTTGTCTTGTATACATAACTTATTTCATTGTACTTTTTCTTGATTTGTGTTGCTTTTGACTATAGAACTTTCCAATAATTATGTAGGGGGCTAACATTAAAATGTTTCGTAATTTAAAAGGTCATAATTTCAATGTCATTGTTGTAATTCAGGATTTTTCTTCAGGTCATAGTGTAGCTTGATGTTAAATCTTTTTAGTCTTATACCAGACTCCTTGGGAAAGAGAATTCACAACACTTCTCTCCTCAGCATTACAAGCACTTGACTACCTAGCACTAATTATTGGCCTGGGTAGAAATTAATTACCTTTCCCTAACAGATGGAGACACCTGACTCCTGTCTTAACCTGGGTATAAAGAAATCAGATTCTTCCTATGGAAGAGGGCCCTAACTCCTGGCTCTTCAGTTTTAACTTATAAAACCATTAAACTTGTCAATTTTGCACAATTTATATATATATGATATACAGTGAAATTACAACTTTGTCAAAAAATGTGTATGATGATCTGTAAGTATCCATTAAATATTTTACATCACATGGGTGTTTTAAATACAGAAAAAATTGAATCTCATTTTTCTTTTTTTGTTTTCTTATGTGTATATCATAGATATCAACATTATATTTCATCTTTCAGGACACCTGACTTTTGAAACTTGGGTTACTCGGGGCACAATAGAAAAAACATTTGAAATTTCATAAAACTAAGACACTGCAAAAACTAAATGCAGAGTAATGATGAAAGAGGAAAATATGTATTGAAAACGGCCATCTGTATCAACAGTTTCAGTTATTTTGGCAAATAATTTATTTCAGTGGCAGATATGACAATTTGACATTATATGACTTCAAAATGTCAGATTTTAAAAATTCAGTTAAAAAAGTTAAAATATAGGAGTTTCTAGTCATGACTTAGATAAAATGAAGTACTACAGTTTCATATTTAGGATTTTCCTGTATAGAAAGGGGAGGGAAATAACACATGAGGGTCTTCAAATTGGTTATACTCCTGCAAGCATTGCATTTTGCAGAAATCTCTTGAAATACTTCAATAGTAAGTTTTGATTGACTTATCTCAGTTTATATCTCACAGGGGTTACTGACTCCATTATTTCTTTATTCTTTGATGCCATAGACTTTGCCACCAAATTTGTGCTGTAAATAATTTCAAATGAGAGAAAATATGAAGAAATATATCAAATGATTCTGTCCCTATTATTTTTCTTTGTGCAATTTTCATGAAAACGGCTTCACTGTTCATCGAAATAGCCATAATATATATTTACATATTTCAAGACATGCGAGAGAATCACATGTAAATATGCATTATCATGTACATCAGCTGTAGTGGTGCTTGAATATGACAACTTTGTAAACATATATGCAAGATAGATAATAATTTTGATAACAGGTGAATCAAGATTTTCTAGAAATAAACTCTTTAAAAAAACCAAATACTGATCTTGTTTGTGTTCTTGTTCTTTATCTGTTGTCCATAGTCTTAACAAGTGGCTTTATTCTATTTAAATTGGTAACAACTACAGAAAGAACTAGTTGTAACAAGATTTTGGTGATAGTTACTATCAAATGTTGCAATGGTCCAAATCTTAACTATCATACTTGAGGTTCTAGGTTTATTTTGGTTAATTTAACAATGTCAAGCAGGGTACCAAACCAGTCTCTTAATATGGAGAATGTCTTTTGCCAATTTAGGTTAATTTAACAATCTAAAGCAGGGTACCAAACCAGTCTCTTAATATGGAGAATGTCTTTGCCAATTAGGTTAATTTAACAATCTCAAGCAGGGTACCAAACCAGTCTCTTAATATGGAGAATGTCTTTGCCAATTAGGTTAATTTAACAATCTAAAGCAGGGTACCAAACCAGTCTCTTAATATGGAGAATGTCTTTGCCAATTAGGTTAATTTAACAATCTAAAGCAGGGTACCAAACCAGTCTCTTAATATGGAGAATGTCTTTGCCAATTAGGTTAATTTAACAATCTAAAGCAGGGTACCAAACCAGTCTTTTAATATGGAGAATGTCTTTGCCAATTTAGGTTAATTTAACAATCTAAAGCAGGGTACCAAACCAGTCTCTTAATATGGAGAATGTCTTTGCCAATTTAGGTTAATTTAACAATCTCAAGCAGGGTACCAAACCAGTCTCTTAATATGGAGAATGTCTTTGCCAATTTAGGTTAATATAACAATCTAAAGCAGGGTACCAAACCAGTCTCTTAATATGGAGAATGTCTTTGCCAATTTAGGTTAATTTAACAATCTCAAGCAGGGTACCAAACCAGTCTCTTAATATGGAGAATGTCCTTGCCAATTAGGTTAATTTAACAATCTAAAGCAGGGTACCAAACCAGTCTCTTAATATGGAGAATGTCTTTGCCAATTTAGGTTAATTTAACAATCTCAAGCAGGGTACCAAACCAGTCTCTTAATATGGAGAATGTCTTTGCCAATTTAGGTTAATTTAACAATCTCAAGCAGGGTACCAAACCAGTCTCTTAATATGGAGAATGTCTTTGCCAATTTAGGTTAATTTAACAATCTAAAGCAGGGTACCAAACCAGTCTCTTAATATGGAGAATGTCTTTGCCAATTAGGTTAATTTAACAATCTAAAGCAGGGTACCAAACCAGTCTCTTAATATGGAGAATGTCTTTGCCAATTTAGGTTAATTTAACAATCTCAAGCAGGGTACCAAACCAGTCTCTTAATATGGAGAATGTCTTTTGCCAATATAGGTTAATCTAACAATCTAAAGCAGGGTACCAAACCAGTCTCTTAATATGGAGAATGTCTTTTGCCAATTTAGGTTAATGTAACAATGTCAAGCAGGGTACCAAACCAGTCTCTTAATATGGAGAATGTCTTTGACAATTAAGAGCTGGTTTATATTGGATTTAAGAATGTAATTTTTTCCCTTTAATGTTTTTCAATTCAGTTGGTTACAATACACAAGGTTAAAATAAAATGTTTAAGCAAAAACATGATTGAATTTAGTAACACAACCTAAAATACTTTCAAACTTGAGATCTCCCGTTTTTCATTTTTTTCCACCTTCACTTGTACGCAAATTTCAGTTCAGACCAATTCTGTTCATGGAAATGTCTCAAAATTTTATTTACGGTTTTTTTCAGGAATGTAGTAATGTTTGTTTTTCCAGGACTAACATATGAACAATGTCTCTTACTGTTAGAAGTCCTCTCAGCATCATCAGGAGTAGTAATTAAAAGTGGAATTGAGATAGAGGGACAGCGCACCATGACATAAGCATTTCAAGGTCTAAGGCCAGTTGAACTGCCAAGGATAAATTACAAATTGGAAAATTTCAAGGAATTTTTATTGCCTCTAAATATTGTACATAATGAATAATGAAGGATGATAACATTTAGCAGAGTTAAAGTGATTTCTGTCATATATAAACACGACATGCAACAAATACACCATCATAACAACATAGAACAAATACATTTATATATATTCATTCTCTAAAGAAGTGAAAAATTATTTCCTAATACAGATCTTTATTTCATTTCAAATTCTTGTTTCCAGCAGCTTATTAACATTACTACATTAAAATATACAATATTGTTAAATTCTGTACAAAATATCACAATCTGATGGAGGTAATCCTGCACAACTTCCAAAATCAACATCTTGTACAATGAGCAGTCTTGTTTAATAAATAAATTCAGCAGCTATTATTGAAAAATTAAATAACTGCCATAGAATCATCCTTTTTATCTTCATTCCCAAAAATACATGGTTATTATTTTTATACACTTTTATTAGTATGATATTCATAAATAGGCAAGCATCACATGAATGTACTTCTTGCAAACATTGCATGGCATTCATTCCGTTAAGAAAACGAAATTTTTTTTCAGGTACAATTTACCCTGGGTATAGTATAAAGCGACTGTGAACAAGAAATCTCAAGGGATCTTGGCACTCTTTTAATTTAGAACATTTAATCTTGTATTTACTGAGTATTGACTTGTTGCAGTAATCAGTGACTCAATTACCAGTCAAAATGGAAATAGACAGTCACACTTTCTGTATGACCCATCCAGTATTTTCTGAACAATAGCAATGACAATCTTCAGATATCAATATCCAAAAAAATCACATGGCATTATTTTCTCTCTGATTTCTCTAAAAAAAAAAACAGGCATAAATTTTGAACAATAGCAATGACAATCTTCAGATATCAATATCCAAAAAAATCACATGGCATTATTTTCTCTCTGATTTCTCTAAAAAAAAAAACAGGCATAAATTTTAACGTGTGTAAATAAATGATAAAATTAAGGCAAAGATGCATTCATTTTTTCCTGATAGAATTACAATTAATTTGAACTAATGTGAACATGCTGTCTGTCAGCCATTTTGTTTTGTTATTTCAATCAATTTCAATTGGTGAAAAAGGGAATCTTAACGTTAAACTTGAGTGAAATCTTCAACAAACAGCAATACCAAGACCTAAGGACGAACCCAGACAAAGGGCAATTTTGAACATCTCTAAATCTGTTGATGTTGAGCTAAAAACAAAACTTAAGTACACAAAAATGAAACACCGGGCTAAAGATAAGGATGATAATATAAACAAAACTAGCAGTGTAAATCTATTTCCCTGAGGTAGGACAGCCTTGTATAAAGCACCATGTAAATATAAGTAATCTTTCTTATTGGAAAAATTCAAAACTAACCATTAAGATATCAGTCATCGTTTATTCAACATTAAATTAATGTCAGTTAGTAAATGAACTGGAGTCAATACATACTATATTTGGTGACTATTGTCTTTGACATTTCTAAACCATATCTATACATATTTATCACATTTAACAGTTTAATACACTAAATTTACAACAAACTTCCCAAGTAATGTTATCTCTACAGATTGTCTAAAGTGGATTTTCTTCTCTTAGAATACACATTGACCTTGAAAAATCACCCCTAAAAAGTCCTAAGAAATGCAGACCTTGAATTAAGCCACCATCAAAACATGAGCTATCCACCTTTTATCGGACACATAGACAACCTGCCCTAAAATCCATGGTCTCAACCTTTAATCAAACAATCTAGACCATATTTCTCACCAGAACATATCCACCTTCCATCAACACAAGTAAAAACCGTTTTCGCCATGAGATCACCCAATATTCGCCTTCCATCTGTCAATATAGACAACATCACCCATTAGAACACCTGATATTAATCTTCCACTGGACACAATACCGACCACTTTCTATCAGACACGGAATGAACCACCTTCCATTACCTCAATAGGGGTCACCTTTCACTGGACATTATATAAACCACCTTTCATCAGAACACTTGGTAACTACCTTCCATTGAACACAATAATACCCCTTCCCCAGCAGAACTTGTTTTTCTTGTCAAATACAAATCCTAGTATTGCACTCAATATGACAGATATAATTGTTATAGCATAGTTTTCATAGAAAACACATTATTTTGGTTTTCATAGAAAACATTTAAAAACAATGTGCTTGTAATCGTATGGCTTCTGGAACTCCTCCAAGCAACACACAAGACACACATATCTAAGTACTTATAGGACCCATATTAACCAGTACTTCAAGTATTGAAGGTCCATGACATTGTCTCAAATCTAATATAAAACTTGTAAAAAAAGGCAAAGGAAAAATTCTTACATTAAGATCAATTAAGCTCTCCAATAATGTGAAAAAAATTTATTGAAAATAAACTAGCTTGAATTAAAATTTTAAAAATCCCCAAATGATTATATATCTGTAGAGTCACCACAACCCCTGTCCTTCAATCAAATTAAAGCCACCTTCTAATTTTCAAGGAGGGTATAAAAACGTTTTGAAAAATGTGTAAGGACATCACTGATACAAACAGTAAAATTATTGTCTTTGATGTAAATTTTTGAGCTGAAGTATTAGAATGTTTTCTTATTGTATTTGTCCAGTGATAAGTCAATAATACCCTAATGATATTTTCATGAGCCAGAAATTTTTCTGTATTGGGTCTCTGCGCTTATTACAGGAAAAATCCAGTATGTTAGACAAGGTTTTTGTTGGTCTTTTTGATGGAAAATACATACAAGCTAGGTTTATACAGTCAATACTGTTCTGTCTCCAAAACCAGACGTTAAGACATTCTGACAGACAATCATGTTTAAACATAAAGACACCTGTCTGTCGATCATTTAACATCTAGTGTATGAGCCAGGGGGAACTCAGACTAATAGTGACACTTAATGGTTCGTTAACTATTTCACATCATAACTATCCATTTACATAAAAATGACTGGATTAATCTACCCTGATTGTATATGTGGTAAAAGGATGTTTGGAATGTTTAAAAGTAAAATGAAAGTAAAATATGTAATGATGAATTTCCTGAACAATAGTCGAAGTATCATCACCGTCATGAAAGAAACTTTTGATTACATAGAAATGTTTCATCAAGCAACAAAACCATGCCAGCATCTAACTCACTCCATAAAATACTATTTTCATAGCTAATGAATCATCCAAACTGCGCACTTTTGAGTCAAAAGTAAATTGTTGGTTCCCTGATCTTACAGAAGATAATAACTGAGTGATACAATATATCTATCAAGTAATAAGCCCTGGGGGCTAAGACATGAATTTGTACTCAAAGTGGCGTTTGAGGTTATTGCAAGAAATAAAAAATCATTTGTTATTATTTGCACTAAACTACTACATAGGTGGGCTTATTACCCAGCATGGGCTTATTGCCAAATAATCAATATTGTATAGGCAGCAACATCTGACACAAAATATGTAAGTACACACAGACAATGTATTGATTGTGAACTACAAACTGCTGAACAGTATTTATGACACCAAGATTCCTAACAAACATGCATCTCTAGAAAGTTGCTTCGGCTCTGGAGGACTGGTCCCCAGGGATTTCTTTCCACGACCTGGGCTGGCGAGTCACTTCTAGTTGATGGCATTGTCCTAGAATTTGGATGATGTTCCTTTGGGGCAGGGAGTGTTGAGAACTGGTGGCGATGAGGCTCATCTTTCCTTAAACAGCATCTACGGATTGGACAAATGAGCATTGATGAAATTTTTGGATTTTAATAGTTCAATAAGAAATTAATCACCAATTGCTTATCAAAGAAAATAATCTGAGAAAATTATCAACCACATCAGGGAAATTATACATGAGTTCCTCAACTATATGTGTCGCCTGCATAAAGTGTCACGATTACCAAGGAATCAAACTGGATGTGCAACGTTCAACAATAAAGTTGTAATACCAAATTTCATTTCTATAACTCAAAGCATAAAGGGAAAACTGTGCAAAGCAATATTTCTGAGAAATTTTCCAAGTTCAAAGGGACACATCACTGCCAAGAAGGGTCACAGACTGCCAAGAAGCGAACTCGGTGCGTAACTTTTGACCAAGAACTCATATACGAAATTGCATTTTGATAACTCGAAGCATAACCAAGAAAATTTTCCAAGTCCAACAGGGCATAACTCTGCCAAGGAAGCCGTGAATCGAACCTTATCTATAATGTTCGACCAAGAAGCCATTTCTCATATTTCATTTCAAAAACTTCAAATTCCCTTGTTTATAACTTGATTTTACAGACCAGAAATGCTGAGGTCTAACAGACTTGGAAAACAATGCGAGAGGCAGGACCAAGACTGATATTTGACATTGAATGTAGGCCTGAATCAATGGCTTAGTGCCATATAAATGTGTTGCTCAAACATGAAAGTTACAAAATATTTATACACAAGACTTTTTTTAGGGCTTTCCCCAAGTCGAATAATTGGCTCCATTCAATTTGAAATTATTTCAAATTCACAAAATTTATAATAAGCTTCTGAACCTTCCCAATTTCAATTCATAAATTTTCTTCCAAGAAGGAAACAAAAATTTGCAATCCTGTCCAGTGACAACAGATTCATATTTTAGTTCTATGTTCTTACCTTTCAGGTGATACACCACCACATTCTTTACACATATCCTTGACCATTGTGATGCAGATTCACAGGGAATTTGCTGCAGAAACAGGTCTTATAACCACCGTAATCTGGAAGTTATTTTGTATTTTTTTACCACTAAGGTAGGTTTAGATTGTACTGCTGCTGTATTAGTAGTATAGTGTGCTGCTGCTGGCTGGTGAAACTATTACTGGCTGCTACTGGCAATTTCTGGCATTTGAATACCGAAATTTTCTTAACCACTGCAAAAGCAAATATACATGTCAGGAGACACTGTGCAGCTTGTGTACATTGTACAGAAACAATACAATCTTACTGTGAGTCTAGCTGAACCATAGGCATCTGTTCCATTAATAACAAAAAACACTAGCTAGCTTTGTCATACATCATTCTTATTATCAAGGAGACAAATTTACCAGTGAAATTCAATTTGGCAGTATATCTTTTTCCTAAACATTACCATGTTTAAATATAAAATCTAGATCTGTGTACAACTTTTATTTCTCTTTTTTTTTTGCACTAAATTTTCTGCACTTACAGGAATCAAAGACTGTATTGTGAAATGGATAATCTACAAAAGAAGGCAAATTTCAGGATTTTTTTCCTTTTTAGAATTCTTCCTTATGACTACTGACAGTATCAAAATAACTTCCCTAAGGTCAGTTCGGACAGGTCAAAGTAGTGGTAATATCATATCCCCTGCCAATCCAAAAATTGACTGTCCAATCATAGCATATTGGAGAATCCAGAATGCAATCACTGAATGGATCATAAATTTTCTTCTAGCTAAACATGGGTTCATTTCACCAGTCTGTAAGATGTTCACTTAGGACTGCTGCTGCAGTTGGAATCCCAAGGTTTTGTTTGGTTTATTTCTTGTCAATTTTAAAATATACACAAATATAACACACACTATTTTGCTGATAAAAAGAAAACCTGTTTTTGCCTAGTCAAGATAATGTTTGTAAATCTATCTAGCCAGACCTATATAGAATTCACACAAATCAAATATATTTTTTGTTTATATTCAATTCCATGAAATTCAAATCAACTTTATTAGCACAATCATAAGAACAAAAAAATATGTTTACCAACGTAGAAGAGACATTCAGCCAAATAATACTAAATCATTCCGTTATAATAACTGGTTTGATAAATAGGCCTGGTGAGAACATAAGTAGGTTCTTCTGCGACTTAATGTCTACAAAATTGTTCCTGAAGCGAATAACCCTTTAAATGCATACTTCATTTTCTGACCTTAAAAAAGGGGTTTAAATGGAAGTACTGTATATTTGTGTTATATACGTCTCTGGTACTATTGGCCTACGTTCTATATAAAGTTATATACAAGGCTATATTTGACCTCCCACCTGTTCACAACTCCCGCCCTGATAACCAGATCATTAACAGTCTCATTAAGAGATCCTTAGTCAATTTGTCTTTATTTTCACTGCATAGAACGTTATCTTAAATTTAATATAAACCATATTGTATTCAAAGCGAGTCATGCTATCGTAAACGACGCGCTGTCTAGGATCACAAATTTTGTGATCCTAAGACTTCACGTTATTTTTGAAACTCGCGACAGAAAGTGAGATTTATCCAATAGAAGCCAGTCATACTTACATCAACGCTTGTTTACACCTCTTGCGCCTCTGCAGACGTTCAGCTTCGTTATGGAGTAGATCTATTCGCATTATCACCAAACGGTGTGAACGTTCTAGTTTGGTATCCAAATGGATAAATGGCCTATTTGTGAAGTTCACGTGAAAACTAAATTCGACGACTTCCATATTTGGTACCTAACACGAGGTAAGTACAATCCGATTGGCCTGTCAATGTAGGTCACACTTGATGCTTCGGAGTATTTCTAGGGTTACCTCCATTTGATAACCAAACTCAAGAGGGTGACAGAAAAATTTAAAACTTACGATGTAAACAAAGGCCAACTCACAGCAGTCAGGGAAAGTACGATTGTTGAGAAACTTGTAACATACTGTATGATCTACACCACGTATTCCGGAAATCGCGATCATGCGAATCACAACTATTTCACTTTATCCTTGAACCGACAGAAAACGATAACAGAAACAAACAAACTGACCATATTATAATTGATATTACAAAGGCGTTCGGTAAAGCAGGGACGTAGACCCTGGATAAAGTACCTCATAATCGCCTTTTATACAAACTAAAACTGTATGGTATACAGTCTACTAAGTAATCTTAATAAATGAATAAATAAATAAACAGTCTGTCCCCGTTGGATATAAAATTTCAAAATTTATACCAAATATTTCAACTTTTACTTTGTCGGCGCGTCCCTGATTGTCTACTGGCAGCAGTGTAAATGAACAGGTATTAGGATGTATGTAGGCCTGTACTGACGACTGTGACACATTGCCAGTAAGCAACAGGTACATGTTACCAGGGACGTATACTGATGTTACCTATAAACCATTTTATTAACTATTGTACTATTCATTTATGTAAATTTCTGTTTTGCTTTTAGATAATTTTGTTGACGCCGTGTTGGCCCGTACATGTCTAACACATTTCTTGCTTTACTTTCGATTAATTAACATATTTGACGGCTTGTGATGGAGAACAAGTGACATTTAATGGACCTCCCAAGGAGCCAAAGGTATACAGTGTGCTTATGATAAAAGTCCATTATGATAATTATTGTGAGTGTTATTTGGATGAGGAGGGGAGTAGGAGTGTGCGCATCTGTAAGATGGTAATATCACTAATCAAGTTCGTATTTATAATGAACCCTGTATAAGTGCATGGCATCCGTTGAAGAAACATATTTCAAGGTCAGAATTCGAGCCTTCTATCACAAAAAATGCAGGTAACATTTAAAAAACGTAGTTTTTACTGTAAGAAAGCCAATCTGATTAAAACCGGAGTGTATCATAGTATATTACGATATGGTTTTAATGACAATGTATAATAAATCCGATATCAATAGTTCCAGAACGTTCAAAACCAAAATTCATTGGAGACTAACAATTGACTAGAGACCTATATACTCCTGTCTTACCCGGCAGGTTCAAGTATCGTAACACTCGTTCCAAAGAATTCCGACATCGAATACACTACTTATATGGCGGGTGTCGTGCATGAAACAAAAGACGCTTACCCTTCCGGAACTCCTAGTCCAATTCTCCTTGTCCCTTTTCAGAAGTCTCGGTGTAGAATTTCTGTTCTTAATATTTTACCCTAGTTTTATTGAATTTGAGTTTAGATAATGATTCTATTGACATGTTGGTATTTCTCGATAGCTGTACCTCTCTTCCACAACATACGTTGTTTACATGTCGCACTGGATTAGGTTTTCAAGGATTGCTTCAGATATAAAGATTTCCGTACAAGATGTCAACAGCTTAGAGAAACATATGATTACTAGAAATGCAAGTTGAAGAAGAGCTATTTCAAAGTTTTCTGATGCTTTTTACTCCCGCTGTTGTGGCTTTTCGGCCTTTCAGTAGAACATATTTGGAAGGGTTATCTCGAACAATTTAGATTTCTTACATATTTCAACATCTTAGGCCCAAAGAATTTCTGACGAGTCTATGGAGTAGTAGGAAACAGTTTATTTGCAGTTTTCCTCAAATTATAGGTCATGCTTGAGGTATACAAGTATGGCAGGTTGGTAATGTAAACTACACCCTTCGTGCATATATATTTATAAACCACATAACAATTATATTAATAGTAGAGAAATGAAAATTGTGTAAATGAAAAAAAGCCCAAATTTCTTTCGTGTGATTCCCATGGTTACCAATTTAAAAAATACAAAAATACTACCAATCCAACCTAACAATACAACTTTATAGAAGGAATTTATTTGTGCACACCTGTCTTAAAATAAACAACACTGCCATGGTAACAAATTACTTACATTTCAGCAAATTTCAACTTTAACCAATTTTAGCAGGGATTTATGTTTCATCTTTTTATTAAAACTTTTGTAATGGGGTAATCTAATGAACAAAAATATCACTCATGGCCATACCGACAGTCTGTGTACTTCTACCTGAAGGTTGAAGCCGCTGTATGATTCAGTTTGATTAATCGTTGCTTTGGAATTATGTGTGAGAGAAATCCATTAATGCTTTACAATATTTTAGGATATCCCATCCCATATAGGTCCAGCGATCGCTGTATATCGGCTTACCTCATCTATATATATATCAGAATTGACCTAGTTGTCCCGATTGCACATACCGATGTTCTCGACAACGAACTTTTAAGTCTATATCTATCTCTACTACCTCTATCTTACATACATATAAGGGCATGATGCGGTCACCAGCAAATGTCAAGTAGTCTGGTGTTTAAGCGATGCTGTAATCGGTTAAAAGGAGAGATCAGTATTTCGTGTGGCCAACATGTAAAACATCATATCCATGGCATCTAAATTCGATCAGATATGATAATGAGTCAATAAAACATGACGTAATTTAAATATTTGACGATTTTGCAGTATTTAATTCGTCTTCTCCCGCGATTTTTAACCAAGATTGTTAAAGAAATATACCTGTAACACCATTCAACATGATGTAAATCGAGTGACTGGTATTCAACGTACGAGGGATGGGCTTAAAAGGATAACGGGGATTTTTTACCAACTCTTTCCGATTCGTATGAACAAAGGGATTTTTTTTCAAGCATCCTTAAACTAGATTTCTTCATGTTGCAAAAACCAAGGAATCACAACAGAAAAATCCAATGTCCAAGAAAGTCTATTCCCCAAAGCACTGATGGAAGTAAAAGTATGAAGATACCCTTGATAACACAAAATGCAATGTTACTGGATAAATGATGTCGAAAAATAAGTAATCTAAAATCTAATAGATATCAATCAAATATAGGCATTTATGAATAATGTCTTTCAAATGCAACAGATTTTTTTTTTCAGTGACAGATGCAGTTTGTTTACTAATACTAGTCAAATGCATGGTAACATGTTGTTGTTTATGATATGATATTGTAAGAAGTCGAAACATGATCAAAGTCCACAAATACAGCTTCAATGATCCATCTTCGTCTTTTTATCCATCAAACATTTTACCAAGATAGGAGGATTCACAAAACAGACTGTAATGATATTTTCCTTAGTTCATTGATATCATCTACACAGTGTAACACACCGGAAGTCGAGCAATTTTTAGAGATATTACTGAATATCGTAGGAGTCCAACACTGATTCAAAATTACTTGTGAAACAGCTCGTATTAGATTAATATGCATACCTTTCAATAACATGGAACTGTTATAGCCGCTACAAGTTCCTACATTTTTAGCATAAAAAGTTATTTTTCAAAACAATACAAGTGTCTAACATTTTTACCGTGCATTGACATCCTTACACTCTGTGCCTTTTATCTGTTAATGTCAATTGTTCAGGTGACCCAGCAGTATAAAAACGTGCACGTTATGGAAATAAGTCAGTGACTGTCAGTACTGGGTCAAGGTCAAACGCTATCTATTTCATATCTGGATAATCATATAAATAAGTCGACCGATTTTCGGGCACTTGATTGAAATCAGTATTTCAAGATATTTTCATTTCTATTTTCATCACAACTCGGCTGATTCCATAACTACTATTATCATACAGGCACTGATGCTAGCCGAGGTTAGCCAAATGTCACTAAACTAAAGAATGACAACTCTGATATGTTACAAAGCTTGATTAATTAGCCAAACGCTTCTTGAATTAATAGCGAACACTTAACTTCACTATATAAGAGGCTAGACCCTCATCACTATATCAGATACTAGAACCTCATCACTATATCAGATACTAGAACTTCGTCACTATATCAGATACTAGAACCTCATCACTATATCAGATACTAGAACCTCATCACTATATCAGTGGCTACACACTCATCGCTATATCAGAGGCTGGAACCTCATCACTATATCAGATACTAGAACCTCAACACTATATCAGATACTAGAACCTCACCACTATATCAGTGGCTACACACTCATCGCTATATCAGAGGCTGGAACCTCATCACTATATCAGATACTAGAACCTCAACACTATATAAGATACTAGAACCTCATCACTATATCAGATACTAGAACCTCATCACTATATCAGATACTAGAACCTCACCACTATATCAGTGGCTACACACTCATCACTATATAAGAGGCTAGACCCTCATCACTATATCAGATACTAGAACCTCATCACTGTATCAGATACTAGAACTTCATCACTATATTAGATACTAGAACCTCATCACTATATCAGATACTAGAACCTCATCACTATATAAGAGGCTAGACCCTCATCACTATATCAGATACTAGAACCTCATCACTATATCAGATACTAGAACTTCATCACATCTAGAACCTCATCACTATATCAGTGGCTACACACTCATCGCTATATCAGAGGCTGGAACCTCATCACTATATCAGATACTAGAACCTCAACACTATATCAGATACTAGAACCTCACCCTATATCAGTGGCTACACACTCATCTATATCAGACTGGAACCTCATCACTATATCAGATACTAGAACCTCAACACTATATAAGATACTAGAACCTCATCACTATATCAGATACTAGAACCTCATCACTATATCAGATACTAGAACCTCACCACTATATCAGTGGCTACACACTCATCACTATATAAGAGGCTAGACCCTCATCACTATATCAGATACTAGAACCTCATCACTGTATCAGATACTAGAACTTCATCACTATATTAGATACTAGAACCTCATCACTATATCAGATACTAGAACCTCATCACTATATAAGAGGCTAGACCCTCATCACTATATCAGATACTAGAACCTCATCACTATATCAGATACTAGAACTTCATCACTATATTAGATACTAGAACCTCATCACTATATCAGATACTAGAACCTCACCACTATATCAGTGGCTACACACTCATCGCTATATCAGAGGCTGGAACCTCATCACTATATCAGATACTAGAACCTCAACACTATATCAGATCCTAGAACCTCATCACTATATCAGATACTAGAACCTCATCACTATATCAGATACTAGAACCTCACCACTATATCAGTGGCTACACACTCATCGCTATATCAGAGGCTGGAACCTCATCACTATATCAGATACTAGAACCTCAACACTATATCAGATCCTAGAACCTCATCACTATATCAGATACTAGAACCTCATCACTATATCAGATACTAGAACCTCAACACTATATCAGATACTAGAACCTCATCACTAAACAGAGGTTAGAAGTTATAATCACTATATCCGAGGCTAGAACTTCATCACTGTATCTGAGGTTAGAAACTCTAAAGCCACCGGCTGGAATTCGATCAAACACGACCGCACATTTATCATCTAGTGTGCATATCAATCATTCACCAGTACTGTTAGCAACGTAGACTGGTTCAATGGTATGAAGATTTCGTCTTTCTTTCTTCCAGTGCGTATAATTTCGGACAAGTGTTGGAATACCATTCTGCATACCAAGACAACAAGAGAGAAATCAGGAAGAAGAATAGTACAAATCAAACACGCCACTCAGCACTGTTAATTACTAACTGGAAGGAAGGAAGGAAGGAACAGACGATCGGTTCAATCAGTCACACAGGGCGACATTGTCCTCAACTGTTATATATATTTTTACATAGCCTTGACAGAATCAAAGGGGACACAGAAAATCAAACGTCAGACTGGAGAGGGAAACGCAAAACACCAACATTAATACAGATACATTTATTGAACGATGTCCTTATTACATCATTTAGAACATGTTTGATTAAAATCAAGTATGAACACATAATTTGATAACGATTCTTTGCATTTCATAACCTGTGGACTTACTGAAAGTATATTTGTAGTAATAGACGTCGATTAAAACACGTTACCAGAGAATATTTGTCAAATTGATATCACACTGCAAAATAAATGTTCCATCTGGCCTCACAACACAGTAAAGCATTAAAAATATAATGAAATACAATGAAAACACCAGTATCACATACATAATTTTGTAAGATGATGCCATAGAGATGCTTTTTAATATGCTGGCTGGATGTGTCATTATTCGTTACAACTCGGCTACTATTAGGAGGTAGCGGAACCAGCCGAGGTGTGCCAAAATATAAGGAACAACAACTCTGATAGGTTACAAAGCCTGATTAAATAGTCAAACGCTTCTTGAATTAATAGCAAGCATTTAACGATATCGTGTTGTAAAAATCAAAACGATTAAAACAGAACACAAGGAAAACAGCAAATACCACGTGATCATTTTTTGTTAGATGGAAGGTATATTGCCGTATACAGCTATCTTATCATATAGCGCCCTTGTCAAATATTCCTGTGGTTATCAAAACATGCTAAAAACTTCGAATAATTCAAATGAACTTAACAAAAACATACATTAACTGCTTGAAAAATAAAACAATAACAATAAAAATTTAAATAATCAAAACAGATAAAACAACACGTTTGATTTCCTGTTCTCATTCATATCATTTCCGTTAAACTGGTATCGAAACCTTTGAATATTCTTATTGGTAAAAGCATGTCATAGTAGGCAAGGAAGACATATTTGAAATATTCCCTCTTCAAGCAGGTTGAAGCGCAATGTTTAAGACTTCCAATTTACTGTTTTATCATCTGAAATCGACGTAGTCGCAAGCTGCACGCTCATTTGTCTGCTTTCTGTCTCCATAGCAACACATTGAGTTTGTCTGTTGTGTCTGCTATTGTTGTAGTCAACATCATGGAAATTCAGTCTGACAATGTGTATTACAATAAAATGAGCGATAATGCACTCATCAATGAAAGTTAAAGCAAATCAAAAGTTATAAAATGATGAAATTCAAACAAATAAATGTGGCTGTCGAATATAATGCAAATTATTATCACAAGCATTTGGCAATATTAGCAAGAGACCAACGAAGTAAAACTTCGCATAGAGACCACCTCACTATCAAGACTACTTCATTTCAGTCCCCCAATAATCATCTATACAAGATACAAGAAATTTGATAAACATTATCACAGAAGAGCTTTGTTTTCTAAGCTTCAAACCACCTCACTATTAATACCAGTTTTTAAAAAAGTTCCAAAGACCGCTCACACCACTAGCTAGTCAGACATAAAGTTACCGGGTGTATATTCCGCCAGGGACGTCCCTGATTTCACCGTGTACTGGTGACAGGTGTCAGATCTGTTAGCTGTATTTACGTGTCAATCTGGTTAATCATATATAACTATTTTTTGATTTTATGACTGAAAATATGAACAAGTGCCCGTAAAGCGACCAACCTGATATCAAGACCACTTTTCTCTAGTCACGAAGGTGGAATTCTTAGCGAGGTTTCACACTATAAGAAGCAATGCTGAATACACAGGACCAGCAAACATGGCTAGCATCTTCAAACTCAAGCATTTTACTCTAGATATTCATATATTCGCCCTACATTTTTCAAATACGAAATCGCAAAACCCTTCAATTTTGAAGATTCAGCGCCAGACTTTTGCTCCCTGTTGAAAATACTGTTGAATATGATCGTAAAATGAATAATAAGATCAAAATGTAAGAATCAGAAAAAAGAAATCACGTGGACAAAGACTTTTATATTATATTATTATATTCCTGTTAACACCAATGCGTTTGGCACCCTGTTGATTTACAATGTAAAACTAGTGATCTATATTCAAAATCTTGTGAGTACTCATTTGTTACAAAACTGTCGACCGTAACATTAATTAGACACAATTTAAAGAAGCTGCAGTAAGGTTTACTTATTCCCAGTGAAAAAATATTTTTGTTCCGTTTAACGATAGTTGGTATGGATTGGTCTCGATATATAACAGTGTCACTATATGGTATACGAGTATAACTGAATATACTTAATAAAAACTTCAACAAAATAAAAAAAAAACAGCAACAAAGTTGAAAAAAAAAACCCACACAACTTGAAACTTAACATGTCTATAGAGTTTTAACTAGGATTTTATCACAGATGACGAGAATGTTGTCCAATACATACTACTTCGTAGTACTAGTAACCACAACAAGCGGGTAAAAACGGCGGATCATGGCTATTCTGATCGATTCATTCTCAGGTATGCTCATTTTAAATATAAACATGTTCTTGACCGTTTGCACATGACCATGTCCATCGTTGGGAGACGAACAGAAACGTTGATCCATTAATATTGTATGGAATAAGAGTTCCTCACGAGTTATTATAAACGCAGTCAGCAGTTTCGCCCTTCAACTTCACTGTATACATTACTTCTAATATCCAGAAAATACGTACTGTTTTATAAACCGTACATTTATATAGATATATAATGACGGATGATTGCATAATTAGCATTACGGTTGCAAAAGTAATATTCAAAAACACAAATCACAATTTACATCACTTTGTACTATCACGGGACTACAGTTTTAATTACTGGATACCAACGAAATGTGTGATTGGTGGAGCGTTGACCATTAATTTTTTATACTTTCTAGTGAATATGTCCAGTCTGCTACGGTACGTGTCTTCATTATACGGGAGTCCGGTTTTCTTGAGGAACTTTGACACTGTTGGTTGGATTTTGAGACACATGTTGTCAGAGAGGGTCGGGAACAAGTGATGCTCCACATGGCAACTTACGATGGAGTGTCCAAAGCTATAGTCCAGAATAGGATTACGGGGAAGATTCAATACTCCCGTGGTCATTTGATAAATTCTAACAGGACGACTTTTCTGGGAATACATTGGAAGTCCGATATGCTGGAAAATATTTACATGGATGTACGGAATGGAAAGCATTGCACGTGCTGCCCATGTGACCATCAATGCTTGCATGAACGTAAATCCGGATATATTCATTAAGAGGCAGAAGTTGATCGAAAGGCCAATGGTTGCTAAAAACATGTATCGTATCATTTGAGGCCACTTCCCCCTCAGTTCTGATAAGGAAACGGGAATAGTGATGACTGGAACAAGCAAGGGCGCCACATACATGTACAAATACGCTGGAAGAAACGGAATCTTCCACGTACTTGAGTCTCCAAGTCCGATTATATTTGTATGTGGATGATGGTTCTTAATATGAATATCATATGCCGCGTCCGACGGAAATGTTCCGGCAATATCTGAACATAGGATCATCCATAGACGGTTCCAGACGGGCGATGCACACATGGCTCCGTGTGCAGCAGCATGTGCACCTTTAACGGCGATCGAATTGTGGCAGTATCCATATACTACAATACCCAGAACCATAACAAGCACATTATCTGACGACATTAAGTAGGCTCCTACAAATACCATCCCAAACACGATTAACATGATCATCCAGTCCACACCATACAGATCCCACCAAGAAGATTTATGGATGATCAAATTCACTTCCTCTCTTAAATTCGCCATTTTCGGAAGGTCTTTTAATTTCACTTTATCATAAACCTCCTCTGGTTGACCACGATCTGCCCCGAAGTAGCCCATATTGACTTAGCTTGAAAAGATTCGGAAACCCACCTTCAGCAGCTCCACAAGTCCGGGTACACTGTGTGCGTTACCTACAACCGTTAACTAACACATTCGGCTCGTGTAACATTTCAGTCCAGATATATAGACACTCCCAGTGAATCCAGTTTTACGTAAAATGATTATTTGTGAACGTTTGTTTGTCCAGGTCAGAGATAAAGTGACCTTTGAAACGCGAGATATTGCCAAGGTTGGTAGTTGATAACAATTGTAAAATATTGTCCTGTATCGCGGCTACAATAGTGTATAATACAACTTTCGATTGGTATCGCAAGCGTTAATATTTTATCTGCCTCTCCACTCTAATCTCACCCAATAAACCTCACACAGTCGAGTCAGTCATCGATCAACACGAAAGTTACAAGCTTATAAACTGCAGTGCGCATTTCCTCGGCAAGCAATGTTTTACTCCAGTCGTGTCCTCTATTACATCGACCGTTTCCAATTAAATTCACCGACGTAGACTAATTTTACACACCTGCAAAACCTACATTCTACAGCAGATATTCGTTTTGACCACATATTTTTACACAAATGCAAACATTCTATCTGACGCTGTGTTTCACTAATGACATTTTACCATGTGTATACATAAACTTTGACCCTCGAATATTAGCATATATTCATAAAGGGAAGAGTAATATTCGGAAAAAGAGTCGTCAGACTGAACAAACAGTATGGGAATGCTTTTGTAAACGGGTCATTTGAAAAAAAAATTAACGTACCCGTGTAAATATTTTTCATTGATCTTAAAAAATAGCAAATTGTACCTGCTGTCACCATTGTGAGTCGACTTCTTTTGGGGATTTATTGTAAACAACTACATTTTTCCTGATTTTTTCCTCGACACCAAGCCCACTATAATTTAGTGCTCGCATCTATGAGAAAAGGTTGTGTGTTCTATCCCCTGACCAACACAAACCAGAGTCCGTTGGAATGATTGCTTTGAGGTAGTGTAATTCGATAATAATGCCAGTGATTTGTATAATGATAAATACAACTATCATTTGATCCTGGACCCAGTTTATGTGGGGCGCCCTATGAAAAGGATGAACATTTCCTCAATCCGATAATGTCCCCTTTATACTGCCGTTTGACACTGCATATATGATATTTCTGATCCTGTTGAAATGTTGATTTGCTTGCTTCTGGGAAATTCTGATATGATAATGGACGTATTTTATTCAATGTCCACAATTACATTTTATCCACTCTCAGATTCAGTTCAGACTTAAACGTGATGCAATATAGGTGTTTATTTCCTTTATTCTATGAACTTTTGCGGCTTTTCGCCGAGTCATTAGTTATGCTGATAATAATGCGAATGCTCGAGTTGTGTAAATGAATATATAAATATGTACATGTATCGATTACTTTGGTGAACTAAAAAACAGCAACCAAATCTGATAGTGTACATAACTACGCATACCGAGGGGCGCGTACACCAAAATACAATGAACGATAAAGGGAAGTTTTTGCGACGGAAACATAGATAAATATTGATTCTGAAGTGATAATAAGTGGTTGTTCTTATCACATGCACTGTTGTTCAAATTGACTTTGAGTGCATGATCAGCCGAAAACATGTGGTGGATGCCGGATGCTGTTTTCTGTCCCTTAATATTGAGTAATCTGCCCAGTGACTCCTAAACTACAAAATGTCAGTAAACATGTCTACCACGAACGGAAACAGCATTCATTTTATCATCAACGCAATATTCATTAGAATGTTGCATTCTAATAACGGATATATACTCTGTAATCACCGTTGACTCCCAATGCGCCGTTTCGGGCATTTCGTCGCACCGGTTTCAACACGTTACGTGAAAGTGACCCTACTAGCATAAACAAATAAATTTCGGTTGATATCTTTAATTCCACACGACGCATATGAATGCTTTAAAAATGTTAGTGTTGAACTGTATCTTGATTAGTTGACATTTATTAGTAGGCGAATGGTGGCAATGGAGTTATAACATAAATACTAATAGTACACCATCACGTTACAAGCTTTCCATCAGCTGTTGATTAAAATTTATATTTACTTTCAAGCTTAAATGAATATTCGGAGTGATGACCATGTGAGCCATTCTGTGGCCATTCAGTGTAGGCCTAATTATCACCAGGGAGATTATTTAATGCATCTAATGTTTTGTGCGTTCTGAAAACATTTAGATAAAAAAGTCAGTGTGTGTATAGTGAGAATATTGATTTTAATCAATACATTTCTTACAAACCGATCAGGTGAAAAATACATTAATACAATCAAACACATAAATATGATCTGCCTATGTGTCATACCTATGCCTAATTTATCCGGTATATTTCTTCCTTTGCTTAGCAATAGCCATTGTCGTCATAACTTCCTGTTCAATGGTGGTTTCCGGTGAAATTACTGACAGTTTTCCCCACTGTCTCATCTGTTTACTTTCCTCTTTTTCAAGTCACTGTACTTGGTTGCTTGTGTTGTAAAATAACAAAATAGAAGAAATACCACTCATTCTATAGAATGACGCATGAAAAATAGAACGGAATCTCCGTCACGAAAGGTCAAGGTTGAAAAACAAAAATGGAGTCGTGCAATGCAGTTGAGAGAGAAGTTGAGAAAGTATTCAGCAAATTTTCCGGTTTGAAGGACCACTCTAACAAGAATCTTGAAGAGTTGTGCAATTCAATTCAAAGTATACAACGAGAATTGCGAGATGGTAAATGCTTTCATTTTATTGTTTTCTTTGTATGCTGCATATGGATTTAAGATGGTTTTCTTTTGTCTTCGATTTGTTTTTATAGCAACAGTTTGATAACATCAAAAACTTATCTGGATCGACACCATTTTGGTTTCATTAATAAAAATGTTCACTATTCTATTCGAACGAGTATAGGTCAATTAATGGACTTGCAGTAGAATTGGTGTCTTTTAAATTTAATCTGCTTAGTTCTTAATCATCATTATTTAATTTGGTAATCTACAATCTTTACAATACATATTATTTGGTATGATATAGTCAGGCATATAAAGGTATACTATACATACGACTAGACCTATTAATCTCTGAATTTTACTGAAGAACTGATTTCTGTACATACTTCTTCTACTTCTGCAATATATATAGATACTTACTTGCCGTAGTAGTAATGTCGTCTAGACATCGATTCCGGACGGTCATTTTGTCGAACAATATCACTTGAACTATTGACCTGCATATGTTTCGTTTCCGGAAAGAGTGAAAAATTTCTAATAAAAACCATTAACCATATTTTTTTTTATTGTTGTCATCAGTCAGGTGAATAAGAAATCATTTCATGAATTAAAGGCCAGGTCCTCTTGCAATTTTTTGGCTGGATGCCTTATATTGAAAAATGGTGATTTTTTAATACCTTTGATGACTCATTTCTAATTTTGTCAAATTACCAAGTTGTAGACAGAGAGATGTAAAAACAACTTTCTTTAAGTAGTTACTGTTACATAAAAGAAGTTTACCGAAAAATATGGCTTATTTGAGAAAACAGGGACTAAACAATAAAAAGTTTAATCTAACCTCGTAGAAAAGATGCACACATCAAAACTGACATCCACCATTATTTTATTTTGATGCTTTTGTCATCAAAATGTAGTTCCTATTCAAACAATGATTTTATGTAAAACACATGTGTATTTCTGGGCCACTCTAAGCTAACTCAAGTGTCTGTGATTTAGTGATTTCGTCAAAAACAGAAGTGCTGTCACATGTTTGATACATATGTCGATCATTTCAGGTGAGCAAATATCTGTGGATGTTTTTACTGGTCACTTTTTAAATGAATCTTATGGTATGAACACATTTCAGGTCATTTATGTATTTGTTTGTTGGCATTTCATTGACACAGTGTAGCTAGCGAAAAGTGATTGTGAAGGGGTCTGAAACTAATGCGCCAAATATACTTTCACAGAATGAAGATTTTGCAAGTGAAAAAAAAATTATATTTGAAGGAAATAATAGCAGATTTAAAAGAAGAGCATGCAGCACTAAATGCTAAATTTGAAGGTAGGGAGTTCCAGAGAACTTTGAAACTTTTAAACAAATAGAGAAAATTTTGTTTTAATTGCAGATGACAAGCTTACCGCTACTCAAACCTTAATACTGACACAGACTGTTCGAAGGATCAAAGAGGCAGTCTCGCGCTTGGGGCAGGAACATAAAGAACTACATAGTACAGTGTCCAAAGTTGGAAAATCCATTGACAGGGTAGGGAATCTAAACAGCTGTTGCTATAAATGTTATAAGTTATGATTCTATGATGACCAACCAGCAGTGAATGTGTGAATGATGTTCCTCAGAAAAACTTAATTAGTATTTAAGAGTTCTTCAACCTGGTTAGTAGAATATTGAGTTGGCTACACAACCTCGGTAAAGTTAAGATCTGAGGTGTGTCGTTTGATGCTCCAAACCAATGGTGGTGTGTGTTTTTCAGAAAGCTCAGAAGCAAAATGGTCTGTCCTGTCGTGGTTGTGTCCTTAGTCAAGACACTTTATTCCCAATTACTATTGAGGTCAATCAAATTATGCAATTAGCCCCCTGTTTGTTGTTCAGAGAGGTAGCCACTAGCTATTACTAGGAGATCATTCCTCAAAATGACCCTGGATGTTGACATTGCAATAACTCAGCAAAGAAGCAAACAAAAACTTACCTTGAAACTTTTCTGGTGGATTTAAGATGTTTATCAATGAATGAAGAATTTTATGATCATGTTCCTTAATCAGCAGCAATTGTGAAGGGATGATCAGTTGACATGTAGTACGATACTTCTCCAGCTTGTCTCCATGCATGGTGGTAACCATTAATGTACCGGTAAAAAACTCACTTATATCTAATGTTGTTCAGTAGACTTATTAACTAGCAATTTCAATGTCAAAGACTAAACACAGTGCCCCCCTACCTCCACCCCAATGGCCTGTAACAGGAAAAACTGATGTCTGAAAGATGGTATTTGTAAGCAATGAAATAAACCGTAGTTGGTCATCTTTTATGTTTTGCTGACTAACATTACAAAAGCTTGGTAACAGGATGCATGACATGAATATATTTAACAGATTTACTCTAAACTTTCAGAATTTTGTCAATGACTTGACATCTATAGCAACTGATGGTGCATTTGAGGGAGTGGAGAAAACTCATTTATTAAATGAAGTGGTTTGTGAACACTTCATGAGACAAGGAATGTTGGACATTGCTGATGCTCTTGTCACGGTATGGATAATGACCACAAACCAGATTTGAATTAAAATTAATTCATACATCCTTCTCACCTTATGAAAGATGGTTCACTGGGCATTAATCCTAAATCAAGACTTGTTCCTAAAATATGAAATAGATATGTAGTTTCTTGCTGAATTATTGCTTTGCTAGATAACAAGTGTGTAGATTTTTTGTTAGTGTTTGATTAAATTAAAAAATATATAACTGATATCTATATTACATACGCTATTATGTTAATTGTATTAACAAGTGTACCTAATATTATAAATTTTACAATCATATTTTTTGGATCTATAAGTTAATGCTTCTATTTTATGAATACAGGAAGCAAATTTAGAAATTGCAGAAGAGAAAAAAGAACCTTTCTTAGAATTACATAGAATACTCGGAGCTTTAAAACAGAAGAATTTAGAACCTGCTTTAAGGTAAGTTTTATTAATAGTCTTTGATAACATCTGATGTCATACTTACATGCCTAAATATAGTACATAGTACATGCATAATCATTATTATAATGATATCAATTTGCCTTCAAATACAGGCTGTCAATGTAAAATTAGTGATGTATTTATCAAGGAAATAAACAAATGCTTTGTCATGATTGCCCAGTAATAATCACATCTCCCTGATTTGAGTCTTTATATTTCATGTTTGATATCAAGACATGTCCATTTTACTTTTGTCTGTGTTTTTTGACAGTTGGGCTACATCTAATAAAGATAGATTACGAGAAATTAACAGTTGCTTAGAGTTCAAGCTACACAGATTAAAATTCATTGACCTCCTACGTCAAGGACGTATGTCACAAACTGAGGCATTATACTACTCTAGACACCTATCACAGTTTGCCAGTCAATATCCGAGAGGTATGTTTAACTTGTAAAATTTTTAAAGTCTTCCCGTTTGAAAACAGTTGTTTACCTATTTTCAAATACCCTTCATTAAGTTAAAACAATACACAGTAGTGTTGATTATGTTCACGGTAATTAAAGTTAATTTATGATGTTTGTTTAGTAGTGTACCTTGTTATGGGATGTGCAGAAAATTATGAACCCATTCATCTTGATTTGGAACTAGCCTGTAATATGTAATAAGCACTTAAATATTGATGGACCAGATTGCTTTCTTTGTTGACCACATGGAGACTTCTGAATACCTTTATATATCTTAGATCTACAGGTGTTGATGGGAAGCATGCTATACCTAAGACAAGGTATTGAGAACTCTCCATATGCCTATTTAGTGGCTCCTATCTACTGGGATGAGATATGTGATGTATTTACACGAGATGCCTGCTGTTTGTTGGGGATGTCGGTGGAAAGTCCTCTAAGTGTCAGGTATGTAGAAGATCCTCGTCGACTATTCTCCAATATCCATAAATTTAAATTAATTTGGCAGATTTTTTGTCTATTGTTTTACTCGTATCTGCAAAACTCATCTCTCGATTTACAAATGCTTACTAAAAAGCATTGTATGGTTTGTCATGATACATAATTGTGTAAGCAGCATTTCATTTTGGCAGCTTTTTTAACATTTTTATATTTTTATATAATTTGATACAAGAATGCTTGCCATTTTAGCACAGGGTGGGCATATATTGCTCGACTTCATGGTACTTTTAATTTTTATTCTACTCCAGCTACAAGTTAGACAAGCTATATTTGTTATAGATGGTAGCTGATAGGTAGTAAGTTATGATTATTTACATACCAGAATATCGGAAGCAATTATTCAGTTGCTAGAGCAGCAGACTTTGCAACCTTGGATGAAAATCTGATTTATGTGATTCAACATTTCTACCTGTGGCAATTTCTGTTTATGAGGAAGCTGAAAAATGGACTAGTCTGTGCTGTTGTAGTTGTCTTTTGGCAAAATACTTGCTTTGGATAGCATTCAGAGACCTCCCTCATCGGTTCAGTGAGAAAGTCTTCAGCTGCTACAAGGAGACCTTACCTCAAAATGACTCTGACTGTTCTAAGAGTGATGAACCAAGCATACACTTCCCCAGTTACTTGGTATTCACTATAAATATTCATTATTTGTTGCTGTAAATTAATTTAACCTGTGAATTTACATGTTGGTTTTAGTATCCGAGCAGGGTGCCTAGCCTTACCTCCACTGCTCAACATCAGACAAGTGATGCAGCAACGCCAAGTGGCTGGGGTCTGGAGCAATAAAGATGAGTTACCAGTAGGTTTCATTTGATTTTGTAACAAATGTTTATCAAAAGCTTCATCTAAACATTCAATCTTAAAATCATTCATTGTTTTAAATTATTTACAATTTAGTTTCTCTGTTCAGTAGTAAAAATTCTCATGTTTTTACCCAAATTTTGAAGCAAAAAGGGGAACATTTTTCATGAGGTATGTATTTTTCGATTTATTCTATTTTTGAAAATGAGGAATATTAGAATCCATCAAAAATAACAACCCTTGTATTAGCTGTAGGACTAAATGTCTGCCATCATCAGCTGAAGGCAAAAAAAGCTTTAATGATTGATGTAAAATCTGTTGGATAAATTATCAATTGTCTGGAGCAGCTTCATGGATGAAATCCCCAGTATTTTTACAGTGTTGTAAAATGCTTGTCATTTCTATCTGTACACAGCATTGTTCTTATGCTATAATCTACTTTTTTTACAAAATTTGGGATAGAAACTTACTGTACTTTACTTTTGATATTTTATGTTGGGAACTAATTGGCATCAGGCTCTGTGGGGAATGTTGTCATTTGAGGTAATAATCAAAAGAGGTTGACAATAGATCTATTATCCAGAGGGTGTTAACAATTGATTGGTTGATACTGAACTCAGGAGACAGATATTGAATTTATTAACCTTAAGATATTGACATTTGATTATCGACCAGAAAATGTTGACATTTGATAACTGACCTCCAGAGGGTGACATCAAATTTATTAAGTAGTGGTTGTTGATATTGGATGGATAGACCTAAGAATGTTGACATTTGATTTATTGACATGGTGTTTTTAACTTTCAATTATTGAGCTTGGCATGTTTGGGATAGACTTTTTAACCTGATATAATTTAAATTTGATGGTTGAACTTAGGACATTGAACTCTAAGAGAAGTTGTGATTGTTCAACCATTTGTTAGACTAATTCCTAGTAACATTTCAGGTAGAAATAGACCTGGGAAAAGATTACAGATACCACTCCACCTTTGCCTGTCCGATCTTACGTCAACAGACAACCGACGCAAACCCTCCGATGAGACTTATTTGTGGTCATGTGATATCAAAAGATGCTCTTACAAAACTTTCTAATGGAACTAAGTAAGTTTATAGCAACTTGAAATAATTGTAACGGCACCTTTGATAAAGTGGTTCTAATTAAGTTTTTTTTATGTAAATCTAAATACACATACCGGGTATTCAAATATTTTTGACTAAATGGTTTGAAACATATGATTATGGTTTGAACCAATATATGACTGCAACATGAGTAAGAGTGAAGTACATTAATAAAAATAGATGTGATATCTTCCCTATTCTGAATTTTCCATTTCTGGAAAGCAACATTCCTGCATCTCAAACCTATGCTGATGACATGTCAAAGTTGATTTGATATTCAAGGGCCTGTTCCAGTTATCACGATTTTCATGCTATATGTCATCAGGTGATGGACAAACTCATTTTATGTTGTTATAGTGATCTTATTGATTTCATTTATTATTTTGTGCGATATTAAGCTTGACGTGTGTGATGCTCTTCAGTTTGCCTGTAGGTTCTATTGTTGTTTACCTTGTTTTCATTTGAGAATGTTACATTACATACATGGATTTAGCAGAAAATGCTTACTTTTAGAGAACACCTGGTCTTATTGTCTTTAAGCGTTCTATTGTTCATATTTTGCCCTACTTTTATTAATTTGAGTTTTGATTATGGCTATGTCAACATGTTGGTGTATTTTATTGTTGTTTTTTCAGTAAAGTTACTTTGGTTTCAATTGGTTTGGTTACTGTAAATGATACAACATTATACCCAATCTCATGACACTGTCAAATTGAAAATATGACTCACTTGAAGTGGTTCTTGCGCCAATGTCTTACAAGGGTTTATATGGCTTTTTTGTTTTGAGTCCAGTGTAATGATTTTTTTGCGGAAAGAAGCTCTATCTATTTACCTATATCATGAAATGATTTCTCATAAATATTCACTTGAAAGCAGATGTTTTTGGAGTGTCTCACAATGAAAATAAACCTTAAACTTCTTAAATATATGGATGTGAGCAAAATCTCATAGCAAGTCTCGCCTCCATGCCAAATTCAATAGTTTGTTTGAATTTGCAAAGGACTCACAATTATTTATGATGGTAACAGCACTACACAAATACATGGAAGTGTAATACTTATTTCAGGTATTTCTGAGTTTTGTGTGGTACCTGTCTAGGTCAGATTTTATCCATAAACCAGTGAATTTTTTTAGCTTAAAGTGAGCACCTATATTTTGTGGCTGTCTACATCCACCATCTTGAAAAGATCATTCCTTAACTCTGATAGAATTGTAACGATATATGTTGTGTTTTGTTTTACAGAGTAAAGTGTCCCTACTGCCCAATAGAACAGCTGCCCATGGAAGCCAAGCAGATTTATTTCTGAATGGCAATCTTGACCTTACAAGTGGAGACTTGTTGCCTTTTGGGAGGACTTATATAATGGATGCTTTCTTCATGAGCTTGGTTCCAAAATTGAAAATTTTGATTTTGAATTTGTCTTGAGAACTGAGCATTTTTAAATTCAGTGAACCATTTTGAATAAGTGCTCCCTCTAAAAGGGAATTCAGAATACAACACTGTGTAAGAAGTCCTAGGTGTTGTTTTAACCCATGGTCTGTCAGCTGAATGTTTTTTGTAACTTGGTTTATGAGATCAGAGATCACCATCTGGCAAATTGGAGGTCAAAGTTCAACATAGTGATAATTTAGAGGTTGTATTGTAAGTTTATGCAGACATTTTGGAGGTCACAGGCCAACAATTTGATCCTTAAGGTCACAGGTCCACTCAGGATTTTATTGCAGGTCATATATTAAGATTTGGACACTGGAGGTTAAAGGTCAGCATAAAGATCAAATGTCAGCTCAATGACAACATGAGCATGTTTCTGTAATGTGCTGGCATATTTACAGAATTCATGCTTAGACTAAACTGAATGGACAAGGTTTTGTAACTGTTTTATTTTACACTTTAGCGAAATATTCTCAGATGCTTACTTAGCCTCTGAAAAATCTATGTTTTGATTGAATAGTGACCAAGAACTTTTTAAAATGGCTTTTTAGGAACTGTTTGTTCTGAATGTAAGATTGCTATATACAGTACCTTGTAATTTTTATGCAGATATAATTGTGTAATGAATGTGTGTTAACAACCACTTTTTGATTTTGTGCAGCAATGTGTGTGAGGGTACAGAACTACAGTCAAGGAATGGTGTTTTTAATGTAAGGAGTGTGTACAACGTCACTTGAATGAATGAATCACACATGTATATTATGTCTGTGTACTGGAATATCTAGAACATTGTATGTAAACAGTATAATATGATGTATGATGCTGTATTACACCAATGAGTGTATTACTATTAAATTCACTTATATGTTGTCAGCTTTTGTCAGACAACCTGTCTTTTCTGATATTTACTGATGGCAAGGTAGCACAGCGATTTGATCATGAGTGGTATCTGCTTAAAACAACACACAGGTGGTGATAAAGTGTGCCACTCTGGAGAGACTGCCAGTCTGGAGTAACAAAAGTGCGCTAGTCTGGAGAGACTGCCAGTCTGGAGAAACAAAAGTGTGCCACTCTGGAGAGACTGCCAGTCTGGAGAAACAAAAGTGTGCCACTCTGGAGAGACTGCCAGTCTGAAGAAACAAAAGTGTGCTAGTCTAGAGAGACAAAAGTGTACCACTCTGGAGAGACTGCCAGTCTGGAGAAACAAAAGTGTGCCAGTCTGGAGAAACAAAAGTGTGCCACTCTGGAGATACTGCCAGTCTGGAGAAACAAAAATGTGCTAGTCTGGAGAAACAAAAGTGTGCCAGTCTGGAGAGACTGTCAGTCTGGAGAAACAAAAGTGTGCTAGTCTGGAGAGACTGCCAGTCTGGAGAAACAAAAGTGTGCCACTCTGGAGAGACTGCCAGTCTGGAGAAACAAAAGTGTGCTAGTCTAGAGAGACAAAAGTGTACCACTCTGGAGAGACTGCCAGTCTGGAGAAACAAAAGTGTGCTAGTCTGGAGAAACAAAAGTGTGCTAGTCTGGACAGACTGCCAGTCTAGAGAAACAAAAGTGTGCCACTCTGGAGAGACTGCCAGTCTGGAGAAACAAAAGTGTGCTAGTCTAGAGAGACAAAAGTGTACCACTCTGGAGAGACTGCCAGTCTGGAGAAACAAAAGTGTGCCAGTCTGGAGAAACAAAAGTGTGCCACTCTGGAGAGACTGCCAGTCTGGAGAAACAAAAGTGTGCTAGTCTAGAGAGACAAAAGTGTACCACTCTGGAGAGACTGCCAGTCTGGAGGAACAAAAGTCTGGAGAGACTGCCAGTCTGAAGAAACTGGCAAAGAATTTTACTGGAATGCAACATGCTTTCAACTTGGCAACCAGGAAATTTGTAATTATCTGTTGAGAAGTTGACATAAAGGATGTAATTATACTGTATACATTGTTAACAGATTGTAATATAATGTAATATATCTATTTACACTTTAATATGATTGTTTATAATGTAATATGATGTAACATGAATGTTTACATTGTAATATAATTTAAACATTCTGCTTACATTATAGTGTGATGTAACATGAATGTACATTATAATATGATGTAACATGAATGTTTACTTTGTAATATAATGTAACACATGTATTTCTGTTTACATAGTAATGTGATGTAAATACTCGGTAACATCGTAATCACGGAACTGTCTTGATATGACATTTATGATATGGATAAATGACATTGCTTTGAATGCAAATATCTTATCCTGCACTAGTACAATATGGTCTGTAACAACTGTAATGCTATAACAAAAATGTTGATTGCTTATATTAATGTTTTATACACCTTTTGATTTCAATTACAAGTCAGTTAAAACTAGAATTCTAAATGATTACAAGTACCAGTAATTTAATTTATCAAATGGAAGTCATTTTGACAAGGTAGGTAGCTGTCTCTATAACAACAATGATATCATGGTCACACTATGGATGTTGTAGACAATCCTGAAAATTATATATCTATTTGTAAAAGCTTATAAATTTTGTATAGTAACATTGCTCTGCAAATGTAAATATTGTAATATGTGATGTATTTTGTTTACATCCTAATGTGATGTAAATTTTCTTGTTAAGTTGAAATGTGATAATATTTATGTAGTGGCATTGTTTCTATTTATCCATTATGTGTTTGGGTGAAACACTTGTACCTAAGATGAATGCGATAATTATAAATGTACCTGATTTTCTACAAGTAAATTTTGACAAATCAGTGCAAAGATGAATTTGCACATCAGATATAGCTGCAATATGTAAACACTATACAGAAGTAACAATTAGTGTTACCATTTTGTTGTGGAAGTCTTATAACGTAAGATCACCAATAAAATACATTTATTGTACAAGATAATCTCAGTCCTGCAGGAATTAACTGAAAGTTTTCATCATTGGTCAGACAGCATTGTCTTTATAGATGCATAGAGGAACATTGTTACTGATACCAGACATTTAAACGTACCACAACACCAGATGAGGTGATTGGTGGTCAAATAGATTTACTGACCGTACAAGGTGGTTTGTCATTAATTAGTTAATTGGTGACCTTTCAAATGAAGGTGATGTTTAATCAGACTTTCTAGCAAATGAATTGTCAATGTTGAAATGCATTTCATGTCAATTCAATTTTGATAAAATTAGTGGTCCATTTGATAGGTCACAAGGTAACCTTTCAACTATTGGAAATAACTGTTCTTCGGTGAAATGCACCAAGTTCATGACTGTGACATGTAAAAGGTATTAAAGTCAGGTATGTCGCATCATTTTACCATGTAGTGAAAGTTGTCATGATTTGTGTTAATATGTGATATCATCAGTTCATTTCTGGCACCTGGCAATAAACCTTGAGTTGTTTAAATGATTTGCTTTGTCCTTGAAAAAAAAATAAATTGTTGATTTTTACATTGTTATTGATTTTGTCTTTCATCTCTGGAACTTACATTCAGTAATCAGTATGTAAACACTCTTTTTCCTATTTCACTTTTTAACAACAAATCCCCATCATCAGCAGACAATTTACATTGAGTTCTACAAAAATACTTTCAACCAAAACAAAAGGGAAATTTTTTAAGAATTACCACTATATATAGATGTCAATGTGAATTAAGAGGGTCAATGATATTTATGCTCCTCTAAAATTTTCTGGGGAGCAAACAAGTTGCTGCCTTGTCCGTTTGTCCTTTTCATGTCATTAGCATAACTTTGCCCACAGTTTAACGAAGGATCATGAAGCTTATTGTATACATTGGTCATACTCCGGGGATGTGCAGTGTACCAAATTCAGGGACCTTGACCCTGTAAATACATTTGTTAAATTTTCTTTTTCGGAGCATAACTCAGCTTGCATTTAAACAAGGCTAATGAAACTTGGTGGATAAATTGATCATACTAAGACAATGCACAGTGTACCAAATTCAGCACTGCTACCTCTCAATAACCAGAGTTATTACCCTTTGTTAAAAAATTATTGATTGGGGCATAACATTGCCCACACTTAAGCAAAGATCATGAAACTTAGTATATACAATGATCATACTAAGACAATGTGCTGTTTACCAAATTTCAGGCTTTCAATCACTCAGTTTCAGAGTAATTGCCCTTTGTTAAAAATATCCTTTCAAGAGCATAATTTTGCTTGTATTTAAGGTAGGATAATGAAACTTTGTGTACAAATTGATCATACAAAGATTATGATCAGCGTACCAAATTAAGGGCCCCCAAACCCTCAATAACAGTTACTGCCCTTTGCTAAGATACCTTGTCCAGAACATAACTTTTCTTGTATTTAAGGTCGGATAACGAAACATGGTGTATACATTTACCGTAGGAAGACAATACAATACCCCTCAGTAATGAGTTATTGACCATTGTCAAAAATTTGTGTCACAAGCATACCTTTATTTGCATTCAATCTAAGGTATTGAAACTTGGTGTATACATTGGCCATACTAAGAGAATGTGCAGTAAATCAAATCCAGGGCCCGCAACCTCTTAATAACAGAATTACTGCCCTTAGTTAAAATTTTTATGTCCAATAAAGACGATTATGGGAAGCATTCATCAGTTTCACTGATGCTCTTGTCTAAATAGGTCAGAATGCCATGAGCTGAATATATTAAAAATGATTTTTAAGGATTTACTTTTATTTCCTCTTTCACCATAAAGTGACCAGACTAAAGGTGGTTTTAAATATGCGATACCATATCCCTAATTGGGCTCCACTTTTCTGCCCATAGAGAGACCAGGGTTTCTGATTACACAAAACTGAGTTATATCACCCAAGAATTTTCTTTGCCAAACTTGTTCAAAATTGCTAAATCTATACTAAAAATTATGGAAAGGTTACTTGACTGAGGAATGGAAGTGGATCATAGGTGAAAAGTGATTTGGATGAGATGGTAACTAAACAGATCAACACTCCAAACAAGTTTTTATAAATTTATTTTTAACACCTAATGCAGGAGAAGAGAACAACATAAAAGTCACAGATTTCTGTACATTTTCCATGTACACTACAGTTTAACTCAAACTATCTCAATTTGTACTGATGACTCCCATTGTTTGCATTCAGTTTTAAAATTTCTGGTTATTTTGACAGTTGTTCACTGATCTTTAGATAACCTGAATATTATGATATTTTTTGTTAAGGCAATGAAAGAATGAGATTTTTAAAATTCAACTTTCAAGTAAAATGTAATGGTTATATCAAAAAAATTAATAGATTTTATTTGTAAGAATTCTTATATAGATAACCCTGACTCCCTTCATATATGAAAATCCAGGATAGAGAGCACAATAGCACTACTGGAAAATATTCTCTATCAATTACCAGATACAGAGTGAAAGTTCATATCTTTAATATCATATTACAACAGTGCAAGGACCATTTTCTTTTTATTTGTCAAAAAGAGGGTCAAAGGTCAAAGTTTATCTAACCAAATCTTGATGTGGCCTGTGATTCTGTACTATACCTGATTATTAATCTTTTGATGACCACATGTTACACTGGTGAATAACAATAACATTATATGCTACATTTATACAGAGAAAGATGTTTTTAGAAAAATATATGAACATCTGGACGGATTCCCTGTAAAATTCTTTGTATGAAATAATATTAAGAAAAAAAATGTTCAAGAACAAAACACTTGATAAAAGTGCAGGCATCCTTTTAAGTTACACAAACTAGTCTAAAATAACTACATTGATAAGCACTTTCCATCTCCAATACATGTACATGAATGAAAATATAATTCAAAACAAAAGACAATGACGAGTACATTAATATCAAGTGAAAAAGGACTCGGGGAAACTTTTTCTGATCAATATTTCAGAAAAAAAAGCCCAAAGCCTTATATAAATATTATACACTAAAAGTACAGGATTCTTTGAAAAAAAAGTGAAAATATCTCCAAAATCCAATAAAGGGGGCTACATGCTCCCTGTGAACACAAGAACAGCCCACAGCTCACTCTGTTTCTCTGACACAACAGCATAAGTTGTTTTAAACATGCATTGCACTTAATTTGATATGAAATCACAGCTACTAAACAAAACACATACTTTTTATAAGATCAAGATACACATCTCTGTAGCATTAAAATCACTACACATCCATAAGCATCTACAACATTCATAACTATTTTTTCTTTCTTTTTTATTCAGCTAAGAAATAGCAAACAATATTATCATCTCAATTCCTCAGCATATTTAATAGAATAATCTTACACTGTACAACATATTTTCAAACACAGCATCTTTTTCATTTGTAAATCTAGTTCTTGAGACTTTGACCATCTAATTATATAAATTTTATACAACATATTAGACACTTTCTGTTAGGTAATCTGGAGACTCCTGAGATATGTTCCCAAACTTTTGGACAAAAATAATTGAAAATCTTCTAAATTATTAATGCAGAATTTAATTATGTTAATGTCATTTGAAAGAGCAGATAGAAATACAGGAAACACATTTATTTTGGTGCAATCAGATTTAAGTGCAATATCAATTTTTAACAAATCATGGCAATGAGGAATTCAACCATTTGCAATAATTGTTATATCAATAACATACAGTGACTGCAATTTACATACTCATAGCTAAAATAAGATTATAAGAAAAATATCCCTGTTTACAGTATCTTGTTTAAGTTTGAAGCTTTTCAAAAACATGCCGAAAAATGCACTTATTGGAAAGCATTTTTCATGAGCAATCTCTTCAACCGTAAAGTGAAAAGCTGATATGTATGTGATATTGTAATAAGCATATTGTGATGTATTTTACTATGTTATGTAAATATGGAATTTCCCTCTCCGACTCCTGAAACTATATTCCGCCCAGCGGAGTAATAAAAGTTAGTTGTTGGTACCGCCATGATGTATGATGTGTGGTTAGTCAGCGCCGGTCCACTACTGTAATGTTTTGGGTCAAGACACGACACATATCAGTACAAACTCGAGGTAACTAGATAATAATCTCAAAAGTCACTGAATGAAAATAAAATCTCAACAATTTAATTCACATTTATTGAAACTTAAAAAAACCCAATGAAATTCAATTCAATATGGTTTTTAAAAAATTCTGCAAGGATCTGTACAGGATGTCTTTGTATTATACATATTTCAGAATAGGCTAAAAACTGTATTATGTTTTTAGTTTTGTTTTTTCTTTATGACAATTTTTTGCCAGTTTTACCTAAGCTTGAAATAAAAATGATATATCATTATCATCTTTATTCAAATCGAAGTTATCTATTTTTCAAAATGTTATTTTATCCTAGTCATTAATTGAAAACTGAGCAACTTGAAAATAAAAGCTGTTATAGTGCATGTATAATTCTACATTTTGTAACTTAAACTTAGTTAGAGTATGTATTGTACATGTACAGCTTACAGAATTTACCATTAAAGTATCATCATTAGAGTAACTGTACATTTTCCAGCTCTCTCAATGATAAAATAGACCTGTATACCCTTACTGACATTTATCTCTGAATTCAACACAGCAACCATTTATCTCACAATTACAAGCATTCTAAGAGTAGTATTGTTAATCTGGTTGGTGATCTATTACACATTAGTTTTTCTTGAGGTAGAAAACCAGGTCTGAACTGTCATATCCTGTGACACAGAAGCCCATCCCTGCTTTATGTACAAACTGTCCACCACACAGCTGCATGTCTGTGACACTCTCACCAAAACAAAACTCAATCTGTAACAATGAAGATAAGGATTTATGTACCATTTTCCAGTAAAGGTAGGAGACAATACCAAGGGATGTATACTTTCAATTAGTTGTGATATTACAATGGAAGTTGCTGTTTACTGTAGGTCTAATAGTTATTGTATATCACAAAGATTATCCTCATCAAACTCTTCACCTCGCTTTTTGATGACACATTTGAGCATGCTCTTATCATACAATTCTTTTAAGGCTAGCATGAGAATGAATGTTATGGCAATGACTTGACAATCAATGATTACATTTGAATTAGATTTAATTATCCAATAAAAAATGTGTTGCATAACTGTAATTTTAGAATCAATATCATGATTTGAATTATATTCCAATTTATGATTATCTTTTACTACTTAACAAAGACCCGTGTACGAAAATGTCAACTTTATAAAGGTTTTAACAAACAAACCTGATTTACCAACAAATAGTTGTCTCTAAAGACCACTTTAGTATGCATACAACAAATACCTGTCTCTGAAGACCACCTTTGTATGTATATTACAAATATTTGTCCCTAAGACCACCTTTGTATGTATATTACAAATATTTGTCTCTAAAGACCACCTTTGTATGTATATTACAAATATTTGTCTCTAAAGACCACCTTTGTATGTATATTACAAATATTTGTCTCTAAAGACCACCTTTGTATGTATATTACAAATATTTGTCTCTAAAGACCACCTTTGTATGTATATTACAAATATTTGTCCCTAAGACCACCTTTGTATGTATATTACAAATATTTGTCTCTAAAGACCACCTTTGTATGTATATTACAAATATTTGTCTCTAAAGACCACCTTTGTATGTATATTACAAATATTTGTCCCTAAGACCACCTTTGTATGTATATTACAAATATTTGTCTCTAAAGACCACCTTTGTATGTATATTACAAATATTTGTCTCTAAAGACCACCTTTGTATGTATATTACAAATATTTGTCTCTAAAGACCACCTTTGTATGTATATAACAAATAGCTGTCTCTGAAGATCACCTTTGTATGTATATAACAAATAGCTGTCTCTGAAGATCACCTTTGTATTTATATAACAAATAGCTGTCTCTGAAGACCACCTTTGTATGTATATAACAAATAGCTGTCTCTGAAGATCACCTTTGTATGTATATAACAAATAGCTGTCTCTGAAGATCACCTTTGTATTTATATAACAAATAGCTGTCTCTGAAGACCACCTTTGTATGTATATAACAAATAGCTGTCTCTGAAGATCACCTTTGTATTTATATAACAAATAGCTGTCTCTGAAGATCACCTTTGTATTTATATAACAAATAGCTGTCTCTGAAGACCACCTTTGTATGTATATAACAAATATCTGTCTATGAAGACCGAATTTGTATTTATATAACAAATAGCTGTCTATGAAGATCACCTTTGTATGTATATAACAAATATCTGTCTATGAAGACCGAATTTGTATTTATATAACAAATAGCTGTCTCACCTTTGAAGATCACCTTTGTATTTATATAACAAATAGCTGTCTCTGAAGATCACCTTTGTATTTATATAACAAATATCTGTCTCTAAAGACCACCTTTGTATGTATATAACAAATAGCTGTCTCTGAAGATCACCTTTGTATTTATATAACAAATAGCTGTCTCTGAAGATCACCTTTGTATTTATATAACAAATAGCTGTCTCTGAAGACCACCTTTGTATGTATATAACAAATATCTGTCTATGAAGACCGAATTTGTATTTATATAACAAATAGCTGTCTATGAAGATCACCTTTGTATGTATATAACAAATATCTGTCTATGAAGACCAAATTTGTATTTATATAACAAATAGCTGTCTATGAAGATCACCTTTGTATGTATATAACAAATATCTGTCTATGAAGACCGAATTTGTATTTATATAACAAATAGCTGTCTATGAAGACCGACTTTGTATTTATATAACAAATATCTGTCTCTAAAGACCACCTTTGTATGTATGTAACATATATCTGTCTATGATGACCACATCTATATACATATTACAAATACCTGTCTATAACGGCCGTCCTTATAAGAAACACCAGTATAAATCCACTTATTATAAATGAAACAAATACCGGTCTATAAAGGCCAAATCCATAACAAATACATGTCTATAAATTCCACCTATAAAAACACACAACAAATATCTGTCTATAAAGGTCACACTTAAAAGTTCTTAACAATCCAATGTTTTATAATCACTCTAAATCCTTAATAAGTGTAATCTTTTTAATCAAAGTTTTCCTAAACTAACAAAACACATTTTTGTATTCCTCAGACAATCAGCATAAATGATTTGTCAAGAAATTGTATTGGGCAATGATTCATAATCTTTATTATTCTATTAACATGTAAACTCTACCTCAGGTGTATCCCCTGGCTTCAACTTCCAGATCCTTGCATTGGTATCATCACTCACAGACAGAAGCTGAAATGGTCAATCAAAAGTACTGGTAGTTTGTTAATATGTAAATATAAAACAAGTTCCTAGGGTGGGGACTGACTTCAGAGTCAGTCCTAGTAGCACAGATACATACGTACATTGTACTCTCAGCATTGGTTTAGGAAGTGTTGAAATCAATTAGGTTAAGGATGCAGATGCTTCTGACCTAGTTAGGTATGTTCTGAAAAAATATTTATTTCTTTATTCATTTTTGAGGCATGTTCCCTTGAGTGACATGGGCAACAGAGGGGGAATCTCCCCATTTACATGTAAGTTATTATGTATACAACACAAATTGGTCTAATACTTGTCAGTGCTTTGCATACAATTTGTTGTGGAGAAAGAAACTGGCTTTGACTTTACAACATCTTACCAGTCCACTGTCCTTGGCTATGTCCAGTGCGTTAACCCAACGTACATGGGCACTCACTTCGGCTGCTAGTCTTCCTGTGTTAGCGCTGTATACCTTTAACTGACCATTGCTGAATCCTCCTACGATTATCTTCTTCCAAAGGCACACACAGCTGCAGGGATTACTGAAAACATCATAAACTTTTAACATAAATACTATGAATATTGCACATGTCCAAAATTGTTTTCTGAACATCAGTGAATCATACAAAGCTTATCAATGAAAGCTTTCTCATTACTATTTTAACTTACAAGAAGTTGTGATTTTTAAGATGGTGATCATGGGTGATTAAATGTCTTATACAGGTCAAATTATGTTAAGATATAAGTATGGACCATGGCATACATTATCTATATGGGTTGAGTAGACATTTGTTAACAAATGGAGACCTTTTGGATTTCAACTAGCTGAGTTTAACACTGGTTTTTGAAAATCTCATAAGGTATGCCACTGCTCTACCGTCCTGTAAAAATATTTTACCTTCCTGTTTCACTTGAAAACCTCCTGCTGTTGTAAACTAGACATTTCCTGTATAAACATTTTACTTTCCTATTTCTCTCGAAAACCTCCTGCTGTTGTAAACTAGACACTTCCTGTATAAACATTTTACCTTCCTGTTTCCCTTGAAAACCTCCTGCTGTTGTGTACCAGGGATTTCCTGTTTAAACCTTTTACCTTCTCATTTCTGTTGATAACCTCCAATTGTTGTGTACTAGGGATTTCCTGTGTAAATGTTTCACCTACTCATTTCTGTTGATAACCTCCAACTGTTGTGTACTAGGGATTTCCCGTGTAAATGTTTCACCTACTCATATCTGTTGATAATGTCCAACTGTTGTGTACTAGGGATTTCCCATGTAAACATTTTACCCACTCATTTCTGTTGATAACCTCCAACTGTTGTGTACTAGGGATTTACTGTGTAAACGTTTTACCCACTCATTTCTGTTGATAACCTCCAATTGTTGTGTACTGGGGATATCCTATGTAAACGTTTTACCTACTCATTTCTGTTGATAACCTCCAACTGTTGTGTACTGGGGATTTCCTATGTAAACATTTTACCTACTCATTTCTGTTGATAACCTCCAACTGTTGTGTACTGGGGATTTCCTGTGTAAACATCTTACTTACCCTTTTCATTGATATCTTCCCGCTATTGTAAACAGGACACTTCCTGTGTAAACAATGCACCTACCCATTACCCTTGATCACTTCCCGCTGTCGTATACTTGTTTCATCCTGGAGTGACCACACAATGATGCTTCCTTGTTCGTCACTACTGACCATTGTGTTACCTTCTGAGGCAATGTCACATATTGGTTGTTTGTGACCTGAAATGAGCAATAATATAGCTTTAATTTTCAACAAAACTCTGGTCACAGATAACTTAACATATCATTAAATACCTTTTATTATAGAAAATTTGTTAATTTTGATTTTTCTTCATCATTTCATCATAATCATAGTCATCATAATCATTGTAATCATATACATTCTATACACATCATGATTCATCCTTCTCTTCCACCACATCATCATCATCATCATCATCATCATCATCATCATCATCATCATCATCATCATCATCATCATCATCATCATCATCATCATCATCATCATCATCATCATCATCATCATCACCACCACAGAAAATTTGAGGTCAACACTGAAGGCAAAATTTACAATAGAAGCTGATATAAATAGTTCAAAGTAGACTGATTTAAAACTGACCTTAGTAAGTATAATTCAGTGCCAGGTATTTTTGAAGTCCTGGTTTTCTTCAATAATTATTTTTCTACGTTAAAGTTTCACACAATTTTCTGCATCAAATTAGGCAGAATTATGCTTAAATTATTTGCTGAAAGGGCAAAAATCTGCAGATGGAAAAGTTTTCACTGGTATTTAAAACATCAGTTTAACCATGGTATACATTATCAGTAACTCACCTGTCAAACTTTCCTTCGTGGTAATGTTGGTTCCTTTTGGTGGAATATCAAAAACTGCTATCTCACCCAACTGTGTTCCTGAGAGCATTAAAAAGAGCATTATATTGTACTACAGGAAAAGTTATTTCCCTTTCTCTTCTAAATATTAACAACAAGAAAGCCTAAGTGGCACTTACATGGTAAATAAATTTCAAAACTATTATGTGCATTATTATTCTTCTTTGAATGTAAGTCCATCCATATCAATGACTGTCTTCACAGAAATGTCCGTTAATAAACACTTCCCCTGAGTCAGGATGTTTACATTTACCCATAAACAGAACGTTACATTTTACATGTCCTATTGAACATGTACAATGCTTTTGTATTACCCTCCCCTACAAGAATATGTCATATGATGTAAGATCCACTTATTATATATACATATCGTTTAGGTTTTCAGGCTTTACTTTCAATATAAGTCATTGACTTACCGACACACAGGAAATTATCACCTATACATGCTATTCCTCTTCCAAAATTACCATACTCTGGAAAATAATATCATCATTGAATAAGAGCTCAAAAAACAGTGACCCACTTAAGGTCTGGCATTTCAATCTTAAACATATTTTATTCAAGGTTATCATAGTTTACAAGTTATTTCTGAAATAAACATCATAATTGTCGTCTTTCTAAGGAAAATGTCCTCTTTCCATTTTAAGGGACGATCCTAGATACATTTCAATCAGATAATGAACCTAGAAATTTGAGTCTAATGTCATGGACCTAAAATTTGAAGTCCTATGTCTTGGACCTAGAACTTTCGAGTCCTTTATAATCTCCCATGTCCTGAGTAATGGACTAAGACCTCCATCTCCCATGTTCCAGCTGATCAGTTAGGACTTTTAAGATCCCTAATTGATGGAATATGACCTTTCCCAAGTCCTAGCTGATGGACTAGGATCTTTATTGAGATATTGTACCTACATCATTAAACCCTATGTGATGGAACAAGTTCAGATTGCAAGTTATTGAGATGAGCAAGGACCTACACATTCAAGTGCTATCTGAGAAACTATTCTGAAAATTGGATTCCTCTTAGACAAGTATGAAGGTGAAAAGACAATGAAATAAAGTGGCCAATTTTTTTGAAATGACAAAAGGACCCATGTAAATGTAATCATTACCATTTTATCAATGTACAGAATCAGCTGACAGGATCTGTAGTTGTACAAATAGGCTGTATTATTTTTTAACTTTGTTAAATTGTTAGGCAGTACATTTACACATATAATGTGATGGTTTTAGGGTTCCTATTTTTCGCCATTGCTGTGCATGAAATAAAATTGCAAAAAAAAAAAAAAAAAAATGAACCTACAGAAGAATATACTACTGCTAAAAAATCTTGTTATTTCATTACCTCTTGTACAATGTATACCTCAGTGAAAGTATGCTTCACACTGGTCATTTGCCTGATGAAGATGACCAAAAGGTCACACCTACAAGAAAATCTGTTTAATATATATTACCAACCTGAAGAAGATGTTCCGAGATTAAGCTTACCTGATGCTTCAGAGCTGTGAACATTGCCCAGGGCATGGAAATATATCATTGCTGCTCCATCATACTCATAGATCTACAACATCAATGTGTTCATGTGTAAGTTACTCTGAAGGAATACTGGTTTACAGTGTACTTATGCTAGTCTAGTATGTATAGGCTAAATGAGGTTAAAAATGTTATAAAATGACAACTTACCTGTATTCCCCGAAGTGTTGTTAGTACTAGCACTGTCCTGACTGGTAACTGTATCCATTTACACTGGAAAACATATCAAGATAAAATGTCATTATAATCAATGGTGAAACACTTAATTGTGATAGGTATTGATTCTCAAACTATACATTTCAATTTTATTTTCAATACGTTTTTGCTACTATGATACAAAAAACCTGTTGATATGGTTGCTCTAAAGTAGATGCTTAACAAAATGCCTCCTAATTTTCATAAATTTTCTATAAAGTAAGAGAGAATTTTCTTTTATTCACTTTAAAATGACCTTTTCTGTACATGTAATACTATTGTATTGTCTTGTAGTTGTCTCATAGATTTTTTTTGAAGCCATTATTAAGTAACCTCATGTTACTGACAGCAAGTGTATAGTATTAAAGATAATTAAAACAAAGAAGGTGCACATGAGGCACCTTGTATTGGAGCTAAATTGTAACAGTGTAGCCCTGAAACTTACCACATTAATTATATATCATTATCAATGTACAATAACACAAGAGAAGATCAAGGTCAAACTCATCACAAGATACATGTACCAATATGATATGAAACACAATAGTTCTTTGTTTTGGAAACTGGTCTATCACCCTGACAACAGCAAAGGTCATAATAAAGTAAAGTCTCCTTGAAGTAACTGGTAGCTACCCCAGTGAACAACATACAGAAGGCCCATAATATCCTATCCTGAGCAATTTTAGTAAAGTGAGTGTACTGTATTGCCAAAGGACATAACAGAAAATGATAATATACAATATTACAATATTTTCTTAAATAATACATATCTGGATACATGAGCCACAACACCTATCATTAGCATAGTGACTAAGAACAGATTAAAAAAAAAAAGAAGAAAATACAATATACAGAAAAATCTTCTGTTCCCAGCTTTCATTTATTCCATAGGTATATATCTTTATGCCAATGGCATGTAACAATAAAAAAACATGTTGGCTCTGACCCATTTTATGCATAAATTCTTTATTGTAACATGACCTTATGGGCCAATGCAATTAACTTCTGATGAGACTTGGTAACAATGGCTGCCCTACCAAATTGAAACTTTAGCTACTTGGGCCTTTGTTAAATTTAGAGAGAAAACTGCAATATTGTCATTTATATGGGATTTTTAGGCAGCAGAATTTTGTAAGTGCGTTTTCCATCATTCTGAGGTATTTCTACATTCTTAATGAAGCATTTTATCAAGTGAATATATGCTAAAGACGATAAGCCAATGACTTGTTGACAGTAGATTTACAAGTATTGAAATGCCAAGTTTGAAATCCTGTACAGTATTGTAGGTTTGAATATCAATAAATTGCAGTTTAGCTACAGCACTATATTTTTTCATGTTGTGTCACACATAAACTCCCACAATTGCCATTGTCAGCTTCGTGTGACAAATCTCCATGTTTGTAAAAGCAGTATATCATAACTGGCCATGAACAGGCAACAGACACAAGGCTTTTTGTGTCTGTAATTATGATCAGTTTTAGCTGTCTATTAAGACAACCACATCTTAATCAGACATGAATAACTTACGGTATACAAGACTAAGTAGTATTTTACAAAAAAGGAGCCAGGTTTTCCTTTGCTCTTGTACTTTTACCTGGGAGGGGCTACAATAGACAAGTCATGAGACAATTGGACAGCAATGGACACTGCAACATTTGTTGGTCCCAGCTAGGCTATGGTGTGGTTTGACACTTCCAACATGTAGTGGGTTGTGTTATCAGACAACTGAGATACAGACCAGTCTGTGGTGATGTAGCTGTGTCCTTGTGCAAGACAATTAACCCTAAATGCTAAGGATGGCATGGGATGGGCTCTCATGCATTGTTTATTGAGGTAGTTGTAGCTACCAGCTAATGCAAGGAGACCACCACCTCAAAATCGCACTGCTGACTGGTTAATGGGACGACAAACCCAGCAAGCAAACCTTAAGTTAACTTAAACCTACTGTCAAACTAAATCATATGTATCATCATTCAATGGACAGGTAATGTTTTCTACTGATAGACAATGTACAGGTATCAGGTACTGGAACACTGTCTATATATCAATAGGGCAAATGTAAACAACTGAGACATACCTGGTCACCTCCATGGTGTGCACATTGAAAAAATGGATGGTGAATCTAGCAAGCTGTTAAAACGAATATTTTTTGTCATAAGACACCATTTCCAGTGAATTGGTTGAATTCTTCTTTGCAATTTTTGGTACTTGCATCCTTTAAGCATGTTCAGATGGTGAGACATGAAATCTCCTTAATTCATGATTAAAAATACTTCATATTTCATTTGCTTCTACCATACAATTCACATTCATTGCGAGTTATATTATTTTTTGCACAGAAACATCATGATAAAAGTGCACCCTGCCTGAATCTGCATCAATGGGATGCTTACCTGCAGTCACCATAATGAGTGATTGACGCCATATTGGGTGGACTCTCTATAGAGGTTGTTACTTAAATAGTAAGTGTTCAAGTGAAAATATGTAACGATGAAGTTTTTAAAAAATGCCTCATTTTAAGCAAATATGTGAAAATTATTTACTTAACTGATTTACTTGACTTGTCATCCACTTTTTTCATCAACACAAAAGAAATGTGACTGGACCTCACCTGCATGTTTACATTTGTCCTATATACGTATATGTATAATCAGATTTGACCTTATAGCTAAATCTGCATTCATAGCCACATTTGCTGTGGCTTATGGCTACAATTAAATCAAAGCTACGTGTAGATGTAAACTCGACCCATCAACTAAGTCTGTGTCCAGTCCTGTGTATTACATGCTTATGTGTAGACTTCTGCATTCAAACATATGAGTTCTGTGGTCTTTGCAGGTAGACCTATATAAATCTGTTAATTAAAGCGAAAGAAATCTTTCCTCAAGATGACCACGATTCATAGAGTATAAATGTAAGCTGAAGTGGGCATATTTACATACTTGTAAAATCATTGGAGTAGTCTGGTGAGTCGCTGATGGTTCCTTACAAATCACCTGCTTGTTAGTCACTGTCGATCCGTCAGGCGTAGAGGAAATAATGTTTACCACAGCTTTATGTACGACCGCATAATTCAATGAGTCCTTCTCTGGAGTTATAAGTGCAGATAGGTTGTTAGCTAATGCCGAAGCACTGCTTTTAAGCGTAAGGGGTTTCTCTCGGCGATACATTTTAACTAAAAGTGAACCTCTAAACTTTCTCCTGTTGCTCGGTACGCTAAATTCTTGCACATGTGCATTAATGAATTTCCGTTCCATGATTTCCGGGTCGCTTTCAATTTAACGGTTTATGCGAAAGAAGAAAGTCGAAATTACTGTTGTTAATGTTTACATTTTTGTTATGTAGGGTTGTCTGAAAGAGGTTACCAGGTACAATACTAAAGACAAATTAACTACATAAATATTGTTACGAATAGCACATTTGTTATATCCGTTGTTAACCTAAACGAAATGGGCTCGATCTCATTTATTCATTGGGTTAGTTTAGAGACGTATATATATCGTGCTATATATGTCTCTGGTTTGTTGAATCATCTTTGAAATTAAGTCAGACCTATTGTTAATATATTATTTTTCTATAAGAATTGGATTAATATATCTCGAAATCTTTATAAGTAAATGTAGGACTGCGAAACCTCTACCTGAAATGGGCCATTAATTTTTTAAAAACAAACCGGTTTGTCTGCACAAACAAAAGCGACCATTAAAAAAAGATCCGGACCGGAATTCGTCCTGTATTTACATGTTCATGAACCTTTGTAAACACTTCCGCGTTTTCGCCCAACGAGGAAGTGGAATTTCGAGTGAAGACCACAGGACATTTGAGTAATGCTCTTCCGATATGGACGGCAAAGTGAAGTCTGGACATGTTGTATTAAAGGCAGGAGTAATGGTAAGGATATTTGTATACAATGAACAAATATACGAGAAACTAAAAAAGTACGCATGTGCTGTTTTGATAGATAGTTTTAGATCATTGCAACGGGATCGGAAATGGATATGTGTATCTTGAACTTAGCCAATTCTGACTACTCATTGAAATACAAAGTAATTATTACAGCTATAAAAAAGTAACCTGTCACTGATAGGAAAAAGAAACAATAACTGGTAATATTTGATATGGACATAGAGGCTTTAAGCCTGCGTCCATTATTTATGCTAATAAATGCTAATAAATAATTAATAATAATGATAAAAAAATAACAAAAGTTTAAAAGTTAACATGTTCAATGTAAATATCTCATTAAGTAAATTAAGATATTTCTCAATGGCTAGTAGAAAACATTTAATGTAATAGTGAACTAGTGACCCATTGGTCTCTAGCCAGACACTTAAAGGGAAATCCCTACTAGCTGAGTCTAGTAAGGCAATCTGTATTATTTATTCATACACATGTATTGGTGATCGCTATTGTACTAAATGTGTGCTACTTGTTTCCCTTCATGAGTTTTCTTCCAACATCCAGAATAACATTTGTTCGATTAGCGACATTGTAATGAGAGCTCTTTAGAGTTTATGTTGGTTGTTGATATTGAAAACAATGTTTATTTTCTTTTTCTTTATTTTTCAGAGAACGAAACAGAAAAGATGGTGTATCTTTTACAATAAAAACGAAGATGAGCAGATTTTAGAATTTTATGATAATGTCGAAGATGCAAAGAAGAATTCAAAGCACAAGAAGACCTTTCACTTAAAACAAGTAAAAAGTATCGACACTGTGAATAAGTCAAGCAGTAAAGATTACTACATAGATATTCATATGAAAAAGGAAAGACTGACTCTGTGCTTTGAATGTGAGGCAGACTTAGAGGATTGGAGCACAGTACTGCAGAATTATGTTAATGTCATATCCCCAGATGGGGGATCTGGTGCCAATATGGCTGACGAAGATGAAGATAGATCAACATTTAAAGCAAACATGCTGTATGAGACTTCAGAAGATAGTAAGTACATTGTATGAATATTATGTTTGTAACCTAGGTAAACTTGTAGCAAGGGAGAACTTCTCTTTAGTTTTATCAGTAGAGTGAGTAAATCAGTGAGAGATCCTAGGTTCTATCCCAAGCTTCACAAGCTCTACTATCGAGGAGTATGTAACTCCAGTAACAATCATCTAGGCTCTTTTTATTCTATACTTTTAGCTCAATTGGTACAGACAAATGTCTCATGTTTGTTCCCATTTAGAGGCAATAAAACAATGATGACCTAGCTCAGTTACATTTCTCAAGACACAAATATCCAATTAATAATTATATAACGTGGTAAATAAAAGATACAAACTTGTACATCACATATCTTGATAACAAAAAATGGTAATAAGTCCACTTATATGTTGTCAAAAAGAGCTTAGAACAGAAAAAATCCTTTTTCACTCCACCCAATTTTGATTTAGTATGAGATATCTGTGTCTGAAAAGGGTTCTCTTTTAAGGGTGAATCAGAAAAGGCGAAACCCACATATTGAATAAACATAAGTTAAAAGATCTGTTGATTATTGTTGAAGACATTTTTGGGTTGTTGGTTGCAAAAGGAAGTTTTACTGAGCTGGCATTGCCAATAAATAATCCTTAATCCTTGTCCAACATTATTTAAATCTCAATTCCTGTCATAAAACTGAATATTTCTGTGTTTTCCATCTTGGATCACTGAGGGATAAATATGGTCATATATGTATACATTCAATCTGGATAGAGTGTATATTGTAGGATTGGTTGATTATTCATAATATCATTGTAGTTTTTGTATCTATACCTGTGAATTTTACATAAGGTACACTAGCACTGGATATATGTATATATATACTTATACAAACACACTTCACATTTACGAAATTTGAAATAAAGATAAGGCCAGTACTTACTTAAATTTCTGCATAAAAAGGTCTGAGTTTTAACTTCCTGATCTTTTTTTATCAAAGAGTCCATGGATATTATATCAATAACTGACTACACTAGTACTAGTAATGTACCCACAGTGTCACTGGCTATTTCTAACGAGGGTGTAAGGTACACTACTGAGGATGTGATCAAGGTTCACTTCCAAGGATATGTTTGAGGTTCACTATGAAGGGTATGAGGTTCACTACTGGGGATGTAATCGATGTTCACTACCAAGGGTGTAAGGTTCACTACTGAGGATGCGATCAAGGTTCACTACCACAGATGTGATCAAGGTTCACTACCAAGGATATGTTTGAGGTTCACTATGAAGGGTGTGAGGTTCACTGCTGTGGATGTGATCCAGGTTCACTACCAATGGTTTTAGGTTCACTACTGAGGATGTAATCTAGGTTCACTACCAAGGGTTTGAGGTTCACTACTGAGGATGTAATCCAGGTTCACTACCAAGGGTTTGAGGTTCACTGCTGTGGATGTAATCCAAGTTCACTACTGAGGATGTAATCCAGGTTCACTACCAAGGGTTTGAGGTTCACTACTGAGGATGTAATCCAGGTTCACTACCAAGGGTTTGAGGTTCACTGCTGTGGATGTAATCCAGGTTCACTACTGAGGATGTAATCCAGGTTCACTACCAAGGGTTTGAGGTTCACTACTGAGGATGTAATCCAGGTTCACTACCAAGGGTTTGAGGTTCACTACTGAGGATGTAATCCAGGTTCACTACCAAGGGTTTGAGGTTCACTGCTGTGGATGTAATCCAGGTTCACTACTGAGGATGTAATCCAGGTTCACTACCAAGGGTTTGAGGTTCACTACTGAGGATGTAATCCAAGTTCACTACCAAGGGTTTCAGGTTCACTGCTGTGGATGTAATCCAGGTTCACTACTGAGGATGTAATCCAGGTTCACTACCAAGGGTTTGAGGTTCACTACTGAGGATGTAATCCAGGTTCACTACCAAGGATGTGAGGTTCACTACTGGAGATATGATTCAGATTCACTACCAAAGGTTGGTTGAGATCTGCCATTTGCTGTTCTTCTATGATTGAGGATGTCTGTTCAACATATTGGTGGTATGGTCTGCCAGACACTTTGTGACTTTGACTTAAGGTGTCTGGTTCAACAAACTTCAAGGGTGTCAGATTAAGCACATTGCTGGAATGGTCCACCAGACACTGTATAATCTTGACGGAGGAAGGATGATTCAATACACTGGTTGAATGGTCCACTGGACACTATGACTTACACAGGATGACTGGTTTAACACATTCATGGAATATTCCACCAGACACAGTAGGATCTTTACTGAGGGTGTCAGGTTCAACAAATTGGTGGAATATGGTCCACTAGTCACTGTACAATTTTGACTGATAGTGTCAAGGTCAGCACATTAGTGATATGGTTCACATTTCTGATGGTTCCAATGCAATACCTTGGGTGGTTGGTGAATTGGTTTATTTTTTATTAATAGAGAAACATTTTCTCTCATTTCTACCTGTGTAATAGTGGTCTGTCCAGTGCAATACATCCAGGTCTCCTGTTTACACACCCACCCATGTAACACAGGCATGCACACATGGACATGTGACATGTCTCTTTCCAATTGATAACATCAGCTGATACACATCCTCAATACTCAAGATTTAATGGTCACTTAGGCTCTATGCAGAGATAGTTAGTGATCATAATCACTTGAAATCAAAGCAATGAGAATTCATTTTCTTTGTCAGTTTTTCGATTAATTACATTATAAAAAATATCACTTTTGCCTAACAAGATGTCCTTGGTAGTACATTGCAGACGTCTGAAGCTAATATTTTTTCAATATTATAAAATGAGAAATGAGAGAAAAATAAGCTTTCATATGTCGAAGTAAAGGATGGGATATTTCAACCTTGAGATAAAGAAATGTGGTAAAACCTCTGCAAAGCCTTTAGTTTTAAGGCATTTTGTGAATTTTCGGGTGGCATATTCTTATCCTACACTCTAACACATGAAAGAGCTTTATAGTTATGACTCGCGTGAATTTCTCTTCAATGAAACTTAACACAAGAAGTCATAAAAACTGACCAGAAGGTAGATTTTGTTGAAGGGACCTAAATATTTATTGAAGTGTGGAATGTTATTGAAGAGAAGGCCAAGTAGCATATTTCTGTTTACAAGCTGTATTCATTGTTCCAAATTTTGCTGCTTTCCATTTTTAAAGGAAATGGAAATTAAACAAATTTTCTCTCATAAACAATGTCATGTAAATTTTCATTTTTGTGGTACACAATTTTCCTGGTAACTATTTCATGAACACTTGATTTTATGGATAGATATAGCTCAATAGATCAAATCATACTAATTTTAACATATGAATATGTTGATCAGGAGTAACCACAAAGTCAATGAAATTTTTGCCACAAAATGTTTAAGTATTTTACTTAGATTGGGGCTTGTGTATCCACCAGAACCATGATGTTTGTTAATTGTGTATATATCTTATATGCATACAAATGTATAACCACATTGTTTACATTGTGTGCACAAGTGCCAATGCCTGGTGTATTTTTATATCATAAACTCGTAGTAAGGTTTGGGTGATTGTTGATAAATTGAATAGTGAAGTGTCAAATTACTTTATATACACGTTCCGGTATTCTGCTTAAGTCTACATTTTTTCATTGTCCATTTGCTGGATATACATGTATAATCTGTAGATGTAAATTTGATAACGAGTTTGGATGGATTGAATCTTTTTCGGTCACATGAGACAAAGTTTCATGGTGACCTACTGTGATAATCTTTGTTTCGTGTCATGCGTTCGTAAACAATTTCTCATTTTTGACTTCTTCTCAAAATCTCCCGAATCAATTTCAATGAAATTTTAAAGAAAACTTCCCTGGCCTAAGATGGACCAAAACAAAAAACAAAACATTTTGTGGTCCCCACCACACAGGGGCCTGAGGGGCAGGACCAAAAGGGCCAAATTTACGCAAATTTCAAAAATCTTCTCAACACCCAGATTGGTGCAATCAAATGTTTTTCATTGAATCATCTTAAGGTGCTTTACCAAAATTGTTAGTTTCATGGTCTCAGGGCATCACATTTCCCCATGGGAAGGGGGTAAAATTTACTATAGTTTATGTATGAAAAATAGATTTTTGAGCATGATTTGTTTAATTTCTATTAGAAATATTTCAAACTTGGTTAGAATTATAAGCAAACAATGACGGCTTGATGGTTTGCCCATATCCATCCTGGCTGACCGCCGGGGACTTATGGGTGGGGCCAAATTGACTCAGATTTCCGCATGTATAGGAAACCTTGGTCAATCCAATCAAGTAAAGTCATATTCCCAAAAGATAATGCTTAAGGTAATATAAACAAGAATAAGACCAACAAACATCAAACTCATCTAATATAATTTCATATTGGAAAAGGAAGTATAAGATAACACTTCCTGTTAGTTTTTATTACCCTGCATCTCTTAAAACCCTTTTATCTTATTAGCTGTTGACATCTTGTATAGAAATTATAATATTGGGAATAAACCCTTGAATGTCAAATCTACTGTGACAGTGTAAACACCATAGGTTAAGGATGCAGAAATACTATCTAGAAATGGAAAATTCAAGATCATGAAAGCCAAATAAAACAATGCTTATGGTTTGAAATTTCATCATTTTATACCTTATCTCAGGATATTTATGCACTCAGCATTTTTTGCAGAAATCCTCAAAATATACCTTTTGCAGTTTTTACATATTTTATTTTTTTCACAAATTCTTCATCTTTAAAATTTGAAAGACCACTTTTTAATACTTTGAACCCTTCAGAATGGTCTTGGATATAGTTCACAAATATAGATCAGTGTAAATTCTAGCATAACTGGAGATCTAACTGACCAGTCATACTAGATTTACATACAGACTAGTATCTATTATAAAAGTATTTACAACTAGAAAGTGTTCATGTACGTGAATGTACGTTAACTGAATATAGATGTAGTACTCATGCAATTACAATAAAAGGAAAACAAGCAAATTTTGCAATTTTAATTTTATGTGATTTTTAAAAGGTCACTTTTAAAGAAGACTTGCAAATGTAAGCAGAAGTCATTATCCAATCTCGTTCAATTAAACAATCACATATTAGAAAGTTAATATTAGAAGCATGATTCATGAAATTTGTCCATTCAATTATATTCAGCCATAAAAATTTGATTTATTTAAATTTGATTTTCTCATTTTGGATGAAACTTGTCATTTTACCTGCAAAAATAACTGACTATTCAGTATCAATAAAGTAAAATACTTGTATCTTACTTTGTAAAATATTGATGTTTAAAACTGTTTTTCTCTTTTTTTTTCAGCTATTATATTTGATGTGATGATTGAACCAACTCCTGCTTCCGAGAAGAAATGCCTGGAGCCGGACAAGTCTTATCGTCTCCTGGTCACTATGACAAATATTGCTTTGGAAGATCCCACCAGGGAAGAAGAACCACTTTTGTACCGTTGGATGTTTGAATACATACGATCCTATGGAACTTCAAAAAGCACTGGCCTGTTTACCATAACTGCTGGTCGCCGTTCAGAAACTGGCGAAGGGGAATTCTCGTTCAAAGTTGCCCATCCTAAAGCTGTTGACCAGGCTATAGATCTACAAACCCAGCGAAAATTTAATTTAAAACTTCAGCAACAACATTCTAAAGTTGAGGATATAGAAACTAGTTCAGAAAATTTGCGTACATCAACTTCATCGAAGCGACCTAAAAGTGGTCTCCCATCAGGAAATGGTGCTGAAGCTCTTTCAAGGTCAAGTCTCAAAAGTGCTGGTAAGACAGAACAATTCCAAAAGGAATTATCTGCAAGTATTGCTGCAAGGCAACCAATAGATAAACAGAAATCCAATAAGAAACATGAGGAGAAGGAAAAAAAAGAGGATAAAGAAAAAAAGGAGGAAAAGGACAAGAAAGATGATAAGAAAGGAAGTGGTTTCCATTTATTTGGGAAGAAAAAAGATAAAAAAATGAAAGAACAAGAAAAAGAAAGTATTGAAACTAAACCATTACAACAAAAGCAAAAAGCTTCCTTTGATGATCATATTTATGATGAAGCAGTTCCACAAATTCGACCAGTGTTGGCTTCTGGTGATTCATGTTTCTACTCTGATGTACAAAAAAAGCCTGGAAATTGGAAAACTCATGGTCAAAGATCGTCTGAAATACATGTCGAAAATTATGGTACCTTAGCAGAGGCAGCTAAAGAGACCAGAAAATCTGGACATAAGCAAATCCCTCTTCCATCGAGCAATGACGATGATGATGATAACATGTACGACTCTTTGAGTCCAAAAGGAGTTGAAAAACTGCCGGGTAAAGCTGCAGAGGAAGGTCTCTATGGCACCAGCAGTGGTCGATTACTGGAGGATATTTCACCCAGAAGTGAGGAAGAAGAAACTTATGATGATGCAGTTTCATTTCAGTCAAGAAAACCACAGATCAACTATGATGATGAAGCAGCTGAATATGAAACTGTTGATATTTGATAGACTCTAGGGCTAATCGAAGATATAGCTTCAGTTAGGTTTGAGAATACAACAATGTCAGCATTCTTCACTTCAGTGTGAATTGTCAACAATTATGAATATGGTCACATCTATTCAGTAAGAATCCTGTGATTAATTATCATCCCTACCCCACTCCCATTTCAGCACATTGAAAAAGATGCATGGTGATAACAGTTAATGTTTTTTTTCAATTATTATTATGTTGAAGGTCTTTAGATAGGTTTAACTTTCTGGATTATAGATACATGAAACAAAATCATATATTCTTTTCCAGTCTGAATTATTCTGATATACTGTAAACCATTTTTTCATTGACTTCAAACCCATATATAATAGAAAAGTGGATAGAACATCAAAATAATTCTTTTCATGTTATCTGTTAACATGAAAATATTGATTTCTTATTATATCATTAACTGCCATTTATATGGAGAGTATAGAATGGTATAAAACTTTAAACTGTTTTAAACTGAGCCACGGAGAAAACCCAAATGAATAGAGTTTTGACCAAGGGGAAAGTACTCAATTTCTACCTTTGGGGTTTAATGATGTTTTGACCAGATGCAAAGGTGATAAAATGTCTTTTTATTTACATGCATACTATTAAAGGCTTGCACAACTAAATCAGTCAGTATACATACAGTATTTTTCGTCCTACCTCAACTAAACAAAATCGAACATTCGTCTTGATAAACATCCAGCATTCAAGTGAAATTTTTAAAATGTATTTTATAAGGTGAACCAGTCTTACATGCAAAGGTATGAAAAAATGTAGCATTCCTATGGTGCTATTGAATTGCCTTAACAGTGATTTTGGGAATTGTTATATACCCCAGGATTTGTTTTACTTGTAAACACCCACCTTTTTTGTTGACATTTAAAGATGATAGCTGTAATATATGCCATAAAGACCATCAAATAATGTTATTTGTAGCATATGTCAGCTATATGTCTTCTGATGTTAAACTGGCTGTGATGGCAAGTGTAAACATTCTGTGATTTAGTTGTACAAGTCTATACAGGTCTCATCTTTATAACAAAGGCCACTTGTTTAGGTCACTTTTGTAATACCACTCACAGTAATTGACTACACTTCCCCAACCCCTGAGTGACCTGAATAGACAGGTTTTTCTCTTAGTCAGGATAGGTAAATCCATGCTTTTTACCAGATTGAAATTTCCTTGTCTCGTTCTAGGTTTGAAACAGGGGGATTCCCCTGTCAGGAGAGTAATATGATATCACAGAAATAATACACTAACATCATATCAACAATGCAGAGCATTGAGACAACAACAACACATATGATTACCTTATAAAGCAAGCAGGGTAAGAGAACAATAATTATTTGTTGGAGAGAGAGGGTGATCTCACCCCTCGGGGGAAAGATATTTAAGTTGCAAACACCAAGAAAACCTCATGTTTGCTAACTTATTCATCTTTCCGGTAATAATGAGAGCCACCTATCTCACCACAACAGGGGTCGAAGATTCTATTTGTCTTTTTCATAACAATATTTTGTAGGACTGTGGAGAAAAATTAAAAATTAATTAAAGAAATTTTGTTTATTGCGCATTGTAGTTTTTTGCAAAATTTAAAAAACTTAATTTTTTTAGATACACTAAAAAAGAATGTGCCCGAGAATATTGATGTTATACATACAATATGCTGATACGACAGATTAGAGTATCCTTAAAGATAAAAAGAAAATTGTATTATGTATACCTAGTGTACCTAGATTTGTCCACTTGAACAAGAAAATGGACAGACAGCTAGTAAAGGTGATTTCATGATTGAAGACATCATTTAACATTCTCACTTAGAGCTAGATTTTATATATAGATTATTATAGGTTTTTTTTAAATTAATGTAGAATTAGTGTACATATGTTCTTTGTTTGAAAAAAAAAACATTACAAATAATACCATACTCTGTAGCTTGTTCAACAAGCATTCGTGTATTTATACTTTTCAGTATTTTGTAATTGCTATGCAATCGGTTTTCTTGTTTTTAAAAGTATATAGATATATTTATACCCAAACGTTTTATTATCATAGATTTTTGTTGGTTTTTTTTTGTATAGAATTCTACGATAACCAATACACGGCCTTTGCACAAATTTCCTACCCACAGTCCATATCTTGGTATTATAGAATGATTATCATTATAATAATATATATCTATAATGGTCATGAAATTGGTGCTAACTCCTTGTGATTACTAATGATTGATAACATTTTATTATTTGAAATAAAAAAACTCCTAACACAGTGGGTGAGAACCAACATCCTGGTTGTCTTCGGTCAGATCGTAAATTAAAGATGGATACCCAACAGTATTCAATAGAGCCCCATCATGGAAGATAAATACAAATGATATAAAAGATGGAGCATTAACAGCTGGATTCCGTGGTTTTATTATTATATGTTTCGGCTAGAAAGGCTTGCTGTCACCAGAATCTGATGCAAACGTTATTTCTTGATCATGTGATGTGAACCATTTGTTTTAGAAGTTTGCTAAAATTTTCTAAAATGCTCATGAGCTCTGCTGGGAGCTTTTCCAACTTCTCGAACATAACAGACTTTTTGTTTTATAAATTATAAAGGGAAGAAGTGGTGGTGGATTGTCGCCTTTTTTATCACATTTGTCTAAATTTGTTATTCATGCTACAAATTTTAAGAAGTTATTAATGCAGTCATAAAACATTTGCTCAGATTTACACCTAATGTATTCATTATTTGGTAGTCAGGATATAAAGAGCAAAGATAAATGACATTTGAAAAGGAAGAAATTTCATGAACTGACTGTCATGAGGAAATGTCTGAAATTTTTGCTCACCTGTTCAAAAAAGAAAAAAAAAATCAGAAAAAAATGATTTTAGTAAAGATATCCAATCACATCTCTACATTTACAGAAAATGGTTATGGACCAGAAATTCTGAAATTAATGCAAAAACAAAATTTGGAAGATTATGAGGTATACAACACTAAATTTTTCATAATTTGCACAACTGATCATGAATATGTGAGGAGAAAGATGTAGAAAGTTTCAGGAAAATGGACCAAATCTTCAGCATACTGGTAATATTGGCTTAAAGAAACTGTAAGATATGACAAGTTCCAATGTAAATATATATGTAGATCTTGCTAATATCATTGAATTATTTCATGAATTTATGCATTCTTTTGTAATAATTATATTAATGTTTAGAAATATTTCAAGACAGTTATTTCATGATATCCTATTTTTTAGAAAAAACATTCCATTTCAAAGAAATTCTATTTATATAAATGTATTTTCATATCATTTTTTTGATTATATTGCCCTCAAGGTTTTTATATGTAATTAGTTACAGAGCATAATTGTGCTGGTATTCAAGCTAGTACTCAATTTATAGTCTTCTATTCAAAGTACATAAGTACTAAGTATTTTTATGCCAAATCAGAATTGTCTCTGATATGATATGAGAATACTGCAGACATTTTATTGAGAATTTCATTTTGATTATTTTTTTTTTTTTTTTTTCAAATTGAAATGCTTAAAATTAAAAATGGAGAAATAATTCAATAGAAAGTCTTCATAACACAATCAAGACATTTAGTTGGTACATGTTCATCCTTTGAATCATTAATATCTAGAAGATATTCTTTGTCAGTAAGATTTTTATGATTTTTTTTAGCTTATTAATAGGAATATGGAAGGTAAGGGGAATCCTGCTGTCTTTTTAACAGTGGTGTCATGAAGATGACGCAATACATAGATCAGATGCTGTGTATAAAGTCAAATCACTTTGCTTGCATTAAGCACTGGTAGTAAGCTCATGCCTGGTAATAGACTCCCCTTTTTTTGATGTACATCTATTTTGGTTGAAATTTGGGTTTATTGCAGTTGCAGTCAAACTTAGTATGATCTTCAGCTTCAATATGGAAAAAGGAATTATCTTTTGAACTACTACATTGTTATTTGTAAATGCTTTAAATTAATTCACTAAAAATTCTTTGTTTATCAAAGTAACTTCAAACAAACCTTGTTTTATGTATGTTGTAACTTATTGACAAATTCCAGTGTTTTGGCAAATGATAACAGACTATATTAGGAAGATGTGGTTACACAACATCAAAATTTAGTTTAAACAATATTTCATTTGTAAAATTTACACATTACAAGTTCAATTAAAAATACAGAAAATGAAAAGAAGCTTAAACAACAAGCTACAAATTTGTTTATTCCTTTGAAAGCCATAGATTCGTGGACATGAATGAATAACATGGTAACGACTACGATGCAGGTCTGTTGGGCCTTTGTTTTTTTTGTTAAATAACATACAATATTAGTTATGTTACTGTTCTGCAGTGCATTTTTCTGAATTTTATATGATCTCTTGGTGCAGTTTTTGGTTTTGTTTTGACCAAAAATATTTTCAAATACTTCATGAGCATTTTGTTAGAAATTATTCCCTATAGTTTGCCAACTGGAACACAATATTTGCTTATACACAATAATATGTACTAATAAAGAGGACATCATTTGGTATATTGCTTCATTTGGTGTCAAGAGGTGATTGGTTTTGAGAAAGATCAGTTTGGGGAAGTTGAACTGTATATGATATTTCTTTACTCGATTCTATACAAGCAAAATGACATCTAAACATGACCATCTGTCAGTTTAACTTGTGTTAGATTCCAGCTGAATTACTTCAGTAGGACCTAAATTCAGGGTTAAGCATTTTGTCAGGGTCATGTAAATCACCTTCTTGCTTTATTTAAAAAATTCAAATTGATCTGCTAGTAATAGCATATGGTTAAGTGTTAAAATTGATTTAAAGTTTAATATGTTGAATGATCAAGATCATATTGGATTTCAGATCATTATGAAAAATGATATTCAGGATAACAAGAAATTCCAACCAGTTTCAGTTATGTACTTCCAAAAGAATGAAAGTTAAAACAGATATGTGAAATGTTGATGGATATTGACATCACAGCCGAGAGGTCCACTCTTGTTGCATCAAATGAATTTGGTTTTCAAATATGGGGATGTGGTGCTATTTTGCAGAAATCATCTCTGGTTGTCTACTCAACACTTCATTTTAACCATTTTAATCCTACATTTATGTAGCAGGCAATTAACACAGTAAGTGAGGTGACTATCAAGATATTAATCAGTAGTAAATAAGCACACAGCATGGTTACTGGCATTGTCGGAAACTCACGAGACTGCTTGTAAAAACGATCATGCAGAATCTCATGGGTTTCTGACGTGATTGGACAGGGCATCATATATTGTTATTGCTATATTCATATTTGTTTGCAGTTACCTATGAAACATTCCAGATATATTAACTGTTTGATAATAAATATTATTGCTTTGTAACATCTCTGTTTTGTTTTTCTTACATCTAATTCTGTGGCCTGATAATGTTTGATGCAATATGATATACTAAGGTTATCAAATCAATTTAGTTTCACTTAAATACTTGGAGTTGTCACTGAAAGAGAAGATGTTTACCCTTCCGGAACACTTAAGCTTATTTATTATTGCAATTTTTTCATGGTCTTCCCACTTATATAATTCTTTTGGTTTTCATCATACTGCACCACAGCATAAGGTCATTCAAATGACAAACTCAAGGGAGTACCAGTGCTGTTAAACATTGAAATCGTGGAGTATTGTCTGCAATCTTCTGTCTTTATGGAGATGATCCACATGTGTATGTCACTTTCATAGCGGTCTGTTACTGCAAGTGTAACTTTTCAATACCACCCTATCACATAAATCTTTACCTAGCTGTATATACATCACTGGTGTGATTTTTTTTCTATAGATCATATATTCTAAAAACACCAACATGTCAACAGATTCTTAATTCAAACGAAATTTTGATGAAACTATGACAATATATAAACAAAAGAAAGATTTACACGGAGATCCCTGAAAAAGTACAGGGTAAATGAAACCACATGTTCCGGAAAAGAAGTCGTCTTCTGCTTCATTGACGACACCAACCACGTAAAATCATGATAAATCCAAGTAATGTTGCATTCCCAAACCAGATCAAGGTAAACATCTTCAGCAACTAACGAGCGTCAAACATGTGCAAGTTCATACCACATAATTGACCCCTAAAACTCCCATTATCTCCATTAAGCTGCTGCATCTCTTAAGAGTGTCAAGAGTTTGTCAGATGTTGACATCTTGCATGAAAATTGTGAGGTCTGGAAGAGAACCTTGAATATCCAATCAACTGTGACATGTAAATTTCAATCTGGGGATGTAGGAGTTGCTGTACCTAGTGACTATAATCTGATTATAGGTTTGACAATATAATCAAATAATCAATATTGAATATCCAATTATAAACATTTAAAATCAGGATATTAACATTTAAACCTAAATACGTGAACTTGTACCGCATTTGGTCATTCACATTATTATGTTGGGTAATTACAAGGAGAAAATATTGCTTAAAAGTATTTCTTCAACGAGTATATTTCATTGTTATTTATGTAACCATCCAGCAAATATCTAACAATCAAATTTATCTATTGCAATATATCCAACTATTTTATAAACTATTACTTACTTGGTCACAGGATTCATTTTCTTATATCAAATTGAATGTTTCTTACTCCCTTGATCTACAATCCTTTCAAAATTAAAGTCAAGATTTATAAACTTTCTACTGCTTTCAAATTTGAAAATTTCAATACCGTATTTGTCCTAATAAGAGCGCCAGTAAATAACCAGTAGGGCGCCTTTACCGAGATATTTTTTCTCTTGAGTTAAAAATCTGGTAAATAGTCATGGGGTTGTCAAATATCAGAAAGTATGAGGTCACAACATAGTTTAGACTTAAATCAATCTGTTACAACTGCTGAAGTGACACTTAATTTTCCGCTAATGCACCTGAATTGAAACAATGTTATCACTTTCACAAATTGTCAAGATCGTCACTGCACCTAGTCCTCATCTCTGGATGCCTGCCAAAAATTTCCATGACAAGCCGGTACCGCTTACGTGTCAAATTTTGTCTCAACGCGTGTTGGAGACTGGCTACACCACACCACGCCATTTTGATCAAAATGAAAAGTTACGAAACAAATTTAAAATTAAGGTGATCGAATTTGCCAAAGAAAACGGTAACCATAAAGCCGATAGTCATTTCAAAATTCATAGAAAATGTGTGCAGAGATGACTGAAAATGAGGGGAAAATCAGAACCGAAGGAAGCAGCGTCGTAGATGTTCCGGCGGTGGAAGGAAAGTGAAAAATTTGGACGTTGACAACGAACTTATGACTTGGTTATCAGACCGGCAAGGGAAGGGAGTCCGTGTAACTGGAAAAGCACTCAGGGCTGAGGCATTACGGCTCATAAACTTAACGGATGTCAATCTTTTAAAGCTTCTATCGGATGGTTTCGCTCTTTCAAACGGAGACATCGACTTTCTATGAGACAGACTACCCATGTAGCCCAGAAAAGTGTTTCTGCAAATGACGATCAGGTGGATTATTTTTTGCGATTCATTATATTACTCGCATGAGGAGACTGCGTAATTATGAACATTGAAATATCGGTAATATGGATATAACGCTGATTTGGATGGAGAAACACTGTGAGCGTACTGGGTACGAGAAAGAGAGGATTACCGTGATTTTATCAGCGCTAGCAGACGTCTGTACGGAACAAAGTTGGCCCCATTCGTTTTATTACCGGGTGTTAGACCACTGCCGCAAACAGATATGCCTTCCGGGATTGTTGTTCACGTGTGGTTCTGGGAAAAAGTCGTGGGCAGATAAAAAAAAAATAGTTCAAATATGGCTAAAAACAGTATGGGGAAGACTTCTCGTATGGGACACATTTAGAGGTCATTTGACAGAGAACGTCAAGGATGTGACTAGGAAAACCTGTAATACATTGCCTATATATCCGGTGGGTGTACCAGCAGGCTACAACCGGCTGATGTATCCTAGAACAGGAGAATACGATGAGTGGCTTTTTGAAGGTGAAGTCAGTCTGACATGTCACGGAAATCGTCGTCCACCTGAAAAAAAAACTAATTCTGAAATGGATCAAGGAGTCCTGGAGCAGCACTACCCCGGATATTATTCGGAAATTGTTCAAAGTCTGTGGCATTAGCAATGCCATGAATGATTCGGAATCTGATAATGATTTTGAGGTATTTACCAACTTAGATTTGGAAATAGCACAGGCTGTGAATTATAACAAAACAGTTGACGTCAAAAACTGGGAACTTGAAAGCGAGTCAGAAAGTGACTCTGATGTGGATGAGGACGATTATTACCACTGTGATAGTCCTGGCCATTGTAATTCAGACCTACCGGTATATTCCGATGTGTGTTGACTGATAGTCCTGACCATTGATCATTCAGACCTACCAGTATATTCCGATGTGTGTTGACTGATAGTCCTGACCATTGATCATTCAGACCTACCGGTATATTCCGATGTGTGTTGACTGATAGTCCTGACCATTGATCATTCTGACCTACCGGTATATTCCGATGTGTGTTGACTGATAGTCCTGACCATTGATCATTCAGACCTACCAGTATATTCCGATGTGTGTTGACTGATAGTCCTGACCATTGATCATTCAGACCTACCGGTATATTCCGATGTGTGTTGACTGATAGTCCTGACCATTGATCATTCAGACCTACCGGTATATTCCGATGTGTGTTGACTGATAGTCCTGACCATTGATCATTCTGACCTACCGGTATATTCCGATGTGTGTTGACTGATAGTCCTGACCATTGATCATTCAGACCTACCGGTATATTCCGATGTGTGTTGACTGATAGTCCTGACCATTGATCATTCAGACCTACCGGTATATTCCGATGCGTGTTGACTGATAGTCCTGACCATTGATCATTCAGACCTACCGGTATATTCCGATGTGTGTTGACTGATAGTCCTGGCCATTGATCATTCAGACCTACCGGTATATTCCGATATGTGTTGACTGATAGTCCTGACCGTTGATCATTGATCATTCAGACCTACGGGTATTTTCAGATGTGTGTTGACTTTTTGGGATGAGCAACAGAACGTAAGATTCTAGATCTAGTTCAGTGATACAGAACTTTAATGAAGAGTAACGTTACTGTCACAAACAGTTTTAAATGTTTTTGGATAGTAAAATGTTTTTGTAAAGGTAAGAAATTAATGTTATATTTATTCACTACCTAAAAAACTGCTAGGGCACTCTTATTAGAGCAGGCGCCCTTAAAAGGACAAATACGGTATATTGCCAGTAAGAAAACTGATAAAATAAGAAACAATATTCCGTTATAGGTTATAGTGTGTTTTTATCATTTAAACTTTTTTAATAATGCATTTCTGTTACTTTATAATAAAATTGTTTAGAAACTGAATTCTTGTGGTGGTTTAAAGTTTCACAGAAAAAGGAAAGTATTTAATTTGTATGAAATTGTTTGCTACAACACAAGAGCAATAAAGTCGTAATAATGATAATAATCCTAATAATGGGAAGAGAACTAAATTCATTTTCAAAGATGAAGATTAATAAAGAGAGGTAGGAATCCAGCTCAATTCAAGTCAGATCTTCATTAGATTTGACAGCATTCCAAAAGACCATCCATAATATATCTATAAATTGAACCTTCATTTTATGGCATGACCTGAAAAGTAAAAATGTTCATGGTTTAGTCTTCGTTTAGTCATTATTTTGTTGAATAACATGGAAAAATACAATAAAAAACAGAAATGGTTTTGATCTAGCCTTAGAACAGTCGGTAATTTGTTGAATGGTAATTTGTTGAATGGTAATTTGTTGAATGGTAATTTGTTAAATGATACGGGAAAATGAAAATAGATAAAAATGTTCTTGATTTAGGCATTGAATGGAGCCATCATATTGTGGAATAACCTGAAAAAAAAAATTAAACATATCAAACTACTTTGTTGCTCGTTACAATAGTCTTCCCTTGTAATTTTTTTTCATAATCTCCACTGCATATGTTGCCTTGATAATTTAGTGTGTGCGTAACTGACAAAAACCATTAAAAACTTTTTGAATTTCAAATCACATTGAATTTTTAGTAATTTCTCATATGTTATCACAAATAAAAGATAGCACAAAGAGAATAATGAATTATTATGGAGAAGGTCTGGATGAAGTGGCTGTGCGGTAGTTGATGCATCTTCCCTCTCTGCCCTAGAATTGAATGATGATTGTACAAAATCCATACAATCAACTGAATCGCACCTCTTAATACAAATTTAGAATTAGTGAAGATTCAGCTATTTGGTCCTTCTCAGACTCATCCTTGATAAGATGGGTTTACATTGTGAATTTAAAAGGTGACTGAAGATAATCAAACGGGACCAAAAAATGCCTAAATCTAGATTAGGAGGTGCACTAACCCTGTAATTCAATGCATTTCGTTATTTTCATATATCTAATAATTTCTGAATAACGTGAATAGTATATCCTGAGAACTAAGCAAATGGTTGTTTCATACCTCAGTGATGTCAAAGAGTGGGATTCCACAAATTTCTTTTCAGCTAAATCACTAAAACAAGATTGGATAAGTGAAGGTATCAACAAACCTTTTCTAAAAATCTGATGTTTCGGTGCAGGTTGAATGTCTTGCTCAGGAAGATTCATGAGGTTATCATCAAAAATTTCCTCCAAGTTGTCTAATGACAGATCCTCCAGAACTGGTTTCTAAAGGTATACATGGGTGTAATAGAATTATTAAAGAAAGACTTTCTGAATCCAGAATATATTCTTCTCTGTCAAGGGTTATATCATTAATCTCAGTTAATGTCTAGTTATATATTTCTACCTGTGTAATACTGGTCTGTTTGGGACAACCCGTGGCATGACCCTAATTTCCTGGACAATAATATTCATGAAGCACTCATCTCTATCCAAGTAAAATCTTAACATAAATTATTAATTTATTGATATATTATTCTTGGCTTTCCAGAATTTAGCGAGGTTATATTGCTTGTTGATGTTTCTTTCAGCTTTCTGGTAATCTTAAAAGCCAAACGTTTTAATAGTCGAAAAATATGCCCAGTAATTTTATAATGTAATGGTGATAAGTATGGTTTAAGTAACAACAACTTTGCCATATCATCAGTGATTTCCATATACAAGGACAAAAAAATCATATTACACTCCTCGTAAAAGAGTAACACCTACTGATGTCTCTGATTGGTAGGACTCAACAGAAGTATCGGTGGTGAAATTTGACTTGCAGATGCGATTTCGTGTGGACACACCTAGGGCATCTTCATTCTGTCGAAGGTGAGTATAAAGCTGACAAAATGCAGTCATTCTTTTGCTTGTGAAATAAATATGTAGATGTATATCATTTTTTATATCAAATTTATCATTTGATATATTTGATTACAAATTGATATAGATCCGTGTATAAACTTACTTTCAATTGAATATTAGTAATGCATTTCATTTAGTTCAATTGTCTCATTATTAAATGTCCTATCTTCCATAGAAGATATATGCATATTTTACAGGGATTAAGGATTACATAAGCTTTAATAGACCATGTTAACATGAAATGCATATGACTTAAACTACTCAACTAAACACTAATTATGAACTGAAATAAAACCAAAATTTGTTTTGGCTAACCCCACCCATTCTGTAAATTCTCAAACTTAGGACATCTAAAATTTTGTATAATGAATTGCAAAATAACATTATATGAATATTTTCAGATGAAAAGATTTAAATGAACATAATCTAATTCCTGGAAATCAGCACTGCATCAAAGGTACATCACTTGGTACAAATTTACAGAGCTTTAAGATAGATATCGTTCATGTGACTTCTTGGACTTTAAAACCTGAATATCTTTTTAAAGAACTCGGTAGCAGCTACAGACTTATTTACTTTAATAGTACAGTATTTATCTGTTTCACTTTGGTGATTTAAAATCGAAGTTGCTATAATGATGTATAGACCTCTAGTAGCAGGCTAAACATGAACTGTCCAAACTTCGCCTGTTTCACCAGAGGTCAGGAATAATGAACAACATATTGGATTCGAATATGTACACCCTGAATGAGTTTCATCTCTCTGTTTTACAGACCTGAGAGGACACTTTAGTTGCTTGAGAAGTATTTTTCTGCTGATATTTTGTCTGTTGTTGTTGCTGCTGTTTTTGTTGATGTCTGTTCTTGATTTTTCTTTGCCAGAGCTGTTGTTGCAGAGCCTGAACTTGTTGTTGCAGGAGGTGACATGTCCGTTCCAAGTCCTCGTCCTTCACAGAGTCTATTTCTTTCTGCAGTCTGTTGTAAATATGATGAAATACAAGAAATAAGTTGGTAAATAAAAATCATCCATCTTGTTGATTCATTTCAGCTGTGATATAATTATGAACAATCAATAAAGAATGAATTCTTGTTGTCCAATACTTTTAATACAACTGCTGTTGAGTAAATAAATAGATGTTACATAAATAATAAGCAAATAAAGAAAATTATCCTAGTTGATTTTGACTTAGTTTTCTTCTTGAAACCTTCCACAAATACTCTGCCACATATCCCGTATATTATTCATTAGAATAGCTACCAATCATGGCCAACTTAACACTACCTGATGAATTCTGCATCAGTCGTTGGCAACAACTGGATTTTTTGTTTTTCTTCTTCTTGCTTTGCCAACTTCCTTTTTTCTTCCGCAACCTTTTCACAAAGTTCTGAAGAAAGACTAATCTAAGTGTATACTTGTGCAGTAGTAGTCTATTGGAGATATATCTTATCCCTTATTTCAAGCTTGGTATCTTAGTAATATTCAAAATTTTGAGAAGCCATTACATCCTTCAGAAATTGAACTCATCATTAAACATTTGAAGATAGTGCACACGACTCGTGTGACAAAATCCTTCAAAAATGGTAACAGTCTACTCTTCAATTACAAATTCTGCGTAATTTTGTTGATATTATTTACTGCCAGGTATATGGTCTCAATTAAGATACATTATCAATACCTAAATGCTGGGATTTAGTAGTTTGCAGCAAATCCATGAGGTAATCTTCTTTGTCTTTCAGCTTTCTCAGTGATTCCACACGTTCCTCATAGTTCTGAATATCTGTAGAAAACAACATGTTATTGGACATAAATTCAACACCGATAATTAAAAATTTTGATCTGGCAATTAAATGATAATTACTTGATAATTTAAGTACATATGATTCTCCTTTGTCACATTTACTCTCAACTCTTAGTATTAGAAAGCAGCTATAATCATGAACCCAATGTCAAATACAGATAACCCCTACTCCAATTAGTATCCGTGTACATGAATTAATAGTAGTGCTACTATTCACTTATGTGTCTTTTGAACAATTTTTGAGATTGCTGATGGTAAATATCGCTGTGGGACTTTTTACCCTCAAGGTTTGTCATAACCTGCAATCCATGTTTAAATTTGTCAAAATATAGAATACACACATATACTTGCTATTCTAAAATTAACAGATAAATGAAAATAATGAAATTATGCATTGAATTATTTAGTTAGTTCACCTCCCTGTCAGGATTTTGACATTCTATCTGTCACTTTCAGACTTTCTTCAGCCATTATCAAAGTTTCAAACTTTTAGGCCCCTAGCATCACTGAGGAGTCATATGAGGAAACATCTGTAGTGTTGTATAAATTACATATTTAGCTCTACTGTAACTAATTCTAAATTTGAGGAAAATCAAAATGTGAATAATGATAATAAATGATGCCATTGTATTTTCTTACTCCTTGATGATATCTATAATATCTCCATTCACTAGGTGCATTTATTTTACAAGGCAAAATTCTTTCAAATTTTGGGGTTTTTTTTTCCCAAACAAAAGAAAGTTAAGCTTCTGTTGGTACAAGGATATTAATATTTCATATTTTGTTCATTTATAGAAATGAGATATTGATACTTTCAATAATCAAACAAATGAAATTATTGAGGTCCTAGTCACAACTTGTTCCCAATGTATGTTGTCTGCTCTAAAGACATATCATAATGTTTTTTAACTGTGGCGATAGAGCCACAGGGTCTAAAAATCTGTAACCAAGTCTACCTACCAACTCTATCAGTATAATAGTATACCCATATGACATGAATTGTTTGGGAAAAAAACCTTGCTGCAATTTATCTTTCTCTCCTGATAATTCTGCTACTTTGCGAAGTGCTTCCTCTCTTCGTAGATTTGCTCCATTACCAAGAAGCCCAAACTCAGTGACAAACTTCTCCACATCTTGGCAAAATGTCTCATTCAAATTGAGCTGCTCTTCTTCTAGATGTTCCTGTGACATAAACACTTGATTGTGTCACAATTGTTCTCATCATCTTTATTAATTACTTTAAGTATAGCTTATATTTATACATGTTAAAATCTCCAAATTTCCTAATCTAATTCATTGATGAGAAACATGGTCCTCCCAACAAACAAATACCTTATATTGTTTAGTTGTTATGCCAGGTAGGTAAACCATATTGAACAAACATACTCTGCCATGCTAAAGCAATAAATGTCCTCTACTATCCTTGATACTTAAGGAATTATGTTTAATATCGCTCTCTGCACACCTGGAACATGTCATGACTACAACGAATGTTTCATGTGCAACACCTTGTGGAAAAGACTAGTTTGATCCATTGATATACATCAAAAGAATCTCAAGGTTGCATAACGGTATATGGTAATGGCTTTGAAGCTAGGTGTCGCTCCTTTCTAATGACTCGTAAAGATGTTGCTGTTTGGCTTTCATTTTTAAAAAAAAGATACAACTGTTTTGTAACTGATTTCGATGTAATTTTGCAATTAAAAGGTGGGACAATGTGACAACAGTTTCATTACCAATGCATGTTAAATGTGTTTTAGTCATTTGTAAGTGCATGAGGTTTGATTAAAAATCCTGTAAGAAATGCTAAGAGTGCTAACCATGATTTCTATAGAGTGATCTTGACCCAATAACCCTCAAACTCATACCTGTTGGATAATAAAACAGCAACAGGAAAATCCTAACATGTGAACATTATACTAAAATTCAATAAAATTAGAGCATGATATGAACAAAAGAAATACTTCCACAGAGACTCCAAGGGAAAATTATGAAATGGAAAATTCACAATTGAAATCATCAAGCTTATCATATAGCTTGGTGGAAAGTTGTCCATATTGGTTTCATTGTAGGAAAAGAATGAGATAGGTGGCTAAAGATGAAGAGTCTGTTGTGTCATTAATTCCAATTTTGGTGGGAATAGACAAAGGGCAGCTTTTGGTGTTCTTTAAAATTAACATAACATTAATTCCAATTTTTGAGTAAACAATATCACAGTAAGGTTGTGACCCAGATTTAATTGTAATAAGAATGGAATTATGAGGTCAGGACAAACGTTTGGTTGAACAGTTAGGCTAGATAATGCTAAAACACTGTTTAAACAGAGTCTTTTGAAGTTAGGAATCCAATATGCATGTTGAGGGCCATATCCTTATAACTGAGGGGCAATCTACATGATTGTAACACTGAAGCATGATTAGCTAGTTTTTTCTTCTTTAGAAAGGTATTTTAGTGCATTGAAAGAGTGAAGTTTGATGAAAATCACACAAGAACTAAGGCTGCTAGAGCACTGACAATGATTTTCTAATAATAGGAACAGCAACCATGACCCAATAACCCTGAAACTTAAACTTGTATATATTAAGGTTGTTTGTATGATCAAAATCCCACAAGGACTGAAGTGCCTAGAGGGCTGTTAACATTTTTCTTCAAGAATAACTGTGACCTTGACCCAACAACCTGAAAGCTCGCACCTGTTCAAGACATTTTAGGTCTTTAAAAGTGAATGAAGTTTGATGGTATCAGTGGTTTCAGGAATAATGAGAAATTGTACTATAATCATATAGAACTCAAAATTGTTAACCAATTAAATCATCTTGGTATGCTTTTAATCTTTAATGGAAAATTTTATGTTACCCCAAAACATGTGACTGATCAAGGGAAAGGGGCATATTACTCTGACTAAAGTAAATTAAAAATCACAAACTAATATTGTGACACAGATATCTGTTTTTGACACATTTGTCAATAGTATTGTAAGGCACAGCTTGGCAATTTTGGGATTTCACAAAGCTTTATATGCAGAAAAAATGCATATTAATTTTTGCAAAAACTTGTGAGTGTAAACAAAAAAAAATGTAAATGTCTAGTATGTTTTGCTGTAAGACCACTACAACTTTTAACTTGTAAGAAGCTAAGAACGCTAAATTATTGGTTAAAGCTGACAGCTTCAAATAATTGCATTTTGAAATAATGTTTTGACGAAAGGACAGCATCTATTGGGATTTGGATATTGAATATCCAAGCTGAACAATTTAGGAATAAATTATTTATGGAATACAGAGTGTAATGAGAAAATAGCATTCAGCTTGATTAAACAAAGATTTTACGACATTTATCAACAGAAGATATTATCCGATATTAGCAATTATTCTTTTTTTACAATACTACCTGTGTAAGCAAATAGAGGAACACAGTACAATCACACAAGACTTTGGTTAAGCTCACGCAGTCTTAGATTGAATATAAAGATAGAGAAATCAGCTGAGAGAGAGAAAAAAGTGTACTGTGGCAAACAAACGATATCGAGGATGACTTCCATTTTATTCTCAAATGTTATTTTTATAACAATTTCTGAAGTACATACATTAATCCATATTACAGAAGACCAACTGTATTCAAATTGATAGAATTATTAAGTGTCCAAACTGTAGCTGAATAGAGTTAATTAGGGAAATTCCTTTACCCAGTGACAAAACAATGCAATGAAGTTATACAGCTATGTACTGTACAGTCTGCACCATGTTTGTCTACATATTTTCAAGTTTCTGAATGAGTCATTGCTTCTATTATCATCATCATTCCTAAAGAAACCAATGTGTATGTAAAAGATTATTGTACATCAATATAATACGCTGTGTTATTCCAATACATTGAACAACGCAGAGAAATACAAGATCATTGATATATTGGACCATTATGTTATTCAATTAAAAATGCAAGTCATTTAATAGAATCAGTAATTATACTAGATTATATTACATTAGAAGTATATCATATTACATAACCATTATACTCTTATTGTATGTGGTAATAACTTGTGTTATATCATAATATTTTGACAGTTAACTTGAACATCATATCGCAAGTTGGTGCATTTATTTGAAATTGAACATTTTATCCATTACTTAAACATGAATTATTATCCAAGTGTTATACTACTTTGTTATGTACAAGATAAGTACTGGTATACTATCATACTGTGTGTCATTTGCTTTATGTCAATACATCTCTCTGATGTAAAACACACAGAAATAAAGAAGGAATCAAAAATGAATGAATGCTCAAGGAATGAAGCCACTTGAGTGCTGACAATGCCTGATGGTATGTACGTTCGTACTTGGATGGACAAATTTCCAATTCTATACTTAAACATTTGATTCGATAACTTGGTTTTCCCAAGAATCCCTCTGACTTTCCACATTTTAGGCTTTTAGCATCACTGACAAATCCTAGAAGAATGAAGCAGCTGTATGATACAGTTTAAATCATTATTTAGCATGTACTGCACTAATCACAAATTTGTATGTAAAGCTGTATTTTTTTATCTTCTGTACAATTATCTGATATGCTGTCATTTTCCAGTATAGACAACAGTATTTTCATAAAACATTTCAGTTCATAATGTAATAGCGCTTTAACAGAACACTACAACCAAATTCTTATACACATGAAAAAGTTATGTAATACAAATACTTAATATCGTCATTATCTGTCAGGTATGAATTACACCAATTACGTCAACGTTTGTAAAGTATATGAATGACAAATAAATTAGAACCAGTAAGTTTTTTGTAACAGCAAATAACAGCTTTTAAACATTCAATAGGTGAATGGAAACCTAGCTACACACTTAACAAATACTTATAGCATTGCATGTCATGAGCTGGTCAGAGTCCTGGTTCTTTTATAAGACGTCTTCACAGTTACTATACTTCAAGGATTTACATTCATCATAAACATGTTATTTTGTGCCATTTTTACACAATAATTGTTTGCTTATTTTGAAATTACAAGTTTTTATCAACTATTGATTTGTTCTTATGACCCATGTAGGAGATGTAAAAGAACAAACCTGCTGTATCTCACTGCATGTCATAAGAGGCAACTAGCTGGAGAGTACCACTTACATATTGGGAATTTCTCCTTTGACGTCTTGTTTACTACTGTTTGGGGAACATAAGATGGAGGCTCCAAATAAAGGGTCTGCTGCATTCCGCCGCATTAACGTATAGGTGATTAAAAGTGGGGCCCATGCAGAATTGGGGGTTTTCTTCTTTGTTGTCTACTAATGGGGACATTGAAGAGACCAGAATAGATCTGCAGCTCCCATTACAACACTAGGAAACTTAATAATTTCCTTTCCTTTCTAATTGCTATTTATTTCTGTACTTCATTTTCCACTCTTGATGCCCCTTTTGACACCATCCTCATATAGCCTATGGACTTTCAACTTTCTTTAACTGCTTAGATACCAGCGTTCATTTTACATAGGATTATTACCATGTATTATTGTACTTATTAAGGTAATCTTATCACCTTTCTGTTTAAAAGTCCATAAATCAATATCATCAATCTCTTATTACCTTAAAACACCCTGAATTGCACTGTATTGTATTGTAATGTATTGAATTATATATTGTATTGGTACCAAGAAAATGAGAAATGTGGCAGAATCAAGAGCTTTTACTGCAACTGACGGTACAATATGATTATTCAAAAACTGTTTTTATTATTATTATCATTTATTCATAACTCATATGTTGTTATAGTAAATGTTTAAGTTTTTTCGATGACAATACTTGACGACTTGATGAGACTCGGTTGTATTTGATGGTTGATGGACTCATTCAAGGACATGGAAAAAATATGGTATACCAGTTGACTTTCTAATTCTTTTCTTTCTCTCTGGAACTGAGATTTCTGGCTCATAAGAACCTCTTTCTTGTTATTAATCATCATAAGGTTGATTTCTTCATGGTTTAGATCAGTCACCTGGCAAACAGAACATAAAGATGGTACAAATGACAAATACTTTGCTGCTTAAAATGGGATTATAGGTGTAATATTCAGACTTCAAATAGAGCCTTCTCCCTATATCTACATACAGATCTTACAAGAAAGTTAAAGACGATCCACATGTTTCCAGTGGTAATATTGACATGAGATAAAACAGTTAGTGTTAGATACATATGCAAAGCTTGCACCATCCTCGATACTCTAGGATTTATGCTCTCTATCGCTCTCTGTACCCCTGTAACATTTCACGGTGAATTTGAAGGTTCCATGTGCGACATCTTGTGGATAAGATAAAATCCTTTGATATACATCAAACAAATCTCCAGTTTGCATAATAGTATATTGTACTGGCTTTGAAGTTCTGTGATTAGTCAGTTGTGTTTTTAATCAGCTCTAAGCCAATCAAATCACTTTGCTTGAGCCTTCAATTTTTTCATTATTTTTTCAAACTGTTTAACATATTACACAGGTATGCCACCTCAATATTTTCAAGATTTAAACTCTAGATTGCTTAAAATATGAACCCTATCAGGCAAATGAATGTACATGTATATTTTTTTACGTTTCAATTTGTTGAATAGCATTAACTTTGCAATAAGCTCATGTCATGACTTTGTTGACTATGTGACTTCTTCACAGCCACTTTCAAGTGTCAACACACTGAAATGATGTGGAACCAGAATACCTATCTGATTGGCACCCATCATTAAAAAAGTCTTAATGAATAAAAGTGTTTTTGTTCTTTCTTTCTTTGTTACATACCTTAACTTTGAGTTCCTCTTGGAGCTCATCTTTTTCTTGTTTTAGCTTGATAATATCTGCTTCTTTTTGTCTTATCTTGCTCTTAACTGACAACACAATTTATTTGGTATCATAATAAAACTGTCTGTCACCTTTGCTGTAACTTGATACCAATCTCGATATATGTTACAATAAGTGAAAAAGCATAAAATTGATTTAAATTCACTTTCAATCAATAATGTGTATTTACAAACAATTCAAATTGAATATCAATATATATAAGTTAAGGCTTAACACACACACACTGCCACTTAAAGTCTAGTCCCTACTCCCAGTCCCAGTAAGAGTAGTATATCTTCATAACTCTATTACATGATCATGAATTAAAGACAAAGCTGTAAAACTTTAAGTTTAAGTAAAATGTTCAATACTTCCATATAAAACTGAACTTGCTCTTTCAAAATTTAAATACTATCAGATCTTTTTACAATGGTTCAATACATATTCTTAATAGAGTTAATGGAAATAGCAATTCTACACCCACAAGTGAACAGTCTGTGTTTTACTTCTATTGAAATATTTCTTAACCCCCCCCCCCCCCCCCCCCCCCCCCCCCCAACAACAACAACAGTTATGCCATGGAAATAATTCCTCAATATTGATTACTTATTGAAAATGAAGAGGGTTTATCCATTTTTTGAACACTGACTTACGGAAAATGTATTTTGGACGATCTGTGGCAAATTCGGGCCAGTTGCCCGAGTTAAATAGGATAATCTGAGGTCGATATCGTCTGATCAAAATATGCGGAATGCGGGAGAGGGCGCTTATGGCGAGTGCAGACATGATTTGACCATGTTAGATTAGGTGTTTCCTCACCTTCTTGTAAATAGCTCTTTCTTTCTTGTGCTCTGCGTTCCGAATCAATAATCTGTGAAAACAAGTCGTTCAGAGAGGACGACATTCTTCGACTTGAATTTTCCCGCAATTATTAAAAACAATGTGATTTAGACGCTTAAGTCGATTCTTAAGATAAAACGCAAGAAAGATTTCAACATATGACTGAATTGGAGTTTCTTTCGACTTTTCGAATCGGCCATTTGATACTCCTCTAGAGTTTTCAGTGTCTATTTTAAGATGTGTCGTAATAATTCGCGGAATAGCCGGGTGTTCTTCGAACCGAACTATTTATGTTTACAGACCGTATCTATGAATCACCAAGTGGTGCAATCTTATGTTACGACAGGTGTCATTGCTAAATTTAGTATATGACCGTATACATATTGGGTGGAGATATAAAAGAAGACATCATGGCAGAGGGAGGATATTGTTCATCCGAGTTAGAAGTTGACACTTCTGAGATCCAAGGCGTTCAGGAATCTTTAGAAGACATGGCGGGTACATGCACTGGTGCCGAGCAGTTGAATGGTAGTGATGAGGAAAGCATGCAAAAATTCCTTCAGAAATCACAATGGTGGGTGTATCATATAAAACCAATAACAATGAATTGAAAAAACCTGACCAAGTGGCATAATTTCATCGTGATATTTATTATATTTGATGTTATATGATTACTAATCTGGAAATGTACAACTTAAACACTGTGTCAAAAATTTCTAGTTTCAAAAGAACCATATTGCAATACGCAAAGTTATATCCGTTTGTTTTGCGTACTTTTTTTTTTTGACAATTGAAGGTAAAAAGTCTCAAGTGTTTTTTTCCTTGTATCCCTATAGTCAATCAAAGATTATTTCCTTGATAATTCATCTCAGATGTTGATGAAAATAAGACTAGTAAACATTCATATTTTTATATTAGACCATTGACTTATATAAACATATATCTAAGTCTGTGATTGAAAAAAAAATAGCTTTCAGAGATTGAAGACAAAGTATTTACGATTTTCCTTATTTTATCAAGTGAGCGTCTGTATGAATTACGGAATTTGCAACATGGAGCAAAACCTGTGACCAGTCAAGGACATAAGGATTCAATCAATAAATTCTTTGAGAAGAAACAATCAGCTCAGGAGCAAGCAGCAAGCCACGGGAAAGAAAATGTTCCAATTAATGAAGACAATGTAGAAGAGCATCGCCCAGAGACAATTGTTGTAGAGATTCAGGGACTTGTCGAACAACAGCGTGTATCCACATCGCTTGGAACCAATTTCCGCCGTCATCTTGAAAACATTATTAGAGGGAGTATTTCAGCAGTAGCAAGAAACCACACTCCTCGTCCATCTTCCTCACGACAGCCTTCCTCTTCACCCTCACCTGCACCTTCCCCTCGGGAGGAAGCAACCCCACAACCTGTACCGGCACCACCTGTGGTACCTGTAACATCGCCTTTAGTGACTGCTGCCTCCACCATAGACAGGAGCCGAAGCAACACTGTCAGCTCAAATAACAGTTTGAGTCAACACAGTAAGATTCTATAATTTATTTCTGCATAGTCTTGGATATTAAGGATTGTCTTTTTAGTCTCGTTAAGCTAAAAAATAAAATCTATGAAAAATACTTGTTTAGATAATTGGGGTTTTAAGTGGGATGCCATTTCTAAATATTCTCGTTGAGAAAAATTATAATTCTACAAAAATGGTGATGAGAACACTAACTTTTTCTTCATTGGTTAACTGACTACCTGGATGGGTGGAAAATAAACTTTTGGAAATACATGTTCTCTTTTTGTGTTTGATTTACATATATTTAAACTGAATGTATGACTGTATTGTATTTTTTTTTACAGGTGGCACCCCCTCTGATTCTGAAGACACACCACAGGAACCTGAGGTTAGAGCTCCAGTGCCACAGTAAGTTATTGAAATCTTATATATCATTTAAATATTTTCACTATCATTGAGATTGTTTTGAAACAGACTTACTGATTTTATGAAGTACCATTCTTTTAGATGTTTTGGTTGTTCAACAGAAATGAAAATAAGCAGGCTCCAAATCATGGATGTATTACTGGATAAATACAGTGGAATTTATATGTAACAAGATCATTATCTAATCTGTCAATGCCTCCACTATGATTTGAACCCACAACCTTTAGCTTACTAATCTCTCAAGATCTCTCTAGCAAAGCAATATTTTGTGGCTAGCATTTTACTAGGGTTATATTAAAAATAAAATTCCAAACAAAAAGTGATGTTTATAGGGATTAATGAAAATTACATTAATACAAGAAACACAAAAAGTATTTGCAGATTTTCAGAGTTTTTTTTCTCTCAAAATTTGATGAATAAGATTTACATACAGTTGACTTCTGGCACCTTCATTTCTCTGGATTTTATGAACAAGTTTTGATTTCAAAAATTTGTTTGTTTCAGGTTTTATGATAGGATCTTGGGATATGACTGGGAGGATAGGCACCATGAAGATATGGTTCAGGAAATCAGTGAGCTTGTTCATAGTCGAATTGTCTCCTCTACCCTGGAGGGTGACTTCAGGACTCGTCTGGAGATCAGCATGCAGGTATACCATTTTAATATATCACTAAGACTTCCGAGATTTTCCACATGAAGTCTGATTAATATGATTTTATTATTGGAAATTTAATAGGGCTTGTATTAACTTTATGAATTATTTATTTATAAATTAATTGTTTTACATATGATATTCTTTATTTTTATTCAGTTCATCATATAAAATTTTGTGAAATTTCCAGTGTCTGTCCTAATAGATAATTTTTCAAGAGTTACCTCCCTTCGTACTGATTTCGTTTGCAATTGAAATTTTTTTTTGTCGTCAGGAGAGACTTGCCAACAGTGGCTTTGATGGGGCAAGAGTCCAGGAATTTGTACAGAATATCAACCAATCCCAGGCTATTGAAAGGAATGATTTCTCTGATCTGGGTATTCACATTAACACTCCAGCTGACAACTTTGATAATATTTCTGTCACGAGTGTCAGTGCACATGCTGTTCCTTATACACAGGTAAATAAAACTCTTTTGTTATTAAAACAGTGGGTGTAATGTAGGATGGTCAGGTGGCACAGTGGTAACGCACTCGCCTTTCACATAGCCATCCGGGGTTTGATTCCTGGAATGGATGTGAAAAGGTATGGGGTCACCTGCCCGACCACGTGGGTTTTCCCTGGGTACTCCGGTTTCCTCCCACATTAAGACCCCTCTCACATTAAGACCCCCCGCACGCTTCCATCCGAGCCAACATGAGTGATTTATATAAGTTGAAAAAACTTGCTTCGCAATTGTTGTAAAATAAATAAAGTAAATTATTTATTGAGTCTAATGATGAAAGCAAGCTGATTTTGTGGTTTATACACAAGTACAAGACACTCCCCCTAAATTACTAGATGCTTGAAAATCATGAAATGTATTGAATCAAGGGTCTGGTGCATCTCCCCATCAAGATTTTGACACTTCTTGCCATCTTTTTGGATTTCGCTGTCCTAGAAGGAAGAGACAGCTGTATGATGCAGTTTTATTCATTGTTTGGCTCTACTGTATCTAATTTCAAATTTGTACTGAAAGGTGCTATTCACTTTAATTATTGTAATAGCTCAATTTGTCAATTAATAACCTCTGACTACGGGGATGGGCTTATTTTAAAACATGGGATTATTCCTGGTTGAATATGGTATGATTTAAATGTTTAATAGCTGTATGCCTGATCATAAATATTGTATTTTCACGGTTTATTTGTCCACAGTCAACACGGTACATGAGCAGAGAGATCCAAAGTTTGAAAGCACAGCTAATGGAGATGAAAAATATGATGAAGCTGAGCTTTGACCTTCAGATGGACATTCAGAGGTCAATTAGGCAGGAAGTGGCTGCTGCTATGAATGATGTCAAGAGTGAGTTTACAAATCATTATGTTTGAGTCATAATTTTTTTATATAACATATTTATAAGTTTTAAAAAATAGATTTAGACATTAATAAAACATTCTGATAAGGAATACTCTATGCATTACATAGTGAGTTGACAACAGTATCATATACAGTGTACTTCTAGACAAAATTTTGTTATTTCTATTTTTGATTTTCAGTATTCAAGAGTTACTTCCCTTTTCAGTAAAATGGCATAACATTAAGCAATATTTTAAATTCTATCAAAATATTTCTATTTTAAGGAGCAGATGGAAATACTGCCTTGCCTGTAGCAGCGAAGTCTAAACCAGTCAACGACACACACTGTTTGATCTGTTTGGACAATCACTCGGATTCAGTCCTCTATCAATGTGGGCATATGTGTGTGTGCTTCACTTGTGGGCGTAACCTTATGCAACAGGGGTCAAAATGTCCAGTTTGCAGAGCCCCAATCAAAGACATAATCAGGGCTTACAGATGTAATGAGGACTGAACATGTGTGACTGTCATAATGTTTTCTCATGTGAAAAAAAAATCATGCTCATTCACAAGATCTATATTTCATATCAGAGTGTGAAGAATCATGCATTTTTTGTGTTTATATCTGACATGATCATAAATCACATCAAAGTCTTGATGTAGACTTTCACCATCATGTGCTGCTGTAGGACCTGAAAATGGATATGCATAACATGGCCTTTCATGTGCTTCATCAAGGCCTTATTGTCTGAAATACAGATCTTTTTATGCAAGGCTTGTTCCATCATGTGCTAATATAAGACCTGACAATATAGATATGCATAATTAGGGCTATCATGTACCCGCATTAAGGCCTGATAAGGTATAGAAACTCGTCATTTTGCATTGCTTTTTACAGAGATTCATTCAAAGGCTGGACTCACACATGACTCTAAACTGTTGACAGTTTTTTCATGACATTATTGTTCAGAAATGAATATGAGGACAATGAAAGAGTTGTGTATACCACATTTCATAAATTTCATTGAAATATTGGATGTATACTATATATAATATTATATGCAACTGGTTTTGCAGAATGTGTTTTAAAGATTTTAGAAAATAGTTTATTTTGCTGTCACCAATGTGTTTTACATGTTAAACATTACATTTATCATCAGTCATTGAGGTATATATTCATACTATCATATATATATATACAGTATATGCTATTTCAAAAATGATGCAATAAATTGTTTTTAAAAATATGCATTAGACAGTGTATTTTTAGTATCATTTGAACGAACATGTTGAATCAGTTGAAAAAATATGTTCAACCTTTTGAACAAAGTGTTGTTTTTCCAATTTTAGGTCACATGATTAAAACTTCAGAATGAGTCTCATGTTCTCCATTGCAATCTGTCTTCAATTATCGTTATTGATATTACCTGGTCATTGTTTCTGATGTCTTAAGAACCATAAAGCCTAGAGTCATGAAAATTCCTTGAAATAGATAGGGGTCTATCAAAATGTTGAAACTACATTATCATGACTGGCATTCAAAGTGTCAAATCTACATTATATACTGTACATCATAGTGAAGTCTTTCAAACTACAAATGACCTGGTATATGACCCGTATATGGCTGTTTTAAGTGCTGCCATTGTTGACAAAGTCATATGTGTTGATTTATACAGTGACAGGTAATGTTTGTGTAGGTTTTAAAAAAACAACATTTTAGACTTCCATTGTTCTTAAGAAATAACAACAGTTAACCGGTTTTTCCTTAAGAAACTTCTACTGAAACGAGTCTCTGTCATGTCGGAGGGGACATCACCGGCTATGCCTTACAAATGTTCTATTGAAAGGAGTCTCTGTCGTGTCGGGGTGGGGGGACATCACTGGCTATGCCTTACAAATGTTCTATTGAAAGGAGTCTCTGTCGTGTCGGAGGGGACATCACTGGCTATGCCTTACAAATGTTCTATTGAAAGGAGTCTCTGTCGTGTCGGGGTGGGGGGACATCACTGACTATGCCTTAAAGAATTTTCTACTGAAACGAGTCTGTCGTGTCGGAGGGGACATCACCGGCTATGCCTTAAAGAATGTTCTACTGAAACGAGTCTCTGTCGTGTCGGAGGGGACATCACTGGCTATGCCTTACAAATGTTCTACTGAAAGGAGTCTGTCGTGTCGGAGGGGACATCACTGGCTATTCATTAAGAATGTTCTACTGAAAGGAGTCTCTGTCGTGTCGGAGGGGACATCACTGGCTATGCCTTACAAATGTTCTATTGAAACATCACCGGCTATGCCTTAAATGTCTACTGTCGTGTCGGAGGACATCACCGGCTATGCCTTAAAGAACTGAAAATGTTCTGAAAGGAGGGGACATCACTGGCTATGCCTTACAAATGTTCTATTGAAACAAGTCTGTCATGTTGGAGGGGACATCACTGGCTATGCCTTACAAATGTTCTATTGAAACAAGTCTGTCATGTCGGAGGGGACATCACCGGCTATGCCTTACAAATGTTCTATTGAAAGGAGTCTCTGTCGTGTCGGAGGGGACATCACCGGCTATGCCTTACAAATGTTCTATTGAAACGAGTCTCTGTCATGTCGGAGGGGACATCACTGGCTATGCCTTACAAATGTTCTATTGAAAGGAGTCTCTGTCGTGTCGGAGGTGACATCACCGGCTATGCCTTAAAGAATGTTCTACTGAAACGAGTCTGTCGTGTCGGAGGTGACATCACCGGCTATGCCTTAAGAATGTTCTACTGAAACGAGTCTGTCGTGTCGGAGGTGACATCACCGGCTATGCCTTAAAGAATGTTCTACTGAAACGAGTCTTTGTCGTGTCGGAGGGGACATCACCGGCTATGCATTAAGAATGTTCTACTGAAACAAGTCTCTGTCATGTTGGAGGGGACATCACTGGCTATGCCTTACAAATGTTCTACTGAAACGAGGAGGCGGTGGAGGGACTGAAGACGGGGGATGTTAAATGATTAAATAACAGAATTCACTTGTCATTTTACGTTTTATTTTGTTTTAAAAGGGCCATTACAAGGCCAATAAGATGTCAAATGATTTATATTTGTAGTAATATAATAACGTGACATCACATTTCTCTGAATTTTGATAAAAGTAAAAGGTTCCACATAAATTTTCAATATGTAGATATAACACTTTAAGCTTATCTTGTCAGCCACAGATGATATACATGTATGATGTACATACATACTCTAATATGTATATCTGTGAACATTAAAGTTGAGCTATTTAATATCGTACCCACATGTATGGTTATCAGCTTGTGGTAGTGTGAATCACAATGTATGATTCACGCGAGTATTTATATGACATAACGAACATGCATGCACATGCTTTCACACGTGCTGGACGATCAACTTGCGTATTCTGATTATGTGTAAATTGTTACAGAGACGTATGCTTTCAGTAAGAGCCAAATGCATTTATCATTTCGTTCATTTTCGAAATACAAAGGTCTGTGTCTCGATCTGTACATGTTTATAACTTCTCTGCACCCTGCCTGTTAGCTGTTTCATTAGTTGGTAAAAGAAATACCAAACACCAGGTTGACATCTCTTCTGAAAAATAAAAATAGCTACATTCATGTCGAGTCTGATGTTACCGTTACGTTACAGCATGATTCCTTTTATTTGTGTCAAAGAGATCACAGGTAAGATTCCTTATATCATACCCTTGAGTTGTTACTTGTGTCATCCGCAATATTAAGTGTACAATAACTATATCGATAGTTCCAAGCATTCTTATTACTTTTCTGACGAGCCACGATTAAGCCTTTCGATGCCTGTATTAATATTTGCAGGTCTGTCACGGTCACAAACAGACCCCTAGTAACCTGTTGTAAGCTAAGGATTATCTTTTGGATATCGGGGATGTCATACGATTGTCTTACTTAATCATAACACACATTTTCTTTAAATTACGAATGGATTGGATGGATTCTGATTTCATTTAATATGTTGGATTATAAAAAAGGCAGTATATGAAAATGTTTACTGGAGGGCGATATGGGGGCTTCGTAATTTATTCATTAACAATTTGGCCGCCAATCTGACCTTAGCGTTCACCTCTCAGATTAGTTCTTCCATGTACAACAAGTTGCCTTACGAACCACTTAGGACTGAACTATTCTGGGCTGAATTCAGCTTAATCGCCGATTGTTGAAAATGAGCTGACCTCTTATCAGTCGAGAGACTCTTGTAAATACATCAACGTTATTTATGTGTTTTGAACGACACCTGTGTTGCGGTGTATCCTTGATGTTTCGTCATTAAGTTTTTCCTCGTGTAAATCTTGCAGTTTTATATCAAGAATGAAAATCGTATAAATTCTGTTCGGGGTTTTGTTTACTCTAGTTACATATACGAGAGTGTCAAGTTTTAAATGTACTTTTGTATTTCTGATGTTTTTAATTGATGCCTTTTCGTGTTTTGTTTTTATTACGCTTTAGTCGTTTCCATAACAGTGGGTGTGGCAAGGTGTTACAACACGCGGTAAACTTTCAAACATTTATACCCTCCTTAGATTAAATAATCACTTTGCTATATAGAACCTTCAAAGACGTGATCTTAATAGTCGGTTATAAATGGTAAGTAAATCAAGTTTACAATTATTCCACATCTATAAAACTTTCCCACTAGTCCAATTTATAGAGAAGGAGGAGAGAAAATTACTCTGTATCAACACAGCGTTGTAAACACTCAAGATCTGTTTGGATAAACAAAACAAAATTTATGTAGAATATTTACACTTGTTGGTTCCGTCTGCTGTTTTAGGATCATGTAGGAGTGTTAATTAGGACATTGTTTGGCTGTTTGATTAATATGTGGTTAAGCGCATGATCCTAACGTGACGAGTCGTCGCATGCTGCTTCTCCAGGCCGTGGTAGGATGTCTGTTTCACGAGTTGTCTTACCGGGTCGCGGCGGGCTATACGGCTGCCCAGGCCGGGCTATGACCGTCCGTCCGTGCCATGTTTGACTGTAGTGTCCGGACCATGACGGCTATCTGACCGAGTCATGACGGACTGTCTTAGCTTTTTTTGAAGGGTTGTCTGTCAAACCGAGTCACAATGCCTGACCAATACCCTCACTTACCCTTTTTATATGTGACGCAATTTCCCAAACGTTTCTTTCACTGATAACTGCTGTTGATTTGTGATTTGGATGGAACACATATTGAAGATTAAAACTTATTGATTGTGGTCGTTATGACCAAAGCATGTATAGATATGTACAATGATATATACAACACTTTTTTTCTTAGACAGGGAGGTGTAGTGTAAACCGTGGTTTTTGATGGACATGTGTAGATTTTAAAAGACGTTTGTTTTGTTGGTTGTATCAGCTAATATCATTTTCAGACGAGGTTTTCTACTAGTAGTTGATGGCTACCTAAATGAACACTATAAGGGAGGCCCAATGTTATCTCTGTAGAGTACGTAGAATGTGTATTTAAACGTTTCTTGCTCAGGAACACAACCATGACGGTACAGATCGGACAGTGATCTCAGCATCGTGACAAACACGAGCAACATACTTGGGTATGGTGCGATGGTGCTTTATTTGGTGAGGGCTGTCGTGGCCTCTCTTAATAAAAAGTCGAAGGTAAGTATGAACTCATCCGTATCTTCATTGGATAGGTGTAAAAAAAGAAAATCATACTCATATTCTTTAAATAGATATTTAATAGAAAAATCAGATTTTTCGCGTGCTGTTATTTGTAAGTAAAGAGAGTTTTCGTCTGGGCGCGAATTCAAATTCCAATGACGTCACGCAGTGCAAAGCGCCAAGATGCATTACAGTAACCACACGCATATCTCTTCAAACTATTAATTTCTTTGTATTTCATTGACGAAATTATACTCGACATAAGAGGTCAGATGTTTTCAGTTAGTTTAATCTCGCCAGTCTACGCAAACCACTAGGATGTGTCCACTTTCGGAAACAGTCTACTTTTAGATATACCGATTCTAAATTGATTATTGATTGTACTTTAAGGTATTGAAATCTACATGCTATATTCCAGTAATGTAGAATATTTCGATTCTTCTCCTCCGAAGTTTGCATTCAAGGTCATCTTGTCCGCGCAACCTTTGACCTTTCCCTCCCACAGATTGCCTCCCTTGCACTCAAGCTGTGTCCACTCTTCGTTGACGACAGCCGCCACTGCTTTGGCATTCGGAACAACCACCCGGAAGCTTACTCCAGAATTTAAAGCGTCTTTTGAAACTACTAATGGTTCATAAATATAGCAGCCTTCTTTCCACTGAGCGTACTGTTTCGGGTATGGATGGACGGCCTTTGAGATACAGGGGCAATTAAGCAGGTAATTAAAAACTCCGGGAAGAGTTTTGCTCTCGTCAGTAACCGGAAGGGCGTAAATTTGAAGCTTGTAGAATCCGGGTTCCGGTATTTGGACCAGGAAGCTGACAATTTCCCCTTGTGTCTGCGTGAAGATGTTCTCTGTGTGTTCCTTGAGGGTGGCCACCTGGATAAGATTTCCGGTCACTTTCACAAGCCGGTCCATCTTAAACTGGATTTCAACCTACCAAAACAAAAATAAGTAGAACATTTTTACACCAAAGAATAGAGTGTAAAAGGTTGCAATATTGAAAGATTGATTTATATTCTCAATTTTGTAGTTAATAGAAATAAATATAAAATAAAAGTACTTTAATCTTAAAGCCTCTAAAATCCAGTTAGCAGTGACAAGTTTTACACATCGGGCCCATAGCAGTATTGCCAAATCTTAGATGAACCGTAACAGCTGTATGGTAAAACTTAAGTTAAACATTTTGGCATTTATTGTATCTGAAATAGGATTAGTATTGAGTAGTGATATTCATTTGTTTACATTTTGTACAATACTTCGTTTCTTCTTGGCAGAAATTACATTGCCATTTTGGCACCGACATATTCACTAGATATACAACTGTAGATACTTTACTCCGATTTTAGCTCATAAAGCTATAAGATACTACTAACAAAACGAAACAAAACCTTGGTATTCAAACAAACGACAATTTTACAGCTTGTTTAGGTTTACAAATAAATTCCTGTTGAGCAGTGAAATCATGCAATTATATATGAGTTATATGTGCCATTTGAAGTCGGCAGACATCTTACAAATAAGATCAGCTTCACACCTCCGTCTTATTTTGGCCTGTTTCATTCTCTCTTACAATATATACACATTATCTCTATCACGCTACTGCTCATTCGTCTTCATCTAGTTCCATCCCTCTCCTCATTTCCACTCTCCTTCTCCCATCCCTCCCCTGTTTATCACCTCCACCCGACAACCGGCATGTTCCGCCAACAAAGATGTGCTGCCAAGAACATATTTATCACTGTCAACATTTCTAACGGCAGACAGTTCCTTTTTGTGAGCGAGATAAGAATAACGGAAGTAACAACATTGATGTCATTTCACATACATACCGAAAAAATCGGATCACAGATATTCTATGATAAACATCTTTTGTAATTAAGATTGTAAAACATAAACTTTATATATTTCACAACAATAGCAAGAAACAAGCAGTTGGCTTATATTGATCACTCTTATTTGTACGAATGGAAGCGCGTGAGGGTTCTAGCTGTGGGAAGAGACCGGAAACTCCAGTCAAAATCCACGTGGCCGGACAAGTAATTAAATACTATTCCACGTTCATTTGGGGAATTGAACCTTGGTCGCTTAAATGAGAGACGAGTCCGTTCCAACACCAAGAATCGTGCGTAGAATAGAGGCAGGTAAACTCAAAAGGAAATAATCATCATGATTTCGGTCAGTTTGCAGGTTTTACAAAAGAGAAAGTAATTAGGAACCTGTCAACTAATTATTTGTACTTGTACACAGACTAGAAATCATCACAATTAAAATATGGTAAAGAAGCACAGTGCAAAAGTCATTCCACCAAAGTGACCAGGGTTCGATTCCTGATCGAGCGATGATTTGAAAATAGAAGAATAGAAATACATTTACGTCATTAATTGACATCAGAAACACTGCTTTAAAATTGATTGTTTATTTATTTATTGGAAACGAAAATGTTGGATGTCAGAATACTATATTTAATAGTAATTTACCCGCTGTGTATAGATGTCAGGATACTACACGCAACAGTAATTTACCTGCTGTGTATAATATCCTTGTTTTCTTTTCTTCAGAGATAAAATCTCTCAAAACGAGCGAGCTCTTATAACTGATTCCAGGAGATAAACTTTGTATTTGAATTGCCTGTTTAAAGGTGTTTGACTGTTTTAAGATTGAACATGGTGCTTATCCACTTAGCCCTTAATTGTGTGTCTGTATGAGTGCTAATGAATCCAACTCAGTTCAGAGAGAAACAGGATATCTAAATAGGATCGCGAACATACGACTCACGCAGGTAAATGTATATATTAAATACAATCTTTGATAAATTAATTTTGAATAAACCACAAAGGCACAAAACACATTAGGCAATACAGCCGTTTGATTCGTACCAAATACCTCCCAACGTGATCGTACCAACGACACCGCGGCACTTCTTATCGTTTGTGTTTAGGACGTGTAATGGACGTGCAAACACACAAGCATATCCAAACAATCTGCATGGCCGTGAACTAACGCTGAAAATGGTGATAAATCGCACTTTAACTCACTCGCACTTACAAACTGAATGCATGTCCCGTCATTAGATATGTGTTTTTTTTTTAAATTCAAAATGATTTTCGAAATTATCAAAACGTTGAAGTTTTAAAACACTGAAGTAGAGTCATATCACGAATAAAGATATATACACATTTTTTTTATCTCATGGGCTTAATCCGAACTTCTGAAAACAAAAACATGTATAAGAAAAAAAACCCATCAGTAGCAGGACCCAAAGCCCCTGGGCGTGCTTTATCTCCCTATCAGCTTTCCCTAATGTACATTTTTGTAATTTATTACACCTGTCTGGGTGTTTATAAAACTTTTACGAGCGTTTTACACACACGAACAGACTTAGCACTGTCATTGGTTCTCATCGTCTGCTGATAAGCTATAATTCTTGTTTTGTCTTAAAAAGTTACAAATAATTTTCCTCTCGATATGTTGCTTTGATTTGTTTGTGTATTTTGTCTCAAAATAATAAAGGCATTTAATTAAGATCGGGTTGCAGCGCCATTTTCACAAAATGAAAGTTATAGAAATAAAAACGTTACAAAATTTATAAAAGTACGATTGATTATGTTCTTTATGTGATCGTTTTGTTCAAATGTTTGATTTTGCCGAATTTATTCAAACGTGTACATGTCATCTTTAGCGATGGTGATTTGTCGTGCTCAACACTACCAGAATGCATTGCGACTACCTCCGTCACAACAACAAACAGAATATAAATGATGACAGGAAACTGTACAGTCCTCTGAAGGATATCCTTAATGGCATTTCTGAAATTCCATAGAATATGACTGACCACACACGGGGTCAAACACCCGTCTAGTATACACTACTTATCTGAGCGTGAGGGTTGTGTCTACTAACAGCACTGACCACAAGATAAACACTGATATCGACCACTGTGATAAGGGAGACAGGATCGATCGGTTTTACATCTAACGCTTTAATTTAAGTCGAAACCGATGATTCATATGTGAAATTTGGCCCGATTAATTTTACAGATTGAATACACAAGTTTACTTTGACGTTCCGCCCTGATAAGGTAAAGCCGATGTGTGCTAACATAAAGGACGTCTCTTTGTAAAGGTTGGATAGAGGGTACCTGACGTCGTATTCTCGTTTGATCACGTGCGTCATGACGTTGTTTGCTTTTTTAACGAGATTTCCTTTAAAGTTTTGTCCACACAAATATATAGTAACATACATTTCTAAAAATAGATCACAAAAGACACCAAAGACATAATTACGTGAAATGGAAGATATATTGAACTATCTCTAGTGTAATTTAACTTCCTAAGGTTATATCTAAGAAACTTATAGAATCGTCTTTATATCATGGTTCATTTAATTGTGCATTCAGGCATGTATTCTTTAAAATGTGTAATGTCTTGTACGATGGCTAGAGGAAACTTGGGTTAAGATCAAATTTGAAAACCATGGAACCAAGAGCGCGCTTGTTGCCTTCAATATTCTGTAGTCAGCAGAATAAAAAATACGAAAGGTTGTCCGGTTGCATGGGAGGAGTGGGGGGTGGGGGTTGTGTTAGGGAGAGGAGGGACATTGTGTGCTATCAAAATGCAATAAATGCCTTCAATATTATTGCACCAACGACATAAAATATTCTAAAATGCAGCGATTGTGTCTGGGGATGCCGTTTTGTATATGTCTACTTGGTCACAAGCCGCATACCTTGTTTGGGGATCGCTTGGGAAACATGATTCGATGGCATGAGTCATGGTAGGCACTTTTCATTTCATTCTTTTATGTGGGTCTATGTTGAAATGATACCAAAATCATAAAACAAACACCAAGGTTCTTTTTAGATTTAGTTTTAACTAATGTTTATTTCCCTTAGGGAGAACTTAGCGTGTCTGGTTAGGATATATATTGGAAACTGAAAACAAGATGCTGATTTCAGAAAAAAATTATCACCGTTTAAATTTTTGTGGATGTTGTTTTTAGCTTTAAAATGTCTTATTTCACGTCCTTGTCGAATTCGAGTGTCTATCGACATCTTCGGATGATTTGAAACTTACACAATGCTAACACTGTAGGTAGAACAAGATACAAAACCGCCATAGAATTCCATTCAATTATCATAGCTTTGATAAAACGCAGATTAAAGTCAAATAAATGAGATAAGACTCGTCATACCCTTCCACACCACACACACAAACATGCATCAGGGCCGAGGAAAATGGCATATACACGTGTTTTAAGACACGGATTTAATAGAAGATTCGAAATCTCAAACAGACAGAAACTGTGACGTCATAGATAACTTGTACAGCAATACAACAAAGCTAGTATTATCTCATATAAAAGCGAAATAAATTTTGAGACAGTTTTATCTAGAATTTGAAACCGTATTTCATAAGGGAGGAACTACAAACTACAGGGGAGCAAGTGTCATATCCTACAGATTTTCTTATATATAACACACAGGATATTTGTTTGTAATCTAAATAAACGGGAACCTTCATGGGGAGATAACAATTATATTACGGGGTGTGAACAGGTTAAATTTATTAATAGTATTGAAGTTGATAGTATGATGGAAAACTATATAAAATTGCAGATTTAAGCATGTTAAATAATTCTGAAACAATGACTTAAAAAGCATGGGGGCGCACGAAGGTCACTGTTGAAAATCCAAGTGGTCAGAGATGAAAGTTCTTACTTTTTCATCCTCGATCGGTAAAAGCCGGTGTGTTACGCTGTGCAATCTGGCGAAAATACCAAAAAGGTTCTTGAAACGAAGCCACTAGCAAACATCAGTTAAAGATCGTCTAATCACTTGTGACCTTGATACACTATCTTTCTTCTAAATGGTCTCATATAATCACCTTATATTAAGTCTGGCTGAAACTGATAATCCGAGTTACCAATAAAGCATACACGTGTGATTGGGCTGTCGTAAGTCTTGGTTCAGTTTTCTCTGCATAACCTTGTTTTAGCACGTAAAAAAACTAATTTCAAAACTAGCAGTGAATGGTCCATACACCTGATCGTATAATACTCCTCTATCATAGATTGCGGGTAAATATACCTTAATGTTAATCCAAAATAAGCTTTTTATGTCCGATTTTTCGTTCGTTTGAATTGAACAGCCGTTTGAATGGAGTCCCCTTCTGAATAGTTTGTCATTAGGATGAGTAAACTAAAGCGAGTTATTTTTTACAACCAATTTCACTTCTGCCTGACAACTTTATACAAGGACATGCGATCATCATACTTAAAGATTCAATGAGAAATATATAACTCATAATAAGTCCATTCTTTGGGAAATCTAGATATTTTTTTCACAATTAGAACTCATATGGAACGCATACGAGGAATTCCGAGTAACTGTCAATGTCAAATGCTGCACGTGTTTTTACCCCGACTGTGAGCTCTTCCGTAAGCCAACAGCTCCGTAGCTATACAGTAAGTTTCGGCAATAACCGAGTGCATCTCAAATTAATTATAGACAATAAAATGATGGAGAGGATCGGCAGCAGGCGGTGATCGCCGTAATCCGTTTATACAAAGCAATTAGGAAACAGCTCATTTCTTGGCAGAACAAGTAAACATTTGAAGACATGTTTACAAGGTGTCTGTTTTTCTCAGAGAGTTTCTTATGAGATGCTACATTCCATCTATAAATGGCACGTGGAACTACTTCAGATAACTCAAGGTCGCCAAGTAACGTGGTTTGATTTAAACATGTAACATTGCTTCAGTGGACGAGAAACAAGTTCTTATAGTTTACAGAATCTTTTCCGTAAATGCAAATAATATACATTCGTGTAAAATTACGGAATTAACATTAAAAGTTTGACTGGCAAATGGTTAAATTGATCTATACAAAAAGAAGCATTTATATTGTTCCGCGTGGAAAGCATACAGTGGCAAGAAATTGTTGAACATGAAATTTTATACAGTTATTAAATATACTTTGAATATACTTGTCAACTTAATATATACAAGGAAGGATTCTGCAACCAACAGAATTCAAATGAACAACGTTATTCAAATCGGAAATTTTGTTTTATATATAGCTTCACACACGTAAATACATTCCCCGTGTTTGGGAAAGCAACGAGAAGAGACTGGCTATGCAATTTTCCGGCAGAGTAAACCCTCACCAGGAACGGACACATTGTGTTTCCCCAAAGTGGTCTACCATGCAAACAACAGTTTACGTTACTTCCTGAAACATGCGCTGCACCATTAACGGCGCCACCTACAGACTTCCGCTATCCGTGTGTATTCCTGACAGCAATATGGTTTTCTGTTAAAGACACATCACTAGTCCAGTAATTTGTTTTAAAAAATAAGATTTTTTACGGACACAAATACCAAACGACTCAGAGCAGTTTTCTCAGTTGAGTTTACTACAAATACAAATTTGCGTTGGACAGAAAAAGTGAAGTTCTAATGTATAAATTGAAGAAAGATTGGCTGTACAATGTTTATAGAGTTAACCTTTTCAGTTATTCGTCTGTCTATGCTATCGTATCCATTCAGTTGGCAGGTATCTCTCAAATGAAAGAATCTGGCGTATTTTTACAGAACATTAAACAGCGATCATATACAGAAGATCTACTTTGGCACATTTTTTTCGGAAACACTATACCGAATGGTGAAAACAATTTTTGTTTTTCGAAGCTCAGTATATGTATCTGCATAGCAAGAACGGAATGCCAACACAACCTTAGACTACAACATATTAATCCAACAGAAGTTTATCCTGAATATATTCGTCGAAATATCGAGGGATATTTGAATATTGTTACACGACAGAAAAATGTAGCAATGTTTGTAGCGATTGCTTGTTATATTAAGTTTGAAGCGGTAACGTGGTTATACTTAGTTTTTAGGGGTAATGAGGATATATGTAGTGTGTAGAGGTAACGAGGTTATATTTAGTTTGAAGCGGTAACGTGGTTATACTTAGTTTTTAGGGGTAATGAGGATATATGTAGTGTGTAGAGGTAACGAGGTTATATTTAGTTTGAAGCGGTAACGTGGTTATACTTAGTTTTTAGGGGTAATGAGGATATATGTAGTGTGTAGAGGTAACGAGGTTATATTTAGTTTGAAGCGGTTACGTGGTTATACTTAGTTTTTAGGGGTAATGAGGATATATGTAGTGTGTAGAGGTAACGAGGTTATATTAAGTTTGAAGCGGTTACGTGGTTATACTTAGTTTTTAGGGGTAATGAGGATATATGTAGTGTGTAGAGGTAACGAGGTTATATTTAGTTTAAAGCGGTCAGGTGGTTTTATTGAGTTTGTAGCGGTCATGTGGTTATACTTAGTTTGTACGGGTAGTGTGGTTAAGTTAGTTTGTAGCGGTAACGTTGTTATGTTAAATTATCACCGGTAACGTGGTTATGTTTAATTTGTAGTGATAACGTGGTTATGTTTATTTTCTAAATTTACCTTAGTTTGTAGCAGCAACAATGATAGCGGTAACCTGGCTGTGTGTAGTTTGTAGCAGTAACACGAATGACCGTATAGGTGTATAAGTTACAATTTGTATGAAAGTTGCTATAGTTATTAAATGCACTCGTGGCGCTCGCTGCCCCGGAACGTTGGCACCTTTTCATTGTTGAAAACAAGATAAAAATCGGCAATGTCAGCTACACACCACGCGTATACATGTGATTGTTTCATTACACATTATGATGTGTTATTACTATAAATAGTACCACGCACGGAAGAAACGCAAAACAGACACATTCTGCAGTTATATATAAGTATGGTTATTTCTTTAATCTTTAGTCATCTTTTATCAAGTCTGATATGTAGACATCTTAAGAGTTTTCAGCTGAATGATGGCTGGGATACGTATGCTAATAGCATGATAATTAAATGAAAGATTGGCAATGGTAATTTATCTATTAAATGACAAAGGGTCTGTATCTTTTGGTCCTTTTCGTATCTTTACGCAACCTTCAACAAGTATTCATAAATGATGTGTGGATGTTCATAGTGCAAAAGTATAACATTAAAAGAAATATATGTAACATATTTATATAACTACAAACTCCAGATTGGTGGATATGACGATAATTTAATATAAAATAGTCGTGGGATTGGCTGGTGATAAAATGATACGGAATGAAAATTAGTTACTGTTTATGAGGGAAGTTTTATACTCTTTTCATGATAAGTTAATTAGAAAATCTTGTGGAAACTGCAGCTTTATCATTCTAGTTCAGCGTAACCTGCCATAAAGTCTGTGTGTATGCACTCGTTTGACTATAACATTTATATTAAAATGGAAGTCAGAAATACGATTATACTAATATACTTTAAAACCACTATCGTGGTATCTATAACTCAATCGTAAAAAGCTACAGAACATACGCAGAAATGACAGAATCATGCAAAATAACTTTCCAGAATGTCCATGTACATCTGATAGCAAATAACCATATCCTACAGGGTATTATGATACCCGTAAGGGGAGATAACTTAGTATCTCAGTGTTAGATAGTGTTAGTGTTACATGAATTAGTGTAGCAATACTGAATAATAATAGTTCACCGAAAGGGTTTTTCTTTATGTTCTACGTGCTGTCGACGACTTGGTCTCTATAAAGAGGTATCGCTATCGCGCGGGGTTATCGACGGCTATAAAGAGATAATATCATTGCACGGTCCTATCGACGACTATGTGACTATAAAGAGGTATCATTATCGCCCGGTCCAATTGACCACTAGGTCACTCTAAAAAGGTATCATTATCACTCGGTCCTATTAACGTCTTGGTCACTATAAAGAGGTATCATTATTGCCCGGTCCAATTGACCACTAGGTCACTATAAAAAGGTATCATTATCGCCCGGTCCTATCGACCACTAGGTCACTATAAAAAGGTATTATCGCCCGGTCCTATCGACCACTAGGTCACTATAAAAAGGTTTCATTATCGCCCGGTCCTATCGACGACTAGGTCACTATAAAGATGTTTCACCGTCGCTCGGTCAAATTGACTACTTAAAAATCATACAGAGGCTTACCTCATTTCCAGTCAGCATAACATCCGGATCCTTGTGGCTGTGGGTGCTTAGTCCAAATTCTCCGAACTTGGGTTGGGCTCCCAGGTAACCCCTTGGTAGATCAGGTTTGGCCATTTTCTTAACTTTCTTTTCGAAAATCACCCAAAAATACTTTACAATGTAAAACGCTATCAAGCGCTCCGAAAGTCGGATGACAGATTTCAGTTAGTAGGTATATACAGCCGGCCGATGTTTGATGGAATGACCAACACAGAGTATGAACTTAGGTATATAGAATACACAAATGAAATATTGGATTTTAAATCTGCAGCCCAGAGCGAGGTTGACCAATCAGATTCAGTGATGATACAACAGGCACCTGAGCTTGTTAAACTTTCACAATCGAGTTATATCGCTGGTATATAATGATACGTAGATATATTCTTATCTATGTTATGATTAAATCTTTCACCTGCACACGTGATAGAGAATCTCTACATTAAAATGAAGGTCTGACTATGTATGTTTTCTGTCCTGCTGTCAGCAAATTGATAAACATCTATAAATGCTACAGATGCTGTTCTCTGCTCGTGCAACGTACGTGTACATAACAGCGGACGGCGAGCCTCAGGGACGGCTGAAAGGGGAAATGGCATATACAGAAAGATATTTGCTGTTGGCACTCTGTGATTCTGAGGCGTGTAATTTCAGTTTCATTATCATGGCGTTCTCCCGTCCATAAATAACACCGTTTTTACCCAAGACAAATGTTTGACGGCAGGTTCAAGATCATTTAAAACACGTACTTCGCTGTGTTCCTATCTTTACCGTTAGCTTAATAGTACATAAATGTTTCATTTGAATGGTTGACGCCTTTTTCTTCCCTTATAAAAAACCGTATCATAATGACTGTCTGTATCTGTTTTTTGTATTGCTGATACTGGCTCGATGCTAAACCTTTAATCCCTGAAAATCATACATTCCGTATCAAACAGTCACATATATGCTGATATTAGCATTTCTTGTTCGGTGTGTTTCAACAGTTCGTTCTCGAAACCGTATTGTTAATCGTTTTTGTGATCATTGCATAATAAATGTGAGAAAAAGGAGACTTTTAATCATTTTCAATCATTGTTTTGCATTCAGACATTTTGCGTACCATGCAACCAAATTACCGACGAAATCACATAATTTAAATTCAAACGCAAAGTCGATAAAACAAGGGCAAAATATGAACAAAAAAATTTACAGATTCAAGAAACTCTTGAAAAAGTACAAATGAAGGGAAAAATCCAGGTGCCCCGGTAAGCGTCTTCTGCTTTGTCTACAAAACCTAACATGTAAATCTTGGTCAATTCGAATGATGCATCCTGTATGCTATGTAATGGGTTTGATTTTACACACAGGGACGATTACGAGGAGTACGTTATCCATATAAAATTAACAACCAAACCTGTGATTACCAATAAATCTGTCGAGAAGATGCGATTTTCTCGAACTTTGACGGAATTACTTATCTGAGATATTGCAATGTCTTCATTTCACATATCACATTTCACTGTCATCTTTACCTTCAGGCAAGGTCGATTAAAGTCTTCCGAATAAATGAGAAACAGACGACCAATTGTGACGTCAGCATCAAGGTCCATTTATCTATGACGTCGACCTAGTTCCAAAGACATAAAAAAAAAATATAACGCGTTAATTTGCTTAAGAGTGATAATGCGCCAAAATCTGACCGCGTCAAAATAATTACATTAATAGTGGTACATGCTCGCAACAAATGCGACTCCAATAGACATATCAGCTACAAACACTCAGGAACCCCCTCCCCCGGCCCCCAACCTACGCTCCAGAATAAATAAAAGGAAATTGGGAGGACAACTCTTTTAGTCTTAATTTAACTTTCTCATCCATATTTTTCACTGCAAAATGGTTTAGAATTACAAGAAATTGAAAATACTTAAGATAATGAATATCGGTCCACAATAAGATTTTACTTTCCGCTCCTGCATGTGCCGAGCCTGACGATCACTCCTCTAAAAGTACCCATGATTACTGTTTTCAGTGATGTCGAAGAGCAATACCTTGCTGATTTTGTGACCAACAAACTTCTGGAAACCTGATTGTGAAATGTACATAAGGATTTTAATTACTACTTTCCGTGATTTTAATTACTACGAAATGAAATTATGTAATACTAATACCACGTCTAGCACAGGTTCCGTTATCTACGCGTAACTACGCTGGAGGAGACGGTTAAGTACATAGTCAAAACATATAATGACATGGATCCAGTATAGCAGTGATATGATTGTCAACACATTCTTACTGCCCTACAATAGTCTTATGTTTACCCCCTCTCTCCTTCACGAAATGAAATTATGTAATACTAATACCCCTCACCTCCTCCGCGCAACTAGTCGGTTAAGTACATAGTCAAAACATATAATTATCCCTCTATGATTGTCAACTCCCTACTGCCCGCATAGTCTTACTGTTTCCCCTCTCCCCCCCTCTCCCTCCTCCCTACAATAGTCTTACGTGTTTACCCCCTCCCTCCTCCCTACAATAGTCTTACGTGTTTACCCCCTCCCTCCTCCCTGCAATAGTCTTACGTGTTTACCCCCTCTCCCTCCTCCCTGCAATAGTCATACGTGTTTACCCCTCTCCCTCCTCCCTGCAATAGTCTAACGTGTTTACCCTCTCCCTCCTCCCTACAATAGTCTGACGTGTTTACCCCCTCTCCCTCCTCCCTGCAATAGTCATACGTGTTTATCCCTCTCCCTCCTCCCTGCAATAGTCATACGTGTTTACCCCCTCTCCCTCCTCCCTACAATAGTCTGATGTGTTTACCCCCTCTCCCTCCTCCCTGCAATAGTCATACGTGTTTACCCCCTCTCCCTCCTCCCTGCAATAGTCATACGTGTTTACCCCTCTCCCTCCTCCCTGCAATAGTCTAACGTGTTTACCCTCTCCCTCCTCCCTACAATAGTCTTACGTGTTTACCACCTCCCTCCTCCCTGCAATAGTTTTACGTGTTTACACCCTCTCCCTACAATAGTCTTACGTGTTTACCCCCTCTTCCTCCTCCCTACAATAGTCTTACGTGTTTACCCCCTCCCTCCTCCCTACAATAGTCTTACGTGTTTACCCCCTCCCTCCTCCCTACAATAGTCTTACGTGTTTACCCCCTCTTCCTCCTCCCTACAATAGTCTTACGTGTTTACCCCCTCTCCTTCCTCCCTACAATAGTCTTACGTGTTTACCCCTCTCCCTCCTCTCTGCAATAGTCTAACGTGTTTACCCTCTTCCTCCTCCCTACAATAGTCTTACGTGTTTACCACCTCTCCCTCCTCCCTACAATAGTCTTACGTGTTTACCCCCTCCCTCCTCCCTACAATAGTCTTACGTGTTTACCCCCTCCCTCCTCCCTACAATAGTCTTACGTGTTTACCCCCTCCCTCCTCCCTACAATAGTCTTACGTGTTTACCCCCTCCCTCCTCCCTACAATAGTCTTACGTGTTTACCCCCCTCCCTCCTCCCTGCAATAGTTTTACGTGTTTACCCCCTCTCCCTCCTCCCTACAATAGTCTTACGTGTTTACCCCCTCCCTCCTCCCTACAATAGTCTTACGTGTTTACCCCCTCTCCCTCCTCCCTGCAATAGTCTTACGTGTTTACCCCCTCTCCCTCCTCCCTACAATAGTCTTACGTGTTTACCCCCTCCCTCCTCCCTACAATAGTCTTACGTGTTTACCCCCTCTCCCCCTCCTCTCAATAGTCTTACGTGTTTACCCCCCTCCCCCTACAATAGTCTACTGTTTACCCTCTCCCTCCTCCCTACAATAGTCTGCCGTGTTTACCCCCCTCCCTCCTCCCTGCAATAGTCTTACGTGTTTATCCCTCTCCCTCCTCCCTACAATAGTCTTACGTGTTTACCCCCTCCCTACAATAGTCTTAAGTGTTTACCCTCTCCCTCCTCTCTGCAATAGTCTGACGTGTTTACCCCCTCCCTCCTCCCTACAACACACCCCCCTCCCTCCTCCCTACAAGTAGTCTTACGTCCCCCCCCCTCCCTCCTCCCTGCCCCTTACGTGTTTACCCCCTCCCTCCTCCCTGCAATAGTTTTACGTGTCTATCCCCTCTCCCTCCTCCCTACAATAGTCTGACGTGTTTACCCCTCTTCCTCCTCTCTACAATAGTCTTACGTGTTTACCCCCCCTCCCTCCCTACCCTCTCTCTCTCCCCCTCTCCTCCTCCCTCTCTCTACCCCCTCAATCCTCCTACGTGTCTTACTCCCCTCTCCCTCCTCCCTACAATAGTCTCTACTCCCTCCTCCCTAGTCCCCTCTCCTTCATCCCTACAATAGTCTTACGTGTTTACCCCCTCCCTACAATAGTCTTACGTGTTTACCCCCTCCCTACAATAGTCTTACGTGTTTACCCCCTCCCTACAATAGTCTTAAGTGTTTCCTCCCCCCCTACGTGTTTACCCCCCTCTCCCTCCTCCCTACAATAGTCTTACTCCCTCCTCCCCCTCTCTCCCTCCTCCCTCCCAATAATCTTACGTGTTTACCCCCTCTTCCTCCTCCCTGCAATAGTCTAACGTGTTTACCCTCTCCCTCCTCCCTACAATAGTCTTACGTGTTTACCCCCTCTTCCTCCTCCCTACAATAGTCTTACGTTTACCCCTCTCCTTCCTCCCTACAATAGTCTTACGTGTTTACCCCCTCCCTCCTCCCTACAATAGTCTTACGTGTTTACCCCCTCCCTACAATAGTCTTACGTGTTTACCCCCTCCCTCCTCCCTACAATAGTCTTACGTGTTTACCCCCTCTCCCTCCTCCCTACAATAGTCTTACGTGTTTACCCCCTCCCTCCTCCCTACAATAGTCTTACGTGTTTACCCCCTCCCTCCTCCCTACAATAGTCTTACGTGTTTACCCCCTCTTCCTCCTCCCTACAATAGTCTTACGTGTTTCCCCCCCTCCTCCTCCCTCTCCCCCCTCCCTACAATCGTGTTTACCCCCCCCTCCTCCCTACAATAGTCTACGTGTCTTACCCCCTCTCCCTCCTCCCTACAATAGTCTTACCCCCTCTCCCTCCTCCCTACAATAGTCTTACGTGTTTACCCCCTCTTCCTCCTCCCTACAATAGTCTACCCCCTCTCCCTACGTCCTCTACCCCCTCTTCCTCCTCTCTACAATAGTCTTACGTGTTTACCCCCTCCCTCCTCCCTGCCATAGTCTTACGTGGTTTCCCCCTCTCCCTCCTCCCTGCAATAGTCTTACGTGTTTACCCCTCTCCCTCCTCCCTGCAATATTCTTACGTGTTTACCCCCTCTCCCTCCTCCCTGCAATATTCTTACGTGTTTACCCCTCTCCCTCCTCCCTGCAATATTCTTACGTGTTTACCCCCTCTCCCTCCTCCCTGCAATATTCTTACGTGTTTACCCCCTCTCCCTCCTCCCTGCAATAGTCTTACGTGTTTACCCCCTCTCCCTCCTCCCTGCAATAGTCTTACGTGTTTACCCCCTCTCCCTCCTCCCTGCAATA